GTTTTGCAGACTATACTGCTATACTCTATAAAGGTAAAGATTGGAACGACTTAAAAGATATTATCCAAAATGACTTTTGCAAAATTATTCAGTGGTTTAATAACCGAAAATTAACAATTAACTTTACTAAAAGTCATTTTTTACCATTTTCATCACTATCTAATCATCTACCAAAATATAACCACCTTCGGTTTAAGGTAAATGATAAAAATATAAAAATCAATAGAGTTAATGATACAAAATATTTAGGAATTTATCTAGATCCCCACTTGAGATGGGATGTACATATTTCTCACATACTAAAGAAAATTAGATTCATAGCATATAAAATAAAATTTCTAACCGGTATATTAACTGAATATTATCTACGAATAATATATCAAGCTTTAGTCGAGCCACACATAACATATGGTATAGTAGTGTGGGGTGCTGCATGCACGACATACTTTAACGATTTAGATGTACTTCAAAGAAGAATTTTAAAATCAATGTTAGGCAAATCAAAATTATACCCAACTAATGACTTATATAATGATGCACAAGTATATGATACTAAACAACTTTACTTCTTACATACCATCACTCATTATCACAAAACTATTAGTGAACACGACATAATTAAACATAATCATAAAACCAGATATAAATTACGCGCAAAAAATGTTCCTAAACCAAACAAATCCCTAATGAAACGATGTCACCTGTATGTAGCTCCAAAATTGTACGAACATTTACCAAATAATTTAAAACAATTACGCAATACATTAGGCTTCAAAAAAAAATTAAAAAAAATTATTAACACGATTGGGAGAAATCAAATTAATAAAATAATCTCAAATATTACACAATAAATGCTCTATCATTCTTACCAATAATTTCTTTTTTCTCTCTATTTTATTATATTTTGCAATTCAACATACATATGATCCATGCACAGGCGTTGTCCTCCTATGGATATATTATATTTATTTACTCGTTTCATGTTCCCTGTATTTTAGAGTAAATAAATATTATTATTATTATTATTATTATTATTATTATTCATTGTATACGCATTGTATACATCGAGACGTAGACAATTAATGTATACGCGCAAAAGCCCATCACTGCCCATGTCATTAAAAAAAGCAAAGCGCTTTCCTTCCCGCTCGCTTTAATGCTTACGTAATACTTAAATGGTCCCTAATGCGAAATAATGTGAGAAAGTCAAAAGTTAGTTAGTCAAATAGTTTATACGTGGTATAATGAGAAATGTAGCAAATGTAAATTGTATCACAAACTAAAATATTAACATTTTGCCCATTTTTCAACATAGTCACCATAACTGTTCCAACATTTTTAAAGTCGTGACACCAACTCGTTCATTCATATTAAAGACCTCAAGGTGCGTAAAGCACCTGGAGAGGATCGAATTACTAATAAGGCGCTGAAGCTACTTTCGCGGAAGTCCTTAACTTATCTCGTGGCAATAATCAATGCCATGCCAAGGACCCAGCACTTCCCAACGGCGTGGAAGACCGCTGATGTCATAATGATCCCAAAGAAGGTGGGTTCGATATTCCCTCAGGATTACCGCCCCATTAGTCTACTGTCAGCTCCTTCTAAGCTCGCTGAAAATGTGATTCTACGTCACCTTGAAAATTTCTCGGCAGACCACAATGCGATTCCTGACGTGCAATTTGGCTTTCGGTCTGAGCATAGTACGGAGCTACAGGCCATAAGGCTTGTTGAACGAGTAACCAGCGGGTTCACCCGTAATGAAAGTACTGGCATCTTGCTACTGGATATCTCAAAGGCATTTGACAAGGTGTGGCACAAGGGCCTTCTCTACAAATTGATCCATCCCTTCTGGCTCCTAAAACTTTTGAAATCCTTTCTCGAGGGTAGGAAATTTCGGATCAAAATTAATAACGTTCTGTCGACAACACGGCCCATCAAAACCGGTGTCCCTCTGGGTTCGGTTCTTGGACCAGTCCTTTATTCACTTTTTATTCATGACGTCCCTTGCCCCAGCAGCTGTGAAACCTATCTCTATGCTGATGACACTGCCCTGGTGGCCCAGTCGTGCTCTGGGGATCTAGTTCACGACAGGCTGCAAAGTGCAGTGGACGAGGTATTGGAATGGGCGAATCGGTGGCTGATCAAAATTAATCAGTCGAAAACGCAGGCAATCTATTGTACTAAAAAACGTAGCGGCGCCCCGTCTGAGGTTTCAGTGAATGGCGCTCGGGTACCATGGGAAAGCTCTGCTAAGTATCTCGGTATCACTCTTGACAAGGGGATAACCTGGCAGAAGCACACTGAAGCGTTAAAAACTAAATTCCAAATCTCGTTTCGGCAACTCTACCCTATGCTATGTAGAACATCAAAATTAAGTTTGATCAACAAAGTTCGACTATACAAGCTGGTTATTAGAGCAGCGATCACTTACGCAAGTGCGGCTTGGTGTTTTCTCGCCAAAACGCATTTGCGTAGCCTGCAGGTTTTGCAGAACAGAACCTTGCGTACAATCACTAACGCCCCATGGTATGTTTCCAACGAGACCCTTCTCAGAGACCTTGACATCCCTTACCTAAGGGACTACATCAAACAACAAGCGCAGCTACGTTACAGTCAAGCAGAATCGCATAACAACCCTTTGTTGCGCGAGTCAGTAGACTACACAGTCGAGCAAGTTCGCAAGCACACAAGGCCGCGACTCGCACTGTGAACAAAATTAAATCGTACGACTTTAGGTCCAACCAAAATTATAATTTTTCTTCAACAACTAATCAAAAAATTAATTTTAGGATCAATTTAAAATTGCCGAATACTAACCAGCAATGCTAAGGCACCCCTCAAATTCTTTTTTCTTTGCTCTCCCTCCTTCCTTCCTTCCTTCCTTTCTTCTTCCCTTCTTTCTCCCTGACTTTGTTTGGTATCTGAGCAACCAGACCTGGCAGACCTACTGACTTACAAGACTTCAACCAAGAGCAAAGGTCCTACGGACCGCTCTGACAGACAATGACGAATAGTACCAACTCGTTGATCTCATCGTCAAAGAACGCGTCCGTCTGACTGTTAAATCATTTCTGTCAACATGTCATCATTTTCCAAGCTCTTTCCATCAAGAAATTTTGGAAAACGATGAAAGTCTGATGGTGCTGAGTTAAATCCAGTGATTCGCGAAATTTGCCCAGTTACGTCTGTATCCTTGCCGCAACAAGAGGCCGAACGTAATCGTGAAGCAGAGCGATTCCGCTAGAGCTAGAGCCAGGCTCCGCCGGAGATTTTGAACAGCAGAATAGCGCGCCTAATTCAACAAACTGATATATTTGGATATAAAAAAAGTATTTTGGTATAATGTTATATGTATTAGAATTCCATAAAAACAAACATTCGACCATTAATAAAAATTATGATTATGATACTAGAAAAAAAAAACAAATAATTATTGTTGAACGAAGATAAAAAAATACCCGACGGCAAATCAGGACCTCTATTCTTGAGTTTGAGGGAGTAGAAATTGTGAGAGAAAGTGGCAAAAAGTGGGTGTGGCCTAGAAATGCAGTATTCTTGAAATCAATTCTACCGAAAAGTGATAGAAATGAATTCACTTTAGGGAGTCGCTATTTCTCTTGGTACCGACCAAGAGAAACTGGAAAAATTAGTAGAAAATAGTTATATAACCTAAAAATTGACGTGTTTGGCATTGATATTGAAGTTCCTGCTAAACATATTGCGAAAATGGATAATTTCAATCAATTGAGGGATCGGAACGATATTATTGACGAGGATGTAGAGGAGGCAGTTGAGGAATGAGAGAACATAGACAAGAGTAGATATTATGTTTTAGTCATTCTAAAACAGTATCTTTTACCCTATGATTGAATTTTCCCTGGTGCATTCGGGGGTGCTCTCGGAGAAATTCAATCATTATGTCCTTTTGTTTTTTAAAGTTTTCGGCTCCATAGATAAAATTATAAGGAGGAAATCTTGACCAAAATCTTTGGTTAGTTTTTTACTGTCAAAGATATCTCCATTTTGATTGGTTTAACACGTCTATTCAAACCTGGAAACCCCGTGTCTTGATTTCCTTTCTCCTTTCTATCGAGTCATTTCAAGAATACAGTATTTTAAAATCGATAAAAAACCGAGGGAGTAGAAAAAGAGAGGGAGTGTTATTTTCTATTGAAGTCAAGAATAGGGGCACTGAAGGAGAAAAGATTTCGACGGGAGGTAAAGACTTTTTTCAATCATATCGTGACGTGTGCTTAAACATGGTTGCATCATTAGATCATTGCACTCCCGAGTCCAAGATGGCGAGTAAAGTCTCACGAAGGAAAGACGACATCGGCCACGGGAAAGTCAAAACTCGTCTCTCAGCCGGTAAGGTCTTCGCGACCGTCTTTTTCGACTGCAAGGGAGTGTTGCTCATTGATTTTCTACACGACGGACATACGGTTAATCCTGCCTTCTATTACCAGCTTTTGGAGGCAGCGAAACCCGCATATCAGAAATGCCATCCTCCTTCATGACAATGCCAGGCCACATACAGCCGCTGAAACGAAGCAAAAACTGGAGCATATGCATTGGGAAACACTTGAGTATCCTCCATACAGGCCAGATTTGTCACCCTGTGACTATCACTTGTTTGCGCCCATGGAAGATGCACTTGGAGGATTAAAATTTGACAACGATCGAGATGTGGAGAATTTCGTGCGCAATTGGTTCATCACTCAACCTCTAAGTTTCTACAAGCAAGGAATTTGTAAGCTTCCAAATCGCTGTGAAGAATGTGTAGAGCGTGGCGGAGATTACACAGAAAAATAATCAAATTTTTGTTTATTGTTTTATGAATAAATTAATATTAAAACAGAATTCCGGTTTATATTTGATCCACCCTCGTACGTTACGTGACACGATGCGCGATGTGCAATCGGTTCTTACTCGAAAATGGCCCTCGTAGATATGTTTATGTGTATGATCTATTATAAATGGTTTTGAATACATTTTTTCAGTGTTTGAGTCACACCTGGTACATAGCAGTTGACATGCAGTTCTGCATCATTACCCCACCACTGTTGATAATGTTGAGAAGAAAACCAAAACTTACCCTGTCCTTTGTAGCCCTAATGGGAGTGTTGAGCTGCACAGCATTTTTCATTTTAACTTGGTTTTATGACATAGGACCTTCTGCTGTAGGGTATGTGTGTTTACCTCAAAATATATTTCTATATTTTTAGACGACTCAATGTTATAAATTGATAATGGTGTTTTAATAGTCGGTCAGTATAATCAAAATTGAGAGACGTATTGGATACACAACTGATGAGTTAGACCGTCGAAAAAAATGTAATCTTATCAATACTATAATTTGCCAAGTAGTAAAAGTAGTTAAAAATCTCAAAACTACCCCTCTTCATAGTCCTTACCAATTTAGATTAAATAGTTTTTCAAGAAATCGGATGTGTTCTACACTTCAATATATAGAACACAAGTATCTATGAAGTCCTTACACATGTAGTTTAAAACGTACAGGGGCTACTAAGTTTAACTTTCATTACCTTTATTTTGTCTTTGTCTTTTGTGGTACAGCGCTTCGCACTCACGTAAAACGTTTAAGCATGATTCTGTTCCATTTCCGCATTGGCTGCAGCTGAGATCTCCAAATAGCTCTATTTTGCAGGTGTTCTTTAAAACCATCATGTCCTATTAGAAGGCCTGTAACTACACCGAGTTGTTTTCTAATTATTGAGAGCAGTTTCTCAGCCGTATTTTCACATGGTGCCGAGATAAATTCTTTTCCATGACCACATCCCGTCACTAAGTGCCAATATTTCTTCTGTAGGTTTCATACCAATTCTTTGACTTCGCTCCTTATTGCGCTTTTTGGCACTATGAGTAATTACTCATAGTCATCTTATCTATAAGCTAAAACAAACTGACATCCCTAACAATGTTATCAAAATTAAAGAAAAGTATTTGTTCGGCACTATGCTGTGTTCCTGCGCATACGTAGAAGTGACGTTATTAAATTAGAGCAGCAGCAGCGGTGGCCGCAGTAGTAGACTCTTCAGTCTCCTGATCAGTCGCCGTGCGCTGTGCGGGTTCGAGTCCCGTCCCAGGAGAAATTTTTCTTTTGGCTATGGATGTTGTGATTGTCCGTAGGTGGTAGATGGTCTCTGACTGTCGAACGCGGAGGTACCACCCGGCGGTTCTCGTAGGCGGAGCCAGAATGTGTGCATGTTGCATGCACACGTGTTCCCTCGCCAGAGTCCGTGTGGCGTCCCCCCTTTCCCATGTATCCCCATAGCCCCACGGTACCCAATGGGTGCTTAGGCCTTAGGCCTTAGTGGTAGTTGGAATATAAAAAAAAAGAGAGGTGCCTTAAGAGAAGATAATATAAAAGAGCAGGGCAGTTCCCCTACTGCATCCCAGATGACATACTTTAGGAGACGCTACAAAAGGACAGTGTGGTAACACACCTGGATCAGGCGTACAAGAAATTTAAAAACACCGATGAAGACAAATCAGTGAAGCCGATTTTCACCAAAGATGAACCACTTAATCAGCCAGCCAAGCCAGCGATGTCAAATCTAACCTCCAAAATTGATAATGATACTGTGTAAAGTCTCCTATTTCGCTCCTCGTATTACACCCCTTTCCTAAGAAGTACATATTTTGAATGTATACAGAAGCAATATATTTTTCTTTTTCATTGTTTATATATAAGCCAAAGGCGTCATATAAATAATATATATAAAATAAAAATTTCAAATTGATTGCTTTCTGGCACCTCCAATGATGGTTCTGTGTATATAAAGGGTGTGGATGATTATTACTTTGCGAGCTGATACGCCCTTTTATTGCCTGCATTACCTGAATGTCTTGACACCCACATCAAAGTTACATTAATGTGTTCCGCCAGTTACTTTCATAACCTATTCTAGCGAGTCCTAATTTTTTATTGGTTTTCCGGTATTTCTAGGTTTACTGACGTCGTCTTGAAGTACGTCTATGTTACTCCACATACTAGAGCTTCTACGTGGATGATAGGATTTTTGTTTGGCTATGTGTTGCATAATTTCAAAGGCAAACCACTGAAATTAGCTACGGTAAGTTTCCTAAATTATGCTATCATATAGAAAAAAGTATATTGCTCACTTGTTATAGAGATATTACGTAAAAACCCTATAAAAAGTAAAAAAAACGACAAAATGTCAACTTGTTGACAAAATATGCGCTGTGAGCGCCAACAAAAGCGTCATCTATGGATGAAGGACTCAACGACATGACACGCTGAATGAGATAGTCTGTATTAAATTAAATTATCACTGAATACGCTGCCCGCGAAGTATAACTATACTCTATTTCACGAGTATCCATGAGAGCTGATTATCTAGTAATATCTCAAAATTCCCCATATCGGCACAGGACACATAACTCTGACGGATCCGTCAACGTCAGGAAGTCAGGGCCGTATTTTGTCTTGGTTTTTGTAAGCTACAGATTCATATTCTACTTGCTAACAGCTCTTTTATTTAGAAGTTCATTTGCATACAAATACAAAAAGCTACAGACAAATTTTACTAGACTAGACCGATTCATTATTGCCAACGTCGCAGACTAACACTAAAATGTCACTGGCTGATCCCCTTAGTAGACGTCAAAGCGTGATGGATACTCGTGAACTAGGGTATATGAGCTGTACCAGACGGGTTGTTTGTGTTGTCCTTTCGGAAGAGAGGTTATGTTCAAAGTTATAAATTACAATTATCTCCGTTTTTTTTTTTCGTTTTCAAAAACTTTGAGAAGCACTACGGGAAATCACCCCCGCGCCCACGTTATGTATAATTAAGCCATCTCACAGAAAAATCAGGAATGACGCACCACACAAAATATTTTTGCTGTGCCTCACATCTAGTCTCTACTACTTTTATCTATGTTTCAGTGCACCTAATCTTTCCCCCTGGTAGCCTGGTACAGTCGACTCTGAGATGCCAACAACGTGTCGCCAATGAAGCACGTTGCTAGGCAACGTCTTTTAAAATGCTTGATAGTGAACCTTGTCAGTCAGATTTTTCAATCGTTTGAAAAACTTCCGCCCCGGTCTCTATCAGAGATGAAGGGATGTACTCAAAGTTTGATCTTTTCGTTTTCCTTCGTTCTTTTTTCAATAGATAATAAATTATCGCAACCTTTTTCAATTTTATTATGAAATAGCAAAAATGAGGTCATTACACTATCACTGCCAACGAATTCGAATAGATTACAGAAATCCATGTCTATATGTTGTTGTCGCCAAAATTGCCTACTTTTAGGGCACACTTTTGTCTTATTTATCCACGAATAATATTTACCACTGGAAACTGGAAACATCTACCTTCATTAGGCTTGTGCAGCTCTTTGCAAATTACGTAAAAAATGTCTTGAAATCGTCTAACGCCAAAATTATCTGAAAAGTGCTCTTTAAAAGGATAATACTAAATATATGAATTTAATGACTTTAATTGACTCATGTCAAGTGCACTTTGATCCTCACTACAGACTATGAAAATAATGAAACAAACAAATCCTTGACTGGCTCTTTTTACCTAATTTAAATTAGTTGGTCACTGCCACTATGTGGCTAGCTACTCTGTAGCTAATCCTTTAGTTTGACTAAGGATGCTGACAACGTCGCCATGACGTCCGGTGAGGGAGGGTGTTTAAATAAATTATATGTCATTATTATTATTCCGTATCTTTCATCAGGTTCAATCAAAGTTTGAAATAATAACACCAATATAATTATCTGAAAACGCGCAGAGAAAAGTTGTAAACTTCTATTTTTGTGGTTCATGTGCTGAATTGAATATTTACATAACAAATGGTGCACACTGTATATGACCTTTATGCTATAATATCTGATTATTTTCAGTTTACCAAAACGAGTTCCTGGGTTGTGATCATGTCAGTAATGATTGGCCTTGTTCTTTATCACAAACGGTTCTTGAACCAAGGCCCTTGGCCTCTTCTAGAAACAGCCCTTTTCAATACTCTAACGAGGCCATTATGGAGCATTGCGCTTTGTGGCATCATTTTTTTGTGTGTCTCTGGACACGGAGGTAAGTAAGGTGTCCCAGAATATTTTGAAAATCTCTCGGATCATTAACGAATGCCTTATTTACAAACTAAAAACTCTTCGCCGTTCTGAAGATGGATAACGCATTGGGTGAAAAAAATCAATTGAATAGTGCGACAGGCTACGGTTTGAGTTCTGCATTATGTTAAATTGTAAGTTATGTTGTTAGGTAGCTGTAAGTTTTGTTTATTTCTATGCCTTTAGATATGTTTCGCACAGTTTGTAGAACTCCAGAAATTGATCTTCACATGTTATTAGGGTATATAATACCGCCATGTTTATTATTTATAATGTCAAAAAAGCTACAGTTCATGCTGCTATTGAGCAATGAGCTCTGTGAGTGACACCAAAAGCGTCATCTGTCGAGGAATGACTCAGGTACACGCTCAATGACCAGCTGCAAGTCAGTTCCCCAGCATAGCATGCGTTGTTGGTTGCAGAATGCCAAGATAGTCTGAGAGTATGTGACATAGGAAATTGGTTGAGTAGCAGAGTAGTAAGATCGCACCTGGATGAAAGTATGGTGATTGTGTGTAATCGTTTGCATGTGTATAACATTATTATTAAATATGATGCCCATGAAGTATATCTATTAGCTGTACCAGACGGGTTCTTTGTGTAGTGTTAGTAACTTACAAGTTACCAATGCACGCAAATGTCCCTAGGCCGGTCTGGTGGTTTGAGTGTCTATATTCAATTGTTTATAGATATACGTTTGATGTGTTCTGATAAGTAAAAAATCTAGACCAAAATTTTGGGTTAGAAATGTCATAGGGAATATTTCATTCGTTTAGGCTCGCTAACTTTACACGCTTGATTCGCAACTGCAAGTGATTGGATACAATCGTATCATATTGATACATTTTACATAACTATTCATAGCTTGAACTTTCTTTTTATCCAGTAGTACTTGAAAATTGTAATTTAAGAGTATTTTTCATTATACCTCCATAACGAACTAAGATGTTGATATGTGGTTTTCGCCATTTTATAGGATTTTTATGCTCTTTCCGAGCTACATTAAAAAATATCCTGTTGATATTTTCGAAACAATTCAGAAAAACTGTGACGCATCCATAAAAAGCTATCTAATGGCCACAAAGTAAACTTATTTGACAAGATCGAACCTTGAGTAGGTGCGCAAGATCTTTCGCATGAAACCAAGATCGTGAAAATGGGTGTAGCCAAACAGAAGTTAATTTTCTTGAAATGAAATTCAGCCCTTGCGCCACCCCAAACGAAACAAAATATAAAAAATGACATTGAGAAAAAAGTTCGAAAATTGAGCAATCAACATAATAGGGTTATTAAATCAGTACATTGATTACGCATTTTTGAAAAATAATGACGCCCCTAGCGGCCCTTTTAGGAAGCTGAAAATAAAGTCCAGTAATTTTTCTTGGCCACCTTTGTCAAGAAATTTATTAACAGATGTCTTTAACTTAAGCCGTTGCCGCGATATTGCCGGAGTCCTTTATTATTGGGTCACCAGGTACATTGATGAATTGACACGTGCATTCTAAAATACACGTATTCACGCGTTTTTCATATCGTGATTTATGTTACAGGTTGTGAGTTTTCGTGATAGCGCGTGACGTGACAATATGTTAAGAGACTTGAGACTATCGAGTCACGTCGTTACTAGGTAGTTCTAACAATTTTTTTTTTTGTTTTTAGATGTTATTAACTCGTTTCTGTCCAAACCAATATTCTCCATTCTGATACGTTTGAATTATAACGTATATTTAACTCACGTAATAGCTTTGGTATATACATATGGATCCTTCAAGACGCCATACTTTGGAGAAACGGGCAGAGTGGTAAGAACTCACATTAAATTTGCCTTTTTTCAGTAATCCGAATTTAGTATTTTAGTACATAAACACTTTCAAGTTCCTCCAGTGTTCGTGGATTATTTACTTTTGACTTTCGATAACGCCACAAAAAATAATCGCATGGCATGAGGTCGGGTGACCTAGGAGGCCAGTGAATGTCTCCAGACTTCGATATAACTTTTTGAGGAAAAAGTGCTTTCACCGTGTCCATCGATTCTCTGGAAGTATAGGCAGTGGCCCCAATCCTGTTGAAATCATGTGTTTCTGTTAAATCGACGTTCTGTTAGTTCAATAGGAGCAAAAAAAGTGTCAATCATGTCCTTGTATCGATCGGTATTGACTGTCAATGCATGATCGTTTTCATCTTCAAATGAACATGGCCCAATAATACCGCTAGAGGATATGGCGCATCGAACAGTTACCTTTGCACTATGTAACTGTTGTTGATGTTTCAATTTTGGGTTCGGTGATGCCCAATATCTGCAATTTTGCTTGTTCACATAGCCGTCTAAGTGAAAATGGACCTCGTCACTGAAAACAATGTTCTCGAGTTTGCGCCGCGTAGGAAAAAGATTCAACATCCGTTCAGCACAAGATTTTCATAATACGCAATCACTTTCCTTTAAAGCATGGACTGATTGGATTTTATAAGGGTGAAAACCTAGGGATTCCCAAAGCAGCGGAATGCTTCAGTACAGAACGCCGAGGTTTTGCAATGACCGGATCACTTAGTCTACGCACATTTTCTTCGGTTGATACAGTAGGTGTGGGGCCAGGAATGGGTTGACTAAAAGTAGAGCCTTCCACGGAACCTCTTAATCCACTTTTTCGATAGGTTCTTAATTGGGGCATCTCTTTCTCGGCGAATGTTGTATCGTGTACCACATTTCCGAAGGGCAGCTTATGGATCACCACTCTTAAAGTAAGCTTCGATAGCAAAAGCCGTTGAGCTCCGGTCCAACGTTCCATTGTGACTATTTAACCCGCACGCCGAGCGGCGTCAAACAAGACCTCTTCTTCGGGTATATGGTTGCCGTGTAATTCAAATTTGAAATGTGAACTTTCCCATTGGACCCTGTATAAGAAAATGATTTTCTTTCAGCTAATCGATTTTTGGAGTATATACGCCTTAACGCTCGTTATGGCATTGATATGGACTCTGGCCTTCGAAAGTCCATTTATTGCCATAGAACGAAATTTGAGAAAAAGTAAGTACCTGCAAAGTCTGTTATACGCATCAGGAATATTGCGGCATTTTTTGTAAATCATTTCAATTACGATGACATTGCCAGTTTCACACTTATCTAGAACTGTTTAAATATAGATGACTATGCCCGTTTACATGGATTTCAGTCCGATACATCCACATTCAATCCCGCGAAAAAGCCGTATCGACATTGAAACTCAATTCAATTTCGATCCTAATTCCCAAGAGTTTACATGCAGTATTCAATACCAATACCATGTTGGCATTGGAATACTCACAAACTTACTATAGACGACAGGGATAACAAGAGCATTTTTTTAGTTTTATATAGCCAATACTCTTATTTGTTCTAGAAAACGGGAAGAGCGAAGAAAGTGTGAAGGCTAATAATCACACTCCAGTGAACAACGCATGATGATAAGTTTACAAATGGCAAATATCAACTTCGTACTAAATCTAGAATATATTTTTAATGGCCTATAAAACCACATGTATTGACAGATCTATTTTACTGTAGTAAATGTATCAATAACAAATGTGATCCTCTTCAGTGCAATGACAGGTAACAGTTTGTTTTTTCTTTTCAATATTACATTCCTATGCAATGTGTTACTCGAACAGTCTAAAAGTCCCGTAACATGTTGGGATTGAGCGAAGTCATTCCGAATTTTAAGATGGCATCGCGCAAAACCAGCATAGCCCAGGACCGCCTTTATATTATCCAGCCCTCCAAAACGACAAGCGAGTTTGAGGCTATCTGTTCTTTTGTACCAGATACGTCTCCCTCGTCCATAATTATACTCGCTTGTCATTTTGGACGGCTGAACGTAGTTTTTTGGGAACGTGAATGCCTATCCCAGGAGGCCTTGAGCTATGCTGGTTTTGCATAGTGCCATCTTAAAATTGAGAATGGTGAGTTGACGCAATCTCAACATGTTCCCGAAGTTTCAGACTATTGTAGTAACACACTGTATAGCAATGTGAAAATGAAACGAAAAACAAACGAACTGGCATCTGGAAGACATACTATATAAATCAAATGATTGAAACGTTTACTACAAGGCTGCGTTCTTAAATTGTTTGACGTACCTGTTCCATGCATCCGGAAATAGAACAAAGTAATCCTTCTGGAACGTCAAAAGTACGCTTTCTACCCGTACTCAAAACCTTGAGAATAAGACTGTCTTTCTCATGGTTCATTATTTGTTTACTTTATTTGGTTAGAAGACACAGTGCTTAAATTTTTTAAATATATATTTTCACGATAACTGGATAGCATTTCTCATGATAAATATAATGGTCGCAGTAAACGTGGTTAGAAATTAGTCGGCTGTCATCAAGTGTGGTTACATGACTGTAATAATTTATGCGGTCTAAAAATAAAGTTTCATTACATTCCATTACTGTGTAATTTACATTACCAAGTGATTTGAAAACGCACCTCAGAAAAAAGATCTGTCAATACATGTGGTTTTATTGGCCAGACAAGCATGAGGAATTATCGACATGTAAACCACAGAATAAGTTTCAGATATTACAATTTTGTCTTTTTGTTTGATAGTAATGTTTTGTTTATAACTTTATACGACCAAGAAATAAATACAATAAAAATAAAATAGTTTAATTCAATGAAATACAAATACCTTACTCTATAGTAAACTTAAATTCAAAGTTTCACAACAATACATGTTCTCACTACAGTGAATTTTTAAGTGTCACCAAGTCATTAGAAAAATGGAACTCAACTGAGAACATTTTCGCGCCATAGTTTATTACAACTTTCAGAGACAATTATCGCAACAAGAATGCCTTGCTGAGTTACTGTCTGTTTTCGGCAACGAAGCGCCACATCAGTCGACAATTTCCCGTTGGTATGGAGAATTCAAACGTGGACGAGTGAGTCTTAATGACGATCCCAGGGGTGGTGCACCAAAAACGGCAGTCACCCAGGAAGACGACGATGCTGTGCGCAAACTCATCACTGAAGATAGACATGTGACATATCGCGATGTACATATGTTAAATATGTTTGTAAACAACTTCACCATAACCTAACTTTCTGCTGTCATATTTTTGTAAAATGCCATAACCAATGTTTTGAAACAAACAACGCATGCATATTGGTTCAATAGGTTTTATCAACTGTTCAAACAGAAGACATAGATCTGGTACAAATTCTGGGTAAATTACTCGACTCTGTCGGTATTTCATTTCAGACATTTGTCAAATTGTTGTATAACACCTGCAGGCAACACCAAAATATTCTAATAACCTAAAGACAACAAGGACGATGCCATGATTATACACAACCACCCGCCATATTGGGCAAACATTTATTTCTCTATTTGATATTAAATAATTATGTTTCAGTTCGAAATTACAGATATAAAGTGATAAACATTAGTGTAATTTTGTCTAAATATAGGATTTGTGGAAGATTTAACGCAGATAAGTTCAGTTTTCCATCTCAAAAATCTAGACATACTTTTGATCATTATCAAAATATGAATCAAATACGAAGCCCATAGAAATTGGGTAACTAATCTGCACGATAATCACAATAAAATTTGCTGCGCAAGTAATTCAATAGCCCTATATCACAGTGTAGAAGTTTATCATATACCTGTGTATGAAATTCACAATGGCCGATATATAAGTAAACAAGATGACTGTAATGTGTTAGTTATATATTCTTCACTTCGTCTATACAATACATAAGAAATAGTTTGGTTGCAATAAAGTAGAATCACGTAACAGAATAGTTGTATAGTTGACAAAAACTGCACTGACGCAAATGTCCTATAGCGGCACTTTTATTTTATAACTGTTACCTGCAGCCCTTATTTAACCTCTTAAATGACTGAAGTGTCCTATTAGGTGTGCCCATTCCGCTTGTATAGCTGTTCTAAGAGGGTTTTGCCAATGTTCTTACAGTATACAATGCTGTTTAAGGAATACTGAATAATCATTCTTGCAACTCTAATAGGAGTGATAATTGTTAGTTGGGTGAAGATCTCAAAGACCTCAATTCAAAAAAATGTACATGAAGAATTAGGAGTAAGAAAATTAGTTGCTCGTTGGATACCCCACCTGTTGACTGAAGAGCAGAAAGCAGCCAGAGTTAATTGGTGTCAAAAAACGCTTGATCGTTTCAATTCCGGAAACTCAAAAAATGTGTACAGCATTGTTAGTGGTGATGAATGGATTTACTGTTATGAACCAGAAAATAAACGACAGTCGGCTATTTGGGTGTTCCAAGATGAAGAAAAGGCAACAAAAGTCATCTGTTTTCGAAGTGTTTCGAAAAAGATGGTCGCGACATTTGTGTCAAAAGCGGGTCATATTGCAACAACTCCTCTTAATGAGCAAAGAACTGTTACTGCGGATTGGTATACCACCAAAAACAAGGCAATATTTAACGGATATATTGAATTAGGCTTTTAATTATTTCTGGCGTGTATGTAGTTGTCTACCAAGAAGCAATTCTTATAGCTTATAAAATGGACAAAAAACTATTAGGTGACGAAACATCTCGTGAATTTCATGTTTTCTATAATTGCGCGTCCTGTTGGGAATCATTTCTGTGATCTCCTCTCAAAATGTACTTCTGATTCGAAAAACTTTTGAGAAAATTATGCGTGATTAAGTATGTGCTTATAATTTGTTCTCGCGTCAACTCTTATAAGAAATGTAACTACTGAATACAGTTATAATATTAATAGTATTTTAATAAGTAAGAATTACGAATATTTTGTGGAAAAAATTACAAATCGACGTTGCGTGTGAAGCTGAAAACACACAATTCAAATCAACTCCTTTATGTCCGGCATCTTTTATTTGAGCAGTTCCATCTCTAGCACCAGGCCGTCTTAACATGTTGACTGCCACCTTTTTTCGGTTTGTTTTACCCAGGAGCCAATTAGTTGTATAATGGTTAATTTGTTATTTTGGTAGAATACCTTCGTAAAATCAGTTATTGAGGTATCTTCGTGCATTGTTTTTTTAATTAGAAGATTTTTTGTAGCTCGTCTAAGAGTCGACGGCACTGACTCACAAATCGGTTTCCTGTGTGCCAGCTGGTGCTTATAAGAGTCGGAAGATAATTATTTGTTTTATATAATAGAAATAAACTAGAAGCAAAAAAATATTTATTATCGACCAATAACAAAAATATAATATTAAAAATAATTTCTGTAACTCAAAATAGTACAGAACATATAAAAGTATAACAAAAACTTTTCCGGTAAATAATACACCTAATGTGATAAAATCTAATCAAAAATAAGAAATGAAACAACTTTTTTTTAGAATAAAAACATGAATTTGTGGTGAATGCAGACTATTTTTAGTGCAAAAAATCATTTGTGAATAATGTCACTGCACTCCAACCAGAATCCTGGAACATCAGGGCATGTTCTAGATTCGTACATCGTTTGGGTATGGAGAGATATTTTGATTTTTGAGCTCATAACGTACTGATGACTGCTAAAAAGCATGAAATGGCGCCATATACGGATCCTCGATGGGACAGCAAGCAAACATATTTAATTCATACTTGCTACTGCATACAGTATTTTAACGCAAAATGTATGAGCTTGATGATAAGGTAAGTTGAGATAAAGGGTGTTTTTTTTAGAGGCGGAGAACTTTGAATTGAAATAAAACACAAAATATTTTATTGATATTAACGAATTTGCTTTTATATTGAAGATAATTTTTTGGCATTAACATTTAAATATGATTTCGGGCATGTGACCCCCACGACTTGCGCGTACATGGCGTAATCTAGAGGTCCAATTTTCACACGCTCTTTCCAGTACTGCAGGCTGTATTTCGGCAATCACGCGCCGAATGTTGGCTTCCAAGTGCTCAAGTGTTTCGGGTTTATCAGCGTAGACATGCGACTTAACATAGCCCCAAAGAAAATAATCTAATGGCGTCAAGTCGCACGAACGAGGTGGCCAGTTTACAGGTCCATTTCTGGAAATGATTCGTTGCTCGAATGTCTCTTGCAGTAAATTAATTGTTTGGTGCGCTGTATGGCATGTGGCACCGTCCTGCTGAAACCACATTTCTGCAACGCCTGCAACACCTTCCAAGTGAGGCACAAAAAAGTTAGTAATCATGTTTCTGTATCGCTCACCGTTTACTGTAACGTTCTGACCATCAGCATTTCTGAAGACATAAGGACCAATGATTCCACCGGCCCATAAAGCGCACCAAACGGTTAGTTTTGCTGGATGTAAAGGTGTTTCGACAATAGCTCGTGGATTCTCATCACCCCAAATTCGGCAATTTTGTTTGTTTACATAGTCATTTAACCAAAAGTGTGCTTCATCACTAAACAAAATTTTCATATGAAATCTTGGATCAACAGCAATCTTTCCTTCCGCCCATTCAGCTAATGTACGGCGCAATAGATGATCCCGGGGTTTCAACTCCTGGACTAGTTGAATTTTATATGCTCGCAACCCAAGATCTTTGCGCAAAATTTTCCATACAGTGGATGGACACAAATTCACTTGTTGAGAACGACGACGAATTGACAGATTGGCATCATTATCAACACTACGCTGCACAGCAGCTATCGCTTGTTGCGTGCGCACTGTACGGCGTCTTACGGGATGCGTATTGTCGATTAGAGTAAAAGTATTGCGAAAACGATCAACAGTTTCTCGAATTAATCGCTCTGAAGGACGATTATGGGCACCATAAAATTCACGTAATGCCCGATGTGTTTCTCGAATTGAACCATGTCTTTCAAAATAAATTTAAACAATTTGCAAACGTTGCTCCGGCGTCAGTCTATTCATGATGAATTTCCAAACCAAACTAACCTAAAAACAACCCAGAACTGTCAGATCGGCTGTCACACAAAACAGTGTTGCCAAATGAAAGTTCTCCGCCTCTAAAAAAAACACTCTTTATAAATCGGAAATCAATAAAACATAAAACTGGTTAAAATATTGTATTTTTAGAAAACATATACCAGTAATAATCATTTCAATAATACATAATGATCAAAACAATATGTGTTGAGTTCCCTACCACAATTTAATATTTTTGTGGCAATTAACAATTTTACTTATACTTTCGAATTTTCAAAATTACACTTCTGCTGTTTGCTAGAGTTGGGCTAAATCGTTCTTTTTAGTGTTTCGATTTCATGGTTTCACTAGCGGTATCGGAATCGATTCATTCACGATTTCTTTTGATTCCGGTTTTCCCAATTCCAAAACAGTATCGGTTTTAATGAGCACTACAAAGGAACGACAACCGCAGTGTAAATCGATTTTAGTCGGTTTCTCTGAATCAGTTCACTCAAATACAACCTGGTTTTAAGCGCGGGTTCAATTCCCTCTGCGGTGTCGTTCCTTTGGAACCAGAATTAACCCAGCTCTGTTGTTTAGATACCAAAGTTTATATAGTGAACTAACCATATTACGAGCTGCAGAAAATTCTTGTGGTAATTCGTTTTTAGAAATTTTGCATCACTTTGAATCAGCGTAATGCCTATACAACTCCATATCTCTTTCAGTGAGTTCAAATTGCAAATCCATTCATTTTGAGCTAGTTGCTACAGCTATAGGTTGTAAGAATGGAGTAATCTGAATCGAAACCATCGAAATCGGAATCGATTTCTTCAAATCCCTCTACGGTATCGCTCCTTTGGAACGACTTGTCCAGAATTAACCCAGCTCTACTCTTCGAACACAGTTTACAGTAAACTAACCATACCACAAGCTCCAGAAACTTCTTGTTACAATTGGTTTTTAATAGATTTTGCTTCACTTTATTCAGCGTAACGTCTATACAACTCCTTATCTCTTTCACTAGGCTTAAATCCGCCATATTTTCCAACCATAATATACCTTTCATATATCTCAATGGACCTTTTTGGAACAGCTAGAGGAGTTACGGAAAACACTTTATCATTGCTGGGTTTTTCCATACATTTTATGCAAGATGTTACACCTATAGGTTGTAAGAATGGAGTAATCGGAATCGAAACCGTTGGTATCGGAATCGACTCCTTCAATTTCCTCTGAGGTATCGTTCCTTTGAAACGACTCGTTCAGAATTAACTCAGCTCTACTGTTTAGACACTATAGTTTGCGGTGAGCTCGAGAAACTTCTTGGTACAATTGGTTTTTAAATATTCTGCTTCACTTTAAATCAACGTAACGTCTATACAACTCCAAATCTCTTTCAATAGGTACAAATTTCAAATTCACCATATTTTCCAACCGCAATCTACCTTTCATGTATCGGTCTTTTTGGAACAGTTGGTGGAGTTACAGAAGACACTATCATTGCCAGGTTTTCCATACATTTAATGCAAGATGCTACACCTGTAAGAATGGAGTAATCGGAATCGATTCCTTCAATTCTCTCTGCGATATCGCTCCTTTGGAACGACTCGTCCAGAATTGATCCAGCTCTACTCTTTAGAGACAATAGTTTACAGCGAACTAACAATGCCATGAGCTCGAGAAACTTTTTGTTGAAATTGTATTTTAAAGATTTTGCTTCACTTTAGATCAGCGTAACATCTATACAACTCCATATCTCTTTCACTAGGTTCAAATCCGCCATATTTTCCAACCATGATATACTTCTCATATATCTCAATTGACCTTTTTGGGACAGTTGGTGGAGTTACAGAAAACACTGTATCATTACTAGGTTCTTCCATACATCTCAAGCTTGATGTTACACCTATAGATTGTAAGAACGGAGTACTCGTAAGAGTACCCTTAGCTCTTTTACCCGTCAATACATATTTTTTGTAAGTTAGAATATCAGCCTCACTAGGCGACTTTAACTCAGTTCCATAGACTTCTTTCATCGTTGGGAATAGTGATCTGAAGGTTATCGGTTCTGGAGTACTTTCTTTGGAGTTAGATATGTCATTGGTGTAAGAACTTTCTTCATCTCTCGAAGACTCTTCATTGTCAGATCCAGAACTAGTACTGGAAGCTGTGGAACATGTCGAGCTTTGACCAGAAACCGAAGGATTTTTCATAGTAGTACCTTTGTTTGAAGTTTCTTCCCTCCTTCTAACTGGCCTCACTCGTATTGTAAAGGGACTATAATTCGTAGTGAAACTAGGCATAAAATCACGGATAGAATTTGAAAGTTTCAGAGCGAACAGATCTGCAAGTACACTCAACTCATATGGTCTATAATAATCTTTGTAAGAATCAATCATTTCTACGCGCTTGGAATGAACTTGGATCAATTCAGAACAAGCTTTTGTCAGATCATTGTAAGCATAAGGCAAGCTTTTAAGAATGCCAGAATCCCACCACTGTGTTAACGACTTCAAGCTAAATATTATAGGTTTGTGATGAAAATAATAATCTGATGTATATTCCCAAATAGGAGGCTGGTTTTCTTCAGGTTGAAACACCCCGAGAAACAAATTGATTGCATTTTGCTTTTCAGAATCTGAGAAAGTGTTGCTATAGTATCTGCTCAATGTCTGCATAATGTCATTTCCTTGAGATGTCCATGGCGCAGTTTTTCTGTATGTTTTTATTCTATGAACTAGCTGAGATCCACCATATTGTAACGCGAGAGTATCTCCATGATCTTCATATAAAGATTCCAGCATTCTGACACAATCAGTATCAAACTCCAAATTTGGAGAATCAAGGATTCCCAAAGCACACAGTTGGTATCCAAGTACACACTTCCCAATAGCAAACTGTGCTGTGTTGGTCCTATCTAGACAATCAACGCAGTTTGTCCTAACGATTCCAGTTTGAAGGCTTCCAAAATTGTGTTCATACTGTCCAATCACAGTACTAGTTTCTTGTGAATGATATCTCGGCTTGTTGTGAAAAATTCCCACCCTGGTTACAGCACCCTTCGCGATATCTGCAAGGTGCCTCATCACATTTGCGTTCGTGCCTTTATTTTTTCTTGCCATGTCGAAGGTCTTGTATACGATTTGATGCTCCACGGGTAGAAATTGATTCAAATATTTTACGGCTGAGCTCAGTTCGTCGCTCAAAAGTCTTTCTTGCTTTTTGCGCTCACTTTGTTTGACTAAATTCAAGATGACTATCGGCGCGCCATATCTTTTTAGTAATTCGTTAAAATGGGCTCCCGCAGTTTCCGCAAAGGGGTCGTAAAAGTCTATTGTTATAGCTGGTTTTGCTACCATCTTGCCCATTTCCTGTTTCCAGTGACCTGACGGACAAATAAATTGATGAGTTTTCCATACCAGTGTTAATCGCGAATTAAGAAGGATCAAAATAGTTTGACGAAGCTGGATAAAAATAACACAGTTCAATAATACCTATTATTTTCCTGTCAAAAAATATTACTTTCTTGCTCATCCTTTTATTCCTTACGCCTGGTTCCTGGATTATCCATACTTACACACCGGTGTGAAGTTGGCAGACAAAACTTAGCAGACAATTTGCCGAAGATACCCGAATGACCAGTGGCGTCGACATCCTCGACCAGACTGTGATTGTGAAGGATACAGCTCGCAACAATAAATATATATGCACGAGAATAAGCACCCCTATAGGAAGAATCATTTTCCACCCCAATTAAATAATTCGCAGGAACAAGAGTTAACCCAAAACCTTTCGAATTTTCACTTACGGATTATTGTATATATGGTATTGAAAGTAATTAATGAGCTAAATAGCATATACTGAGAAAATCTCTAAAGAGGTGGTAGATAAAAAAATTTAAATAAAACTTCATTTTCACCCAGAAAAAAATGATTCCCCAAAATGATTTATATCTCAAAAAAATACTCTATTACAGAGACAATTCATGGGCTAGGTGGCATGGTGTGAGAAAGCTTCTGAAGGGTGGCAGATAAGAAAATATAATTAAAAATTTATTTTCACCCCCAAGGAAATGATTCCCCAAAATGAGTTGTACCTCAAAAAAATACTCTGTTATAGAGACAGTTTACAGGCTAGGTGGCATGGTGCGAGAAAGCTTCTGAAAGGCTGGCAGATAAAAAAATATGTTTATAAATTCATTTTCACCCCCAAGGAAATGATTCCCCAAAATCAGTTGTACCTCAAAAAAATACTCTATTATAGAGACAATTTATAGGCTAGGTAGCACAGGGCAGTACAGACATACACAGGGTGACCAAGTTACTTACTCTGGGGGATCTCAATACCTGTGGGAGGTACAGCACAGCTTAAATTAGGAAAAAGCTGCCTTCTTTGGGGCGTATTTACATGCCGTCGAGAAACTAGTAGAAGTACTGAGGAATTTGGGAAGAACTAAAATTTGGCCAATTCGTTTTTATTTTTTCTGACTTTCTTTCAAGAAATATCAAAAAACTAATTGAACCTTTTCATTGGCACTTTTTAGGCACTACATGATGGAGTTTTTAAATTTTGTGCCAGGCATTACGTTTTTGAGAAACCATCACCAACTTTATTTTTTATATGGTACGAAAAAGGTACACCCTGTATCTGATTGCATCTTTTTCTACGAATTCAACGATGTATTATACGTTACATTTGGTTCCATAGATATACAGAAAAATGTTTTTTATTAATAAGCATTGCAAAATCCTTGATGTAACATTATGTGATTCCTGGTAGATGCATATTACATAATGATATGATTGGGGTAAAATTTTATAAAATGATGCTTAATCTAATGATATTCACAATAACGAATACATTTTTTACATTATTTTTATTTTATTCACAACAGGTGTTCAAATAGGTAGCCGTTAGTTCCTAAACATGAACATGAACTTCTAACAGTAGAATTCAAAACATCACGTAACATTTCTGGTGTAATCATGCGAAATGCTTCCATTACACATTCTTGTAACTGCTGCTCAGTTTCAAAAGTATGCTAATAACCGCTATTAACCTGTGCCAAAGGTAAATTAATCTAGGCAATCTTCTAGATCATGTTGCAACAATTGAAGGTACCGTTCTGCAGTTAATGAGTAGTAGTAAATGAATGGACCTAATATTTTGGTCCCCAGAATTCCACACCACATATTAAAACCAAAACGTTCTTGATGTCCTGGATACTTCTTTTGCCCGCAATTTTCTTGAGCCCAGTAATGAGTGTTGTGGCAATTACTTAGCGACTATACTCTTGTCGGACCATATTATTTTTAAAGAGAAATTAAAATCTTCACACGTTCGTGTGTACCACTCACAAGAATGCTGGCGTCGTTCGCTATATAGAATAAATAATTCACAGTATTTGTACAATTTGTAAATGTACACGCGAATAAATTGGAAAAAGAAAAATCCACAAAAGGATGATAACAGTTGTTTTCAACAAGCTGGTGCTCCTGTACATAGCTCTAGTTTCATTAGTTTTATGATATTTTTAAAAATAAAGTCAGGAAAAAATAAAAATGATTTAGCCAAATTTTAGTATTTCCCAAATATTTCAGTGAGCTATGTAATTTTTTTCTACCGGCATGTAAATATGCCTCAAACAACGCAACTTTTTCCTAATTTACCAACCTAAGTTGTATCTCCCGAAGGTATTGAGATCCTTATCTTGGACACCCTGTATATTGGTATACCTCAGATAACCTAGACAACCGAATAAAACAACTTCCTCGTAAGAGTTCATGTAAATTTCAGGCATTTCTATAAAGATAGGTGGCAAGTACTGGGTGCGCCATCTATTACAGGCTTCTTTACCTATAAGTTTATGTGTTACCATGTGAGTTAAAAGTCATGTGGTATGCATAAATGAACTGCCAAAGGTATGAAATTTATAGTCATGGATTCGTTTACACAACAACGCATTTTGGTTATCCAAACTACAGAGCCTGGAATTCGTTGGATTGTTAATAGTTTTGAGGAAACTGTTTCAGCTGAAGGTCGTAGACCATACCAACATGCTCGTCCAACTCGTACTTGTGAAAACATAGCCGCAGTGAGTGAAACTGTGCGAGAAGATCCAACCACCTCGACTTGGCACCGTTCGCAACAATTGGGAAAAGTTTATGCGAGTGGTCCCCGGACAATTAAAGACCTAAAGCGCAATATTCGGACTGAAATTGCGGCCATTATTCATTGAAAATTTTGATGTTCAGATGTTGGCCTGTAAACGAAGCCTCGGTGGTCACATGACTGATGTTAGAAATGGCATAAACCAACCTTCATTTATCAATAAAAAAATTCGATTTCACCTCGTAAAAAGCGTGTTGATTTTTCATATAGAAAAAAAGTAATAGATGACGCACCCTGTACATCCTTGAATACTGATAGGAAATGAAAACAGGACTTCAAGCACATCCTAAAGGTTTCTCAAAAGGAAGATAAAAATAAATATTTGTTTTATACATCGTGTTCTTAAAGTTGGATATTTCCTTTATATTATAATGAGTATACTATACACCTAACATAACCAAGATATATAGGTAAAAGGATACGATGCGCCTCAGTATGCAAACCAGGAATCGTGTAGGTAAACCAAGCTGTTTGTTTACAAATTGGATTTGAAAAATACGGAGATATCACACTCCTGTATAATAAAGTACTCAATATGCTATCTTACGATATGGTTGCACAGAGTATTCGGTTTGTACCCGGTAAATAATCGACCGATTTTACTGAGTATCCGGTTTTGTCAAGTGTTAAATTACTCGATCTGAATGCAAATAATGTGATTAGCAAAGTATCTAGGATTTTGGATATGATCTGAAAATATGCTTTTTCCATCCGTCAAAAAAATAGGCAACAAAAACTACAAAGCAAAGTAAGCACAATGCAGCAAAAATCAAACAGTAACGTGAATAACTAAAGTCTTTTCCAAATCTGAGTTGGTCCCGCTACGACATCAAGCACTTTTAATTTGTGCTTTGACAGAATAATGTAAGCTTAAGATGTCAATAATGTACCTTTTGAATGTCTTACAAATGTGCTTCTTTTGTAATAGAAAAGACTAAAAGGCAAACAAATGTTCCAAAAATGTAACGTCAAAATATGGTTCCAATTTTAACTCAATATGGTAGGTGAATACTTCTACTCTTAAGTATTTAAAAAACAAAACTTTTGAAAATATCATAAATATACTAACCTTACCACTAACAACTCACAATTTTAGGAATAAAGAGGTCTTTCAAATACGCCGAGTAAACGGTACTCGACTTTTTTGAAAAAAGTGTATTCAAAAAACCAGTTTAGAGTCCAAATATCGCATCAACCCCTCGAAAAAACTGAATCCTCGCTGAATTATAAAAAATGTGTGCATCAGTGAAGATTTAGACTCGGATGAAAAGTTAAATAATATATTCTCCTTGAATGATGTTGGTGAACATCTAAAATCCGATGTAAAAGTAGTCATCAAACTGAAAGATCGCCGAAATGACAAATTTTACAATTATGTTCTGGATGTTTCCCCAGCACTTCATAAAAAATTAGTTAATGCTGGCTTTATTTATATAGGGTGGCAAAGATGTTCTGTTAGTAACCACTTAAATATTATGAAATGTTTCAAATGCTTTGCTTTTGGTCACTTTGCTAGTAGATGTAAATACGACCCTGTCTGTTCTAAATGTTCGGACAATCATTTTACAAGCGGATGTCAGTCTGATATTAAATTGTGTTCTAACTGTGTAAGGTATAATAATAGGTATAAAGCCAAACTATGTACTCTGATCATCAAGCAACTGATAAAAATTGTGCCGTTTATCAAAATTATATAACTAGCTTACAAAACAGGATAAGTTATGGTTAGATTACTGAGTTTAAATTAGGTCATCTCAACGTACATTCTGTTTTCTCCCATTTTGATGCTGTCAGTGAACTTATTCGATTTGATGACTTTGATATATTTGCTATCAGTGAAACGTGGCTTATAGATCTCATTCCGTCAGAGTCTGTCAGCATCGCTGGCTATAACTTCATCCGTAAAGACAGAGGATCACGTGGCGGTGGGATTGGTATTTATGTCAAATCTTTTTTAAATGTAGAGCTTCTTGATGTGGCAGTGAACGATCTTGAGTGCTTGGAGCCCTTATGGATTAAGATTACATATAAAAAATCAATTTTTGTTGTATGTGTATTATATCGACCTCCATCCCAGAGCCTCAATGACTGCAATGCTATACTAGATGACACGGTGTCACACTACTCAAGCATTTTTCAAAACATTATTATATTGGGTGACGTTAATGTCAACTTATTAGAACCTGACAATCCCTTATCTGTATGTCTAGAGACTCATGGCTTCGCACAATTGGTTTCATCACCAACTAGGGTGGCAGCGAGCAGTAGAAGCCTCTTAGATCCAATATATGTAAATCAACCTAGATCATTTACTAATTGCCTTACTTTTGATGCTCATCATATATCTGACCACAAGATGGTCTCGTGCACAATGCAGATTCCTCCTTATCAAATGAAACAGAAGTACATATGGTTACGTGATTTCACTAATTTCGATGAGGCATTGTTTCTACGGGACCTTTATAATCTTCCATTTGATGATATATTCCATCTGCAGTCAATAGACGAAAAAGTAGAATTCCTCAATAATTTGATAACTGAACTCTTCAACATACATTCTCCGTCAAAAATTATACGAGTCAATAAACCTCACGCTCCATGGCTTACTTATGGGCTTAAGCAAATATTTAAAGAAAGAGATGCGGCTCTGTCTAACCATAAAGCCAAAAAAACTCGGGAAAGTTTCTGCTATTATAAGGAGTTGAGGAATTTCGCTCTAGCTTCCTTGCGGCGTAAAAAAGCAACTTATTTCTCACATCTTCAAAGAAGCAGGCAGTCTAAAAAAACCTGGCCTGCATTGAAGAGTATAAATCTTAATTTTTCTTCGAGGCCTCTGATACCCGATACTCTCAATGATGCAAACTTGATCAATGATTATTTCACAACCGTTTATGATGCGGGTGAGCTAGATGACGATACCTTTAATTTCTACAAATGTAACAGAGGTATAATCATAATTTTAAATTTTCGTTTAAAGTCGTTGATCCCTATGCAATTTACAGAACTATCCAGCAGATTAAATCTGGTGCAAGGGGTTCTGATGGAATGAGTCTTGATATGTTAACTTTGTGTCTCCCTCGAGTTTTATTCCACGTTACACATATTTTGAATTTATGCTTGGAAATTGGTTATTTTCCACAAACATGGAAACATGCTTTAGTAATACCTGTTCCCAAAAATAGTAAGCCGGAAGCTCTCTCTGATTTGAGGCCTATAAGCCTTCTGCCATTATTATCGAAAGTTCTGGAGAAATTAGCTCAGCAACAAATAGTCGAGTATGTTGAACTATGCAGAATATTGCCAGAAAATCAATCGGGCTTCCGCGAATCATACTCTACTACTACCACTCTGCTTAATATAACAGATAATATAATACGGGCTCAAGATAAAAATATTGCCTCCATTTTGGTCTCGATCGATTACTCTAAAGCATTCGACATACTGAGTCATCAGCTGCTTCTTGCTAAATTGGAGTATTTAGGTTTTGATAATATATCTATATCATTTTTCACGGAATACTTAGCTAATCGGTCCCAATGTGTTGTCATTAATAATACTTTTTCTAACTGTACCAATATCATATCTGGTGTTCCACAAGGATCTGTTTTGGGACCCTTGTTATTTCTAATATACATATATTGCAGACTTGCCTTCTGTAGTAGCTAACTCTACAATACAGTCATTCGCAGACGATACCCAGTTGCTCTATCATTTTGATCCACATGATCAACAAGCAGCCGTCGAGTTACAAGAGGATATTGATGTAGTTTATAGCTATTCTGTAAAGCACAATTTTATGATGAATTCCTCTTGCTATTCTGCTCTAATACTAAACGTGAGCGCATCCTCCAAACATTTCGTCCCAAAATTGGATCAGATAGAGTAGAATTTAGTAATGAGTCTAAAATACTTGGTGTCATTTTAGATATTAACTTAAGATTCAAAAGTCATGTTTCTGGCATCTTACAAAAATCCTATTGGAAATTACGTGTTTTATAGACGTGTTCTGCCTTTTGCTTTGCGAAAAAAACTTGCTGAATCCCTTATTCTTCCAATTATCAATTATGGCAATATTCTTTAACAGCCTTGCTTGGATCAGCTCACTAAAAGACGTTTACAAGTGATTCAAAACAACTGCCTCAGATTCACGTGTAGTTTAAGAAAATACGACCATGTTAACCATGCTTACAACAGTATTGGATGGATGAAGCTCGAGTGTTTGACAAATTTTCATTATTTGGTCTTCCTGCATAAGCTGATCGCATCTGGTAAACCCAAATACCTAAGAGAAAAACTTATTTTTTCTAAGAAAACTCTTATATATACATTAAATATTAGAATACCCCATTACGTCACCTCGCTTTTCCAACGCTCATTTTCCTATAATGCTGCTTCCGCTACAATAATATTCCTGATGATTATAAAACCATGAATCTGTCTTGTTTCCGTAAGCATGTTATATTTACAGAGCTCTACATTATAATGTTTCTTCTTTATCTAATTTTTGTTAATAATACATTTATAAGTTAGTTTTTGGGCACATATGCTTATAGGCATTTAAATTAGTTGCTTGTTTGATTGTACTGCTTTCAATACTATTATGACATTGTAATAGCCAAACTTTATTTTTTTTTGTATCTCCTATACTATCTTTTTTTTCGTATTCATATGGTTAAGTTTAAGAGTAGCTTTAGCTAAACTTCGCCATAATGAATCGCACTCTGTATCCTTGTAAATAAAGACGATATTATTATTATTATTATTATTATTATTATTATTATTAAATCGTTTTCCTGGACGTTTCCATCTTGCGCCGCATGATTTTCATATATCGCGAATAGCTATGGATACACGCCTTTAGAGGAGCGTCGAGGTCGACCTACACTTTCTTCAATTTTCCTTTCACAATTTCGCTATCTTTTCACTACACATTGGCATTGTTATTTCACGCGTAGTTGTTTGTGGAAAGGGAAGGTCCAACTTTCGGAACACCGTGCATTACTCTCATGAGCCTTACCAGGAATAGATCCTCTCATCTGTACAAAAGATGTGAACCTGCTCTGGCTGAAATACGACACTCCAGCATCGTGCACCATTTGTTCAGTCTCCACTTCATTGGCCACATCTCCTTGGAAGTTGGCCCCTCGTTTCAAGAACCTTGTGCCCGCGTATCTGCTCGATCTTCGGGCAATCAAAGTCACATAAATGGAACGCCCAAACACGATGATGTTGGATTGGCCCACAAAACCATGAGTGATGTAGAGGAGCCAATCAGGATGCAGTTCGGCTTTTAGCGCATCTCTAGAAAAATAATAAATGTCAAGTGGCTCGAATGAAGTCAAGTTGCGATTTCTTAAGAAATCAACATAAAACGATGCACGACAAATTACTGACCAAATTATCGGTGAACTTTTCGGAAGTACTCGTAATTACACAAGAGCATCAAAATTACCGATAATTTTTCATGGAAGCGTGTTGCCTAAAAACTGCATGAGTCGAACTCTTTAGCCAAAATATGAAAATAACCGAGTGCGGTTTTTTACTGACAACATGCTCGAATGGAAAATTACGACGGTTATTTTGATGCATGAGTGTAAGGCTACTTGCACACACACCGATTTTGGACGGCCGGTAAAATATCGGCCGACCACATTTTAATAGTAAACCATTGGAGGGCATTGAAGCTTGCACACTGGCCGACCACCAACCGGCACCGGAAAAAAGCCGGTTAGCAGCCGGACATTGTCACTGTGAAGCGCCGGTACCGGGAATATACAGAGTGTTAATGATATGCGAATATTTAAGGGTGTGAATCTACATGAAAAATTAGTGTTAGTTTGCTTTATAAACTATGGTCCAAAAATGTTTCCTTACAAAAACTCGGGCTGTGTAATTATATTAAAATATAATTTTGATTTAATTTATTGATTAACATGTCTCACCTTTCGGAAAAGTGTGTGTTAAATGTGGAAAACGATATACTAGATGTTCCTTAATCATATGCAAATTTTTTAGGGGTGTATCTACATGAAAAATTAATGTTAGTTTGATTTATAAACTATGGTCCAAACATGTTTCCTTACAAAAACTCGGGGTGTTGAAGTTTTAGAAAAAAAAATGGAAATTAATTAATATTTTCAGAACCGCTTCAGATATTTCACTGATATTTAGTACGTAGTGGAAGTTAATAAAGTTGCATATTTTTCAATACAAAAATAATGTTTAGCTTTAACAGTGGCGCACGTACGGGTATTGACTTCGATATTTTTTGAGAAAAAATGGTACGCCAATGGTTTTTTCCCAAATAAAAATTATTTTCGAATTCCCCGTTCAATTTAAAACAAACGATCTCTCCTGAATTGTTTTCTTTCGATGCGCCATTTTTGAGTAAAGAAATAAAAACCGTTCTATTGTCTAACTTGCAAAATTATTATTAATTTAACTGAAAAAATTAAATACATTAGGGGTAATGAACAACAACTGACAACATAAAGATAACATTAAAACCAACGAAATGATTACAAACAATGTTGAAAATGGCCCCCTTCGCTTAGTATGCATGCTTCCGCCCTTATTCTCATGGAATTGCGCACTCGTTGAAATATTCCTGGAGTGTTTTTTATTGTATCACAAGATGCAACTATTCTTTCTCTAAATATCTCTGGATAAACAGTTTGTAAATAATTATGAACCGCTACACTGAAATGCGCTGGTGTACCATCATGCATGCACCACATATTATTTCTTATTACTAACGGAACATCATCAAGCAGCAAAGGCAAACTGATGTTGAAGAAAATTGAGGTAAGTCTGTCCGTCAAGTCGTCCCGGCAAGAAGAATGGGCCAATAAAGCGGTTGCCAATAATTCCTGCCCATACGTTAACCGAAAATTGGTGTTGGAAATAGGTTTCGGTTACGGCATAGGGATTTTCTTCTGCCCACATATGATTATTGTGGACATTCTGAATGGCATTTCGAGAAAAATTAGCTTCGTCCGTGAACAGAATCGTTGATTCAAATTGCGGATTTTGTGTAATTTTCTGAAGATACCACTGACAAAAGGTCACACACCTTATAACAAAAAATCCACTAAAATTCTCCAAACAATTTGATGACAAATATTTAAGTGTCTAGCGATCTTCCTCGTACTCGTTTCAGGATGTTCTTCGACTTCGTGCAGCACTGTTTCCTCAATTTCAGACGTTCTCACACTTAGAGGTCTACCTTCAGATGTTTCTTTCGGACAGAACCAGTTTCAACAAGACGACGATGAATATTAGAAAAGGTTCGACTATCTCGCAAAGCACGATCGGGATATCTCTGGTGGTAAATCCGTCTGGCTTGCTGACCATTACCGTCGGCAAGGCCATTTACGTAATGCATTTCCGCCATTTCTGCATTTAAATAATTCACCATTATTAACAAGATTGTAAAAACTAAATAATGAAAAAGATGTCACAGCGAACAGATTTGAATAACAGAGACTTGTCAGATATCAAAAGCCAGTGACATAATCCAGAGCAACTAGATATGTATTGCTAAATTGCATTCTTCAATTATTACATTAATTTTCTCGAACAATAGAACGGTTTTTATTTTTTTACTCAAAACTGACGCATCGAAGGAAATCAACTCAAGAGAGATCATTTGTTTTAAATTGAACGGGGAATTCAAAAATAATTTTTATCTGACAAAAAATCATTGGCGTACTATTTTTTTCTTAAAAAATATCGAATTTGCATTGAAAAATATGCAACATTATTAACTTTCACTACGTGTGTACTAAATATCAGTGAAATACCTGAAGCGGTTCTGAAAATATTAATTAATTTCCATTTTTTTTCCTAAAACTTCAACACCCCGAATTTTTGTAAAGAAACATTTTTGGACCATAGTTTATAAAGCAAACTAACATTAATTTTTCATGTAGATTCACACCCTCAAATATTCGCATATCATTAAGGAACACCCTGTAGAGGCATACGTGTTTGAATAGGAGCTTGCACAATCACCTATTATTTAATGGCCGTGATTACGACTGCATATAATAATACGTATACTTGAATTTTTTGATCGAGCATTTGCCTTTGCTTCTGGAGGTTGTCAACCTGCAAACTCGGATGCATATGTACTTCCAACATGATGGCGCACCTGCGCATTATCATAATCATGTGCGTAGCTATTTGGACACCCGGAGTAACAATCCTTCGATCGGTCGTGATGGGCCTATATCTTGGCCTCCTAGATCACCAGATATGACAACGATGGACTTCTTTCTATGGGGCTACGTTAAGCAAGAGGTTTACACAAAACAACCATCTACCCGGGAAAATATGAAGGAAAGGATTAAGGATGTTTTTCTGAACATAAGGGAATACATGCTGAGGGATGTGCAATGGTCATTTATCCAAAAACTACGGTTGTGTATTCAACATGGTGGAGATATTTTACGCTTGAAGCTGATTTATACTGTTCTGATTGTTATTAGTTTTTACGTCAAATCTGTACTCTAAAGTGGCAATATGGAACTAGCCCACTGTTGGTCTTTTGTTTCCATGGATGATGTGATTTTTTTTGCTTAATTTTGGGGTGTTGTTCTATTAAAAGCTTAATAACTCAAAATCTGAATCAAACCTTATACCAAAAAAAGCTTATAAGAATGTTATCCAAACTTGAACATATATATATAGGGTGATTCATTTGAAATTTTTTAGAAAAAGTACAAATCGCATTTTTGACCACCCTGTATGAGCAAAACTGAAAATTCAAAAAAGTAACAGCTGAGGTGTGTAGGTTTTTTTTATATATAAAATTCAGCACTCCAAATTTCAAAATAGCAAATTGAAGGGTTTCCGAAGTGGGCGGTTTTTCTGGACAAAACACCTCAGTAGCTAGTTACCAAAACCAGATAGTATGTTATTATCAATCTTCTTGTTTTGAATTGGTTTATCCAAAGATGCAATAAAATTTGAGGCATTCCATTTAAAAAATCATAACTTTGATATGTAGGTCAACACCCTGTATAATTGCCAAAATATTAGAACTGAGTCCTCAAATGTCATGTAAAACATGCCATAAATAGAAATTTCCAAAATGTATTTGTTTATGAGTAATATTCCGTCCACACATGGATGGGCCACCCTGTACATCACCACAGTATAGATAATAGCATCATAAAACTCACCTAAGTAAATGCATATTCCACACAAACTTCTTGTGAGGTTGTGTCCTCACTCCATAGTGTTGTGTTTCTGGGTTGTCTGAATTGGTTGAGCCAGAAACTATAGATGAAGAGAGATGATCAGTATTGTTGATCTCAAGATCTCCACTATCATCTTCCAGATTGATATTTGGCATGAACCTTTTGGGGCTGGTTAGATTATACTGTAAGGTATGGGACAAATCATAACTGTAACTGAAAAGAAATAGTCCTACCTGTGAATGCATTAAGAACAAGAATAATGAATATAATCATGTCCTAGAAAGAATTATGCTACTAAGTACTATCTTTTTATTATACCTGTAATAAAAATTGCTAGCTAAGTCAATATTTTGGAACATCTTTACATATCTAGTTTCGTCAGGATGCAAAAGTCTAACACTATCATGAGGAATGTAAACCATCGTGGTATCTTCAATCTTATAGATAGTGTGATGACCTACTACAGCAACTCTTCTTCTTTTAGTTATTAATATAACATAATAACCCTCTAAGAATCTAATGAAACCTGCAAATCATATCTTTTTGTAGTACACAGGATAATATGCCTTCAAAACCTAACTGTATAAAAACAATAGATCTCATACATAAACAATAAAATGGATGAGGATCATAAAGACCCTTTCATAATTGATTTAATAATAATGATTTTACTAAGATTATGAGAAATATGTGAGGGACAGTGGTCAGACTGTAATGCAGTATATAATATATTCATACCTACAATCCCAAAGGCAGATATGACTTTGGAAAAACCCCCACCTCCAGATTTCCTATTTCCTGCTTCTATCATGTTAATGAGGTTTTGGATTTCCTCAGCAGTATATTCTACTTTATCATCATAAATTACCAAGTCGTTAGCCTCCATACGATCAATTTTTATTACCCTAAACCTTGTCTGTGTGTTGTTCGACCCCACCAAGTAATATTTCTACAATAACAACATAAGAATTTACTGAAGTCAGAAAAGATTAGGTAACTTACAGATTTTGTTTCATACAAAGCCATTTTCTGTATCGAACTTATTATAGGGTGGAAAATAACGTTGCCCTTCTCCATATTGTATGTTGTTTCTATGTTGTAGGTTATAATATTATTCTATTCAACTAGTTATGGCATATATTATGTATCCAGGTCAAAATATCTCTGATTTCATTTACTTTTACATAATTTTCAACCCAACAGAATAATGTAATTGAAATTTCTTCTTTTATTTTTCTAACCTTTGGATGTTTGACACAAAACAGGTGTCTATCCTCTATCCTCTCTCTGTCTATGTCTATTGTCTTTGCATATTTTTCGTATCCCCTCGTAACTAGTATAACTTTTTACTGATTCTATTTTTACAAGACGCGGAGACCGATATCCGCAACACCGGCCAACCGGCAAGGAAAACGGTCTGGGAAAGGTTGGTTCCATGAAGCGCTTATTAAGGCATTATCCATTTTAATCCGATACAATAATCAAATCCAAGCGAATAACCAAAATTTCTGTGTTATGTGCCGCGGTTATAATATGCTTCAAGATGACACACGGGTTGATGACGTCATTTACACGAATCGCTTGAACGCGTTGGTTTTAACCGCGCGGTTTTGTTGCAAGTTTCGTCTACAACGGTGTATGGAAACTTTAAATAAGATACCTTTCATAATACTCATGGGAGAATTGTTTTTTTTTCAGAAAAAAAAAATTAATGATGGAACCATGGTTTTGTAGCTATGATAACTTTCAATTCTCTAAATTTTTCCGCATGTCAAAGAAAACATTTATTAATTTAGCAGAAATGATGAAAAAGCGATGAAAAAAGATATTAGCAAAACCGTATACAGGTGGACATCATTCAGTGAGTTTATATGGCCATATTTTAATAATCGTGTGGTATATGGCTACACAGGATACTTTTATAAGCATAGGAACTAGATTTAAAGTGTTCCCAACAACAGTAATCAGTATAACTAATAAGGTGCTCCACTTTATGCTAACACTGAAGTCAGCCTGTATCAAGTTTCCCAAAAATAAAGCTGAAGTACAATAACAATATCCAATACCCAGCAAAATTCTAACTTGTCACATTTCAAATAAGAACCAGAAATATAAAACTACTCCTGAGTTGGGTAAATACCACAATTTTGCGGTGATAACTATGACTATAACAGCTGATTCATGACGTCAGGGATCATATAACCAAACTGATAACCACACTCGCTTGAACGGATCGGTAAGTACCAACCCAAAATGGTAAATACCATTTTCATTTGGTTATCCGCTTGAATTTGATTATTAATTGTTACTTGCTTTCTTGCTTAATGTGATTGATTGGGGCATTGCGGCGTACTCTGCGTAATTGTCACTCATTCCTGTGATATGAGTGACTTATACAAGTGTATTTGTATTTCTTATCGATGAAGTACAAAGGAACCGATGTTCAAGTTTGAAGAACTTTCACAGAGTTTGCTTGCTTGAAGATCTATCCAATTAACCAGGGGGGTGAAACTCATATTGGCGAATGGGAAACAAAGCAGTGTTGCTGGTGCATAATATGACAACCATGTCGCACCCTCAAAAAATGGCGACTTATCACAACTGACGTTCTCCGATTGGCCAGATTTAAATTTCCGGCGGGTTTCTTCCTGTGCTCTGTGCTTTGCAAAAATAACTTTACTTTTTCAGCATGTCATTTCCTTAACATTTCATTTTAATTAAATAAGGTCCCTATTATGTTATATAAGCCATATGCATTTTGTTCGGAGTTGTGAAGTATAACATTGTAAGTACACAAATCTGTAATACATATGTTTGTAAATACTATGAGACAAACTCCACATCCAAACTTTCTTTTTTAAGGTGATCCAAGTCATTAGTCAGGCTTCTGGTAGATCCTGAGAAAGATCAGAGATGTAGTGGTTACTCATTTTAGAAATGTAATATTTGAAGATTGTACCTGTTTGTATCTCCACATCACGCTTTGAACAGTGGAGCTCCACGAAAAGTTCAACAGCTGCCATTGTCAACCCCTGAGGTCCTGAGAATTATCAGAAGCTCAGAGATTACTTCTGGTCTAACCAAAAGGCTCAGCTCTGAAGGATATTTGCAGAACACAACGTTTGTAAGTTTTTATATGACTCAATAACTAATGATGATTTGTACTGCTTTCTGTCCAAATTAGTTTTCATACTTCGTTTTAAATCAGCTATTGTCAGAGCAATAGGGTTGATATGTAAAGCTCACTATAATTTTAATGAAATCAAAGCCAAGTATTGATGAGTGCCCTCAGGGGCGCTGTGCTAACAGTTAACTCTTGATGATGATCAGCACATCTGAGAAAAATTCCTGTGGGTACCTGTGGACAATCATATTATTGTTCTAATAATAAAAGAAATCTAAATTGTAGAAACATATCAACACAATTCAACTTTTTTCTAATTTTTGATGTATGCAGGTGCCAACAAAGGCTGGGGAATGCAAACATCTGGACCATAATGATGTTAATACTGCTTTGTTTGTAGAAAAAAGTATGAGATTTATACAACAAATATATTTTTAGGTATTTGCAGTATATCTTCTGAACCTTTTCAGATTAATAAGTAAATATGAGTGATCTTATAACAGCTTGTGTTATTGACGTTGCTATTTTAACATACAAAAAAAAGCATTTATTCGTCAAGATAGCACAAAATGTTAATAACACATACTGTCAGATATATACATAAACACGAGCATATAATATTATTATTGAGACAGGGCGGTACTCAAACTTCCAAAGGGCTATAACTTTGTTACTTTAATTTTACCAGAAAAATGGTAAAGGAAAAAAACATTTCTTTTGATCAGATCTACTCACTGTTAAAATAAATGACTCAACTTCGAAGTCACCCTGTATGCACTTTGAAGTTGAGTCATTAATTTTCATATAATGATTGTAGAAGGAAGATAAACCAAAATATGTGTGTAAAAATAAAAAAAAACTTAAAAAAAGTTACCTTGTTTTATAAAGTATCCTCCCGACAAGTATTTCAGTGCGGACCTGTATTTGATCGTGCGGTCTTGGAGCACCAGCATGCCCTCCCCTGTGGTGTCTTAAGTCACCTGATTCACGAGTCTTTTGTACTACATTAACAAATGCACGAGGGGATGGTTGCACTCGATTGGGAAACCGATCCGCATAATTCCGTGATGCCGCGGCAGCATTTTGTAAAGACTCCCCCCCCCCGTAAATAAGAATCATGTCCACAAGTTCAGCATTTTCGTAAACATGTGCCATTTTTTATCTCGTTTGAGCCACGCAACAAACACCACTATTCACTCACGCGTTACCGACTGACACATTGACTGAATACAACTGAATAAAACATCGTGAGAAGCGTTTCAAATTCTTTCGCTTTTTTGTTTCCGATGCTATGAACCGATAAGGCGGATTATATCCGTTGTTCCAAACACGAGCACATAATATTATTATTGAGACAGGGCGGTACTCAAACTTCTAAATGGCTATAACTTTGTTACTTTAATTTTACCAGAAAAATGTTAAAGGAAAACATTTCTTTTGATCAGATCTACTCACTGTTAAAATAAATGACTCAACTTCAAAGTCACCCTGTATACAGGGTGACTTTGAAGTTGAGTCATTAATTTTCAGATAATGATTGTAGAAGGAAGATAAACCAAAATATGTGTGTAAAAATAAAAAAATAAATAAAAAAAAAATGTTACCTTGTTTAATAAAGTATCGTCCCGACAAGTATTTCAGTGCCGACCTGTATTTGATCGTGCGGTATTGGAGCAGCATGCCCTGACCTGTGAGGTCTTAAGTCACCTGATTCACGAGCACTTTGTACTACATTAACAAAGGCACGAGGGGTTGGTTGCACTCGATTGGGAAACCGATTCGCATAAATCCGTGATGCATCCGGGAGCATTTTGTAAAGACTGCCCCCCCGTAAATAAGAATCATGTCCACAAGTTCAGCATTTTCGTAAACATGTGCCATTTTTGATTTCGTTTGAGCCACGCAACAAACACTTACTATTTATTCACTAACGCGTTATCGACTGACGAAAAACATCGTGATAAACGTTTCAAATTCTTTCGCTTTTTTGTTTCCGATGCGATGAACCGGTCAGGCGGATTATATCCGTTGTCGCCAAACACGAACATATTATTATTGAGACAGGGCAGTACTCAAACTTCCAAAGGGCTATAACTTTGTTACTTTAATTTTACCAGAAAAATGGTAAAGGAAAAAAACATTTCTTTTGATCAGATCTACTCACTGTTAAAATAAATGACTCAACTTCGAAGTCACCCTGTATATACAAGTATAGCAATCTCAGATTTATATGTAGAGCTGGCAACGTTGCGGGATATTAATGCACAATCTGGCAACAATGCCGCATCCTAAAAAAATGGCCGGTGACAACCATACAAGTCACCGTGTTGCCATTGAATAGCATGGAATTAAACCTTCTTCAGTGTATATGTTTTGTGCATTTAACCTCAAAATAGTTTGGAGATTGATGAATGATGATCTCTGTTGATGATGTGTAGTGTGCTGTGTATTTGTTTATGAATTGTTTCATTTGTGATTGATTCAGCAAATGAGATAAATAGTGCATTAAACTAAAGATAATTTTTCCGAAAAAAAGATGGTTGTTTGCCCTACCTCTGGTCCTACGGAGCACGGCCTCCAGGCCGACGTAATATTCGTGATCGAGGGAACCGCAGTGAATGGGGCATATATAAACGATATAAAATCCAACTACATAATTCCTTCCCTAGAGTAAGTAGATTTTTGTTATACAGGCATTAGGTGGAGTAATTTTCAAGCTTATTTAGTATGATTAGAGCGAATCTTAACAGCACTATACTAGGGTACCGAAAAGGAAGATATCAACAATACACATTCGCACACCACCAGTGGCGTATATGAGGAGGGCTGTTCATCAATTCAAAAAAAGTCCCCTTACTTATATCTTGAAGCAAGTTGAAATATAGAGTAATGAAATTGATACATATACAGGGTGACTTCGAAGTTGAGTCATTTATTTTAACAGTGTGTAGATCTGATCAAAAGAAATGTTTTTTTCCTTTACCATTTTTCTGGTAAAATTAAAGTAACAAAGTTATAGCCCTTTGGAAGTTTGAGTACCGCCCTGTCTCAATAATATCATGTGTTCGTGTTTGGCAACAACGGTTCATCGCATCGGAAACAAAAAAGCGAAAGAATTTGGAACGATGTTTTTACGATTACAATTCAGTTCAGTTATACATACAGTCAGTTTCAGTCGCGTGTGTCTGTTGCGTGGCTCAAACGAAATAAAAAATGGCACATGTTTATGCGGATCGGTTTCCCAATTGAGTGCAACCAACCCCTCGTGCCTTTGTTAATGTAGTACAATGGGCTCGTGAATCAGGTGACTTAAGACCTCACAGGGGACCTCACGATCAAATACAGGTCCGCACTGAAATACTTGTCGGGAGGATACTTTATAAAACAAGGTAAAATTTTTTTTTAATTTTTTTTTTATTTTTACACACATATTTTGGTTTATCTTCCTTCTACAATCATTATCTGAAAATTAATGACTCAACTTCAAAGTCACCCTGTATAAATACTACTATATTTTAACATAAAGGAGCTGGTTGGAGATTTCAAGATGATCTAGGCGCCATATTGGAAAATTTCTTCAAATGGAATGGGGTATCATGCTATAACTCATTTTGAAGCTGTTCATGGTTACTTTTTAACTCTAGAATGTGAAATGACCATCTTTCAAAATGGCAAACTTGGAGGCTGTCAAAGTTGAGCATTTATGAGCTTGTAACTCAACAACCAGTCATCAAAATGCTATGGTATATTAATTTACTTCTATCCAGCTATGTAATAAAATATTGTTTGTCTGCTTAAGATTTATTTAGCTTGTCTATCAGGGTCTGTTAATTGGGATTTTTTTACATATCTGGGTTTTTTTGGCAGTGGAACCATTTGATTCGTATAATCTTAAAAAATTTCGAACACTGTATCTAGATAACCCGAGCAGTATTCCAATTTCACCGTTTGATTTTCCCGATGTATGCAAATTAATGATAATTGATCGAATATTTTCATCTATCGCCTTTCCTCTGCCCATTTTTGACAGCAACTACGAGGTACGGCCGCCTGATAAACTAAGGTTCGCTAAAACAAGCGAGCGTCGTTGACAAACAAGCATTGTTACCACGTCCGTCTTGACAAATCATCGTTAGCAATATTTGGGTATTGAAGTTTTTTTTACAGTTGTCGATTTTTTATCACACAACATACTCTAATGAATCCATATATTTCCTAAATTGCTATAAATAGCATATTTTGTCTTACATCTTACGATATCTTTTATATCTCCTATATTCTAGAGGGTTTTTTTGCCGATAAAAGTAAAAAAAAACTACAAATTTTGTGTGCTGGCCAACTGAAGCTGTACAGGGCTCGTATAACCAAATCACTCGGTTGGTAAATATCAAAGTCATTCGATGTTTCAATACCAACATAAAAGATGGCGCACCCGGTACAAAATGAGGTATCAAATGACCCTCCATTCTGTTTAAAAAAATGTTATAAGATGGCGTCCAGCCGCCAATTGTTATTTTTTTATATATAGTATTCATGCATCATTTTCATTACTCTGCATTGTAGCTTACTAACCTGAGTCACCCAAAAAATGAGTAGTGGCAGATCTTCCTGAAAAGCATTGTATATGCTTATTTTGTAATGGGTCATAAAATATATGGAAAGAATCGTACTTTACTTTAAAACAGGAAAATAAGTCTTTTGAGACTTTCCCAGTGACATCCATGTTTATTTTTTATCAACTTTCCTCCATTATTGGTGGAAACAACATTTCCCGCCTCTATTTTTTAAATACATCATTTCAGGAAATATAAAAATATCCATAAAACTTGTATTATTTTCACTTTACAAGTTCAAAATATATACCTATGTAAATTTCCTCATTATTGCACCACAAAATGGTTGGAAAATAAGTCTTGAAAATTAATTTAAAATGTTGTGTCTATCCCTCAAAACATTGTCTGATTGAATGTTTATTTCTTTTTGCCTTATGAACATTGATGATTTTGAAAAGATCATAATGATGAAAGTCAAACATATCACTAATTTTCACAATTTGTAATCCAATAATGAGAATGAATAACATTGTATTCAACTACTTTACCTTGATCAATCTAATATGTTAGGTCGTTTTTTATTTATTATTACAATGATGAACCAGAACGGATAATTGAACATGGCTTGAGGTACTGATTCAATCAGTGTAACCTTGCTGTTTAATGATAATAACTTAATTTCTGAGACAACAAAATTTGTCCTAACTTTACACCCAATCTCTTTACCATAATTTTTTTTCAAAATATTGTCCTGTTTTGCAGATACTTCAGTCAAGGAACTCTTGAAGAAACCAACTACATCTCAGAAAATGCAACTTCTATGTATGGAATTGTGGTCTATTATGCTGCAGATTGCTTACCACACCCCAGCACTGATACCTTTGGACCATTCTCTAGTCCATCGAAGTTACTCAGTGCCATTGATAAATTAGAGTATGTTTGTATAGAATCAAAATTTTTAAATATACTTTTTCCTCTAATTAATGTACTCATAAAATAAAATATTTACTTTAAAGGCATAGGTATTGATTACGAAGTAGTTATACTCTTGAAGGTTTATAATATTTTGTTCTTATTTCTCCAAAATTTGATTGTATTATGGAAAATTTTCATGTTGATTGCTTGAAAAATATGTAACTGTTCAAGAGGATTTGAATGGTGTCAGCATGTTTATCAAAACAATCATTTAAATTTACACATTATTTTTTGGCAGATTGCTTGGTGGCAAAGGAGAGTCTCATGCCAATCTTGCAGAAGGACTTGCGACCGCGATGAATTGTTTTGAAGAATTACAACAAAAAAGAGACACAACTGCAACAACTCAGAAGCATTGTGTTCTAATATGTAACTCTCCACCATATACTCTGCCTGTTTTAGAGTCCCACTCTTATTCAGGAAAGACTGCTGAACAGTTGGCTACTGTACTCCAAGAGGTAATAATCTTAGTTTTTCCCCTTTGAGGTACAACACTTATACTAAATGCATGTTTCAGAATAATATAAATCTTTCTTTGGTATCATCAAGAAAGATTCCAGCATTGTACAAGCTTTTTGAAAAAGCTGGTGGAGACTTGTCAAGCTGCCAGAATAAAAACTATGCAAAGGACCCTAGACATCTTGTTCTGTTGAAAGGTTTCAGGTGATTATTTGTTTGTTTGCTTGTTGAAAATTTATTTAGCATTAATGTGAATTTTGTGTAATTATTTGCTTACACATTGTTTTAATCAATTTTCTGTAATTTTACATCCTTGTTTATTAAAATTAATCATACATTTAGGGTATTCATGAAGTGTTTTTTAATTTCACCTTAAACATTTTTAAATTTAAACACTGTTTAATAGCATCATGCAAATTATAAAATTCAAATACCTTTGAAATTCTGATTTGTTTGTTATTTCATAGTTATGATAATGACTATTTAATTTTGCGAAATTTTCTAAATGTGGGTAATAAATGATTGTTTAATTTGAATATGAATATCAGAACTGAATAACATATAAAATGTTCTACATTCAAGCACTGTAGTTCTCCTTATATAGACTTGATCAGCATATTTGCTTTTATTCAAAACATTTTATAAATTTTTGTAAAATATATATACAGTAATGGACAAAAGTATATAGACAAATATGAATATTTACCTAAATACCTTTAGAAAACGAATTCATAAACAAATGCGTTATTAGTAGAAAAACTAAATTCCTTGTTTTTACATTATCAGCAATGAACACAATACAAGTCTGAATATAAGCACTTTTTTATGAGGGACAAAAATATGTAGACAAATTCTTTTCAACAATAGTTTGGTACAGTTTCGTGTCAGAAGAGGATTAGTTTGTGTTCATCAAGTATTGTGGAATAAGTTGCGTGATTTTACGACCATGCCCCGTGGTCCAGAAATTTCTTTCGATGTGAAAACTAAGATCATTGAGTTATACAAGGATGATGAACGTCAAGTCGACATTGTTTGAGCAATATTGAACAAATATAAACAAAAAGGTATCTTGGAAGCCTCTAAGATATGTGGTCGGTCTAGAAAACGAAATGCTAGATCAGTTAGATTAATAAAAGTAATTTCGTCCAAAGATCCGTTTAAAACCCCAAGACAAATAGCCGAAATCGAGACAAAAGGAATTGTCAGTTTTTCTACGAAAACTATGAGTAGAAGATTAAATGATTTGAAGTTATTTGCACGTCGCCGCTAATCTCGAGGGAAAACGGTAAGGACCGATTACAATTTGCACGGTTGCATCTTGAATGGAGCATTTGTGACTGGAAGAGGGTATGTTTCAGTGACGAATCCAAGTTCAATATGTTTCGATCAGTTGGTGTTCATTACGTTAGACGTCCTAGTGGACAAAGATTGAACCCCAAGTACACTTTGCCCACTGTCAAACATGGAAGCGGGTCTGTTATGGTTTGGAGGTGCTTTTCGGGGTTTGGGATGGGACCTTTACATAGAATAGATAGCATTAATGCTAAGTTTGTATACACAGACATACTAAAGCATGTCATGTTACCCTATATGGAAGACAATATGCCCTTAAGATCAATCTACCAGCAAGGTAATGACCCGAAGCACACTTCAAATCTCGCAAACAAATTCTTTCTGGATGAAAAAAAAAACAGTTCTCAAATGGCCTTCACAGTCTTCCGATATAAACCTCATTGAAAATCTATGGGAATACTTAGATAAGCAAATACGAGATAAAAATTATTCAAACAAGGATGAACTTTTGCCGCTTTAGAGCAAAAGTGGAGACATATTGATGAATCTTACATCAAGAAACTTCTACAATCGATGCCAGGCGGTGATTGATAATAATGGTTATGCTACAAAATATGGTTGGTTTTTTATAATTCAATGAATTTTGCTTCTTTTTTTCTATAATTGTTTTGCTTTGTGTATATATTTTTGTCCTTCATAGTTCCAGTTTTTTTCAATTATTAATTTTTTATTGAAGTGAGTCTAATGAATTTATTTATGTATATGTGAGTATTATGCTATAACGAATTATGTATACAGGTTGGTGTATTAATAAAACAAGTTAAAAAAGAAATACAGCACAATAGTAATTTGTCTATATAATTTTGTCCATTACTGTATATATATGTATATATATTATATGATTCTAAATTTTCTAATATATGTTTGTCATGCTTATCTAATTTTTAACATGTTTTATGCTATAAAACGAAGATGAATCTAAGAAGCAGTCTAAAAATACTTTATATATGGGTGAATGTACAGTGTCAACTAAGAAAAATAGCTTATTTTGTTTTCATATTCATTGCCGGAAGTCTACATGATGTGATACATATTTGGCATTGTCAGAATTTTTTTGACAGCTTTAATAGGTACCAGGGGAAAATGTTTGGTCATGAAGGGTAACATTTAAACTACAAAAAAGATACTTGAAATGTGATATGTTCTCCCATATAGCTCTAAGTTCAAGAATCTTGTTTTAGCAATGTTTACTACATTTTTGAACATCTTTCATATAATATTTTTAAAACCAGTTTTCTCAGCTGGCACATGTAGTGTGAAGTAGACTACTTAGTATGTGGTGCAATGTAAAATAAGTAAATAATTTTTTTTTCCTGCAGCCTGAAAGAACGTCCCCTGAGTCCACCTCCTGGCAATGTGACTCCAGGTCAGTCTCAGATTACTGGAGGTACACCAACCGGTTTGCCCATGACGTCAATGCCAAGTCCACTGCCTGGAAGTGACAGTCCCATACCTGGCAGTAGTCAGAATTCTGCAATGATGGTTAACAGTGCAGGTGCTGGGGTAGCTCCAAATCAAGGAGCTATGTACAGACCGCCAGCAGCACAGGGTGAGTGCTATTTGATACTTATTTTCCAAAAATTGCAACTACAGTACTTCCGCGGCGTAAATGTCACTAGAATAGCGTTTGAATCACTGAATGTATAATTACCTATGCGTCTATTAACGGATAGCACACGATTTAATAAAATTGTTTGTTTGTTTAAGATTTATTTAGCATGATTGCTACAATTCAGTGGTGGCTCGTGGCAAAATAAAACAGGTGTTCTGCAAATCCGGACTCACCTATTTTTTATATGTCAGTTCGACCCTGCGCTCCTTCTTGGCAGCAAATTGGTCGATCACCTTCCCGTTGAAATTTTCCATGATCGTAATAAATTCCTTTTCAATTGACAGCATCGACAACGCTGTAAGGCGATCCTGGGTCATAGTATTATGAAGAAAAGTCTTGATTCTTTTCAATGTTGAGAAATTTCGCTCAGTCTCTGATGTTGACACAGGAGTTGTAACAATTTCTAATAGCTTTTTTGTTTATTTTAGTGTTTTCTCCAAACTATTTTGTATCAAAAATTTCAAAAGAGACAGAGTTCCATGTAAATCTCGGCAATCATTCCGTGCATAAATAACAGACAACTCTGCCTTTAAACTTTTTTCTAATTCGGGATAAGCCAAGCAGGTAGTTTCCAACTTGTCATCAGGAAACTTACCACAGTATTCTCCAAAGTGTTCGGGGAAAAAAAGGGATGCGGCTACCAAATGATCTTTGAATTGAAATCTGTCATTTGCAGAATTCACTATATTGTCGCATACTTCTAATGCGGCAACTCGGTGATCGTGACTGCTATTATTACGTCGTCTCCTTTTGTTGCCTTGGGGTTCAGTGCAAATACTTTTGGCTTCATTTATTATGTCATCAATTTTATTTCTTACATCGACAATACATTTTTCAAAATTATCGATAGCCGTTTTAACTTGCGCTGACTCGGTTTTTCTCTTCTGAAACTGGTTGAACAAGATGTCGACGTGAGGCATGACATGATGAAAAAATGTCAATCAAAACACGAAAACAGAATCGTTTAACATACGGCGAATACCGCAAGCTGCCTTGCAAACGGTTTCATTAGTGAAATTTTCTTGTATTTCTTCCATGCATTCAATGAGTGATTCTCTGTTCTCACTACATTTATTGTTCGAATATTAAAATTCCAACGAGTTGTTGCTCCTTGGGGATTTTTTTCCCCACAATTCTGTTCAGTACCTCTACGCGTTGAGGAGAATTATTAAAAAATCCCGGAATATCTTTCAAATCCCCAAAGAACACGCGAACTTGAGCATTTGCGGAGCATAGTGAGCAAATGGATATCTTTGTTTAATTTTTGCCTGTACTTCAGCATTATGTCCGCTCATTACCGCGGCTCCATCATAGTTTTGTGAAATCAGTTTGTTAGGGAAATTTCCTATTAATGGATCTACGACGCTCAAAATATGTCTTGTGGGAGTATCAGCGTCACATTTTTCGGGATTCAAATAATTCCAAAAACGTTCTACTGGTTCGCCGTTAAGTACGTATCTAAAAATTATTACCAGTTGGGTTTTCCCCGAAATGTCCGTTGTTTCATCTGCTATTATCGCCAAATACGAGGCTCTGTTAATCTGTTTTATTATTTCCTCATGACAAACTTCAAGAATACAATCCAGTAGATCGTTTTGTATTTCTTTCGAAGTTCCTTTAAATATTGAAGCATTTTTTATGTGTTCGCTTAAGGTTGTATCAAGCTCAGCAGAAAAATTAATCAGTCCACAGTCGCATTAGATCTGTACGGATCTGTTTTACGTGCAGCACATGGTTATGCTTAAATCGCGCATTTGATTTTGTAGAGAGAGACTAAAGCAAGCGCGTGCGGCTTGTGTCGAAGTAGTGCTCAGACCCTTTTCAAGTGGCCCATGAATAATGTTAGGCTGCGGTCGCGACGAAAAGACAATTGGTCGATTATAATGCTTTCTCAAAACAAAACAGACTCGACGCCGTGTCTTGCGGGGCAGCTTTGCCGGTATTGTTTCTATTTGTGTGATAACATGGAAAATAAATAATGATCAAATTACTACTTCTTTTTTCTGTTAAGACAAAAGTTTTGGCAGTTCTGCAGAACTTAAGGGCCAGCCGCCCCTGCTACAATTACATTCTTCTAAAAAATTCAGAAAAAAAACAAAATTTGCATCTCTAAGAATTTTCAATGTCCATGAAATATTCCTTTAATTTTCTGTTAAATATCTTTAAATCACAAGCAGACTTTATATTATTTAGTTTATTAAGTTCAAGTAATCCTTTCTGAAATACTGATTTGCTAGTTATATTAGAATTCCAATTTTGTGAATGAAAATCTATATTTCCTCTTGTATAATAATTGTGGTAATTATTATTCAATTCTATGTAGTGTTCTAAATGTTCTGGCAAAAGATGATTTTTTATTTTAAATATAAAAATAAGAACCAAATATGATATAAAAATTTTTATATTCAACCACTGCAATTCTTGTCACATTTTATTTTGGTTTATTCAATATTATTATCATAGCTTTATTTTGCAAGACATGTAATTTTGAGAATACAATTTCATTGGCAGTGAACATGATAGTTGAACAATATAGTAAATGCGGTAGTATAATTGTATTATAAACTAATTTCTTGGAATAGGTACCAAGACTATGAGAAGCCCTACAAAAGTAATTTGTTTTTTTGGCATTTTTTGAAATAATGTATTCATAGTGATCCTCAAACTTTAGTTTACTATCAATACTTTGAAGTTGAGTCATTAATTTTCAGATAATGATTGTAGAAGGAAGATAAACCAAAATATGTGTGTAAAAATTAAAAAAAATTGTTTACCTTGTTTTATAAAGTATCCTCCCGACAAGGATTCCAGTGCGGACCTGTATTTGATCGTGAGGTCTTGGAGCACCGGCATGCCCTCCCCTGTGAGGTCTTAAGTCACCTGATTCACGAGAGCGTTGTACTACATTAACAAAGGCACGAGGGGTTGGTTGCACTCGATTGGGAAACCGATCCGCATAAACATGTGCCATTTTTTATTTCGTTTGAGCCACGCAGCAAACACCACTATTCACTCACGCGGTACCGACTGACACATTGACTGAATAAAAACATCGTGATCAGCGTTTCAAATTCTTTCGCTTTTTTGTTTCCGATGCGATGAACCGATAAGGCGGATTATATCCGTTGTTGCCAAACACGAGCACATAATATTATTATTGAGACAGGGCGGTACTCAAACTTCTAAAGGGCTATAACTTTGTTACTTTAATTTTACCACAAAAATGTTAAAGAAAAAAAACATTTCTTTTGATCAGATCTACTCACTGTTAAAATAAATGACTCAACTTCGAAGTATTATATACCTAAATATTTAATTGATTCAACATGTTCACTTATTTCTCCAGTTATCCTAACTGTGATAGTATTTTCATTTAGGTATTTCCCTATTAGTACACATTTTGTTTTAGAAGTATTCAATTTTAGTTTATTTACATTTAACCAATTTACGATTTTTTCCAAGTCAGTAATCAAATTCAAGCGAATAACTAAATGAAAGTGGTATTTACCAATCCGTTCAAGCGAGTGTGGTTATCAGTTTGGTTATAAGATCCGTGACGTCATGAATCAGCTGTTATATGTCATACTTATCACCGCAAAATTGTGCTATTTACCCAACCCAGGAGTAGTTTTATATTTTTGGTTATTATTTGAAATGTGACGAGTTAGAATTTTGCCGAGTATTGGATATTTTTGTTGTACTTCAGCATCATTTTTGGGAAACTTGATACAGGCTGACTTCAGTTGTAGCACACAAGTAGAGCACCTTATTAGTTATACTCATTACTGTTGTTGGGTCACTTTAAATCTAGTTCCTATTCTTAAAAAAGTATCATGTGTAGCCATATACCACAAGAATATTAAAATATAGCCTTAAACACTCACTGGATAATGTCCACCTCTATACTGTTTTGCTAATATCTTTTTTCATCGCTTTTTCCTATCATTTCTGCTAAATCAATAAATGTTCTCTTTGACATGCGGAAAAGTTTAGAGACTTGAAAGTTACCATAGCCATGGTTCCATCATTAAAAATTATTTTCTGAAAAAAAAACATTCCGCCAATTAAGATTATGAAAGGTTTCTTTTTTAAACTTTCCATTCACTGTTGTAGACCAAAAAGCACCGATTATTAAGCGATAATAAAAATAACCAGAAATTATATACGCGCTTTTCTAAAATAAACAACTTGCAACAAAAGCGCGGCTAAAACCAATGCGTTCAAGTGGTTTGAGTATCCGTCATCAACCCGTGTGTCAACTTAAACCATAGGTATACTCTTTAATTCACCGGTTGAGCTATCGGTGCAACCGGTTAGCCAATTTTGCATCATTTAATTTCCGCTGGAACGACCGGTTGTACATCAAACTTGTCCTTATATTGATGGTAGATATGCCACCGGTGCCAACATCATCCACCGACGGCGACGTTCGGGCTCGGTTGATCCACGATATTCTAACATCTACATTTTATCATTTTTTGACAACTACAGTTTTGTGTGAAAAAATGGAAGAAAAAAATATTGAAGTTATGCTACAACATAGGAGTGGCGTGAAATTTAATGTTTTTTTAATACAATTTGAAATAAACAGAGCATCTGAAGGCAAGTGATTTTATTTTGAATTATGCATGTCTGACAATTTCCTCTTTCCCTCCAATGGATAACTTCTTTATGAGTCATCACTCGAATCGCTTAACAAACGTTCCACCACAATACCAACTGCTACGTACATTGCCATAAGGATTTTAAATGATACCAAGTTCAAACTGACAAGTATCCATTCACGATAAAACAAAGGTTAGGTTTTCTCATATGACAGCAACCTGAAGGCTAAAAATGCGTCTTTTTATTAACCTCCATTCATTGGAACCGGTTGCTGACGTCATCACATTAGCTGTCAACCGTAAGTTCACCGGATCCATCAGTGATGGAACCAACCGGTAAATTGAAGAATATACCTCATATTATAACCGCGGTACATAACACAGAAATTTTGGTTATTCGCTTGGATTTGATTAGTGTTTGAATAAAGTGTGAACACGCCCTAACGTGTGTAATAGGCTTAATATATTATGTGTCATATAGAATGTAGAGTACATCACTTGTCACTTGTCCATCGACCGACGCGTGAAATGTACGCTCCAAAACATAGAATAAAGGATTTGCATAAATCTACATGCATCCCTTGTTTTAATGAATGAAACACCAATATAAAACAGTCAGAATTAGCATTTTTGAAGCAGTGTCTATATTTTCATCTGATATGTATATTAATGTATGAACTGCAAATATCTGAAGTTTACAATAATCTAAAATATTACAAATGTAATTAATATATAAAATAAATAGTAATGGACCTAGTTTACTACCTTGTGGTATACCAACATAAATATTTTTTGATCTTGATAATGTAGGTTCAATTTTCGTTTTTTGACGTCAGTCAATTAAATGGTTTTGTAGGTGTTCGAATACAGATCCTTTAAATCCGTAGTGATGCACTTTTGTAAGTAATTTATCCCTGTCAATAGTCCCAAACTCCATTTTGAACTCCAGAAACACTGTTACTGTATGTTTCCGATTGCCAATGCATCTCCTCCAGTCCTCCAAAGCCATTTGTGTTGCCGTTTCAATTGAATATTTCTTCCTGAATCCAGCTTGAAATTTGAAATCTGGCAGAACATTTATTGGCCGCATATTGGTGTACAACTCAGAATTCTTAACTTTAGAAACAGGATAGAACACTTCAGTTTTGTTGGAAATTTGCAATATTTTAAACAGTAATTTATCAGGATTAATATTCATGCTCAAATAATATCAAAACTTTCATTAAGCACACTTTTAGCCAAAATCTCACTCTTATTTTGATTTGTGACACAGATATAGATGAAATGAAGTCAAAAATTGGCAGTGATATACAATCAATCAAAAGGTGGGATGTTAATACTTACTTATCTTTCAATGTTAGACCAAATTTATGACATTTAAATCCTCTTTTGATTCTATGTATAACTAAAAGCAATCCTAGAGATACATGCAGACCTTTATTATTAAATCTTAAAATAGTGACTATCGTATCATTGTTTGTTTTTTAAACAGCAGCTCATATTTAACAAAAAATACCAGCTTATTTTTCTCTTGAACTGAACTAAAAGCAAATTGGTATTAATTATTTAAATGTTTGTAAGAAGAGAATGTGGTCATGTTTTTATTTCTTCTTTTCAGGTATGAACCAGGGCATGGTGCCTCCACAAAAAGGTGTCGTCAATGTTGTTGGAAGAATGATGGGCAACCAACCCATTCCCATCATGCAAGGCCAAGCACCACCTTATCACACAACGGGTAAGATATTCATATAGATCCGCTTTCAAATATATTATAAATATTAATAATGATAATTTATTTCTGTTAATACATTACGGTGCTTACACAGGCCAGAAAGAATGAATGATGAACTATTAAACAATAAATAAGAATATGATTTAAATACAGCAGAACAATATAATGTATAAAATAACACAAAACAACAAGAAAGTAAAAATAAAACTGTTCAGATATGTAAAATGACAATCTTATAAATATAGAATTAAAAAAATACAGACATATATATATAACAGAAAATGCAGGCAAATAAAATAAATATGATAAAATGTGCACACAAACATTCATAGTTAGTGTATGACAGATATTATCATTCATGAATACCTCCAGTGCAATAATCTTTTTTTACCGAGGAAACGTTTCAAATTTTTATGGAAAATATCAACGTCCAATGATATTACTTACTAAAGAAACTAATTCCATAACTGTTGGTGTCATTCCGGCTTTTGTATATGTTTCGAGTACCATAGAGGAATTTGACTATGGGTTGTGTAGGCAAATTTGATGTATAAAAGGCAATTCAGGATATAGGAACGAGGTACGGTTATAATGTTTAGTTTGACGAATTTGTACAGGGTGGCCAATATGTAACTGACTGATTCAAATTGCGCGCCATTTTTGATACACGCATTCCAGCTTAATACCGAAAATAACGATTTTTACCGACAACTGATAATGAGCGATGGACGGATTTGTTAATAAGCAGAATTGTCATATCAGGGGATTAGAGAACCAACCCTCTGTCATCCATCAACGACCACTACATCCTCGTCGAGTCACAGTTTGGTGCGGTGTTTGGTATGGAGGTGTGATTGGACCTCACTTTTTTAAGACGGTGCAGGTCTTACTGTCACTTGCGAGCACTACCGTGATATGGTGCAAACCTTTCTGGCTCCTCAAATCCAACAATTTAACCTGCAAAACATGTGGTTCCAGCAGGACGGAGCAACTTGTCAGACAGATAGGGAAACGATGAATCTTTTGCGAACAATATTTCCGGGACGTTTAATTTCTCGATTTGGCCACCAATGTCACCGGATTTAACGACTAAAAATAGGGTTTATGTCAACAAACTAAATACTGTAGAGCAGCTGAAGAACAATATTAATGAAGCGATTGAAAATATTCCTCCCGAAACCTACCAAAAAGTGATGGAAAATGTAATCAAGAGGGCTCAGGTTTGAGTGACTTCTAGAGGCGGACATTTATGTGATATTATTTTAAATGGACGTTATTTCATTTCACAAATATTCAAAATACAAACCGGTCAGTTACATATTGGCCACCCTGTATTTACACGGATATTTAGAGAATTATTGATTGTGTCTTGTCCATATTTATAGTTAAAATACGAAGTTCTATCATCAGCATACAAGAGTAATTTATTATTAAAAGATGGAGGTATGTTGATAGTGGTGTCGTTGACGTATACGTATACGAAAAAGAGAAGTGGACACGAAGACCCTTGTGGAACTCGGTGGATGTCCTTTTTCGTATCAGACATACGGTTATTATACCAGTCTGTTTGTTGTATGTTGAACACAATCAAATGTTTCAGATCGATCTAAAAGAATTGCTTGATTATCGAAACCTGTGTTTTGTTTCTATGAAACTGTTAATAGTAGCTATTGTGGACCTATTTCTCCTAAAGCTATATTTGCTATTGGTTAATAAATTATTTGACTCAAGGTGGTTACTTATCTTAAGGAAATCGAGCTATAATTTACAATTTCGTCGATTGAGCCCTCCTTAAAACTATGCCTATTATCTATGAAACCGATATTACAGATCATTATTCCACTGTATTATTGATATCTTCACAAAATAAATACCAGAACTGCCCAAGGGCAAAAAATGAAAGAAACCTTGAATACAAATATTTCACTGACAACTCAAAATTAATATTTAACGCACAAACGGAATCGTGGGACGAAATTTTTTTAACAAATTCTTTAGACGAAGCTACAAATTTATTAATACACAAAATTCAAAAAGTAATTGAAGTTAGTACTAATAAGGTTAAAATAAGTCACAAGGAAAAAAGCAGAAATGATTGGATGACCCAAGGACTAATAAAATCTGCAAACGAAAAAGAAATACTGTATAAAATCATGAAATATTTACCCACGAAAGAAAATATAGATCATTATAATCAGTATAAAAACAAATTTATAGAACTTTTGAGAAAAGCAAAAAAAAATTACTATATAAAACAATTGAATAATAATTCACATGACTCTAGACACCTATGGTCCACTGTCAATGATATATTCAATAAGTCATCCTATTCAAAAAACAATATTAATGAAATAAAAACAAAAACAGGACAGAAAACAGACAATATTCAGCAAATATGTGATGAGTTCATAGAATTTTTCACGAATATAGGAGGAAACTTTGCAAATAATATCAAACAAAATGCTGATATTCATCTGCATGAAACAAGACTGAATAATTCATTTGTATTAACTGAAGTAGACTATCAGGATGTTTTCAATGCCATTATGACTCTAAAAAATAAAAAAAGCCCTGGAGTTGACGAAATTAGAGCTGAACATCTAAAGATACTGGCTAAACAAATAACAGAACCACTTGCTTATATCATTAACAAATCCTTCCAATCTGGAGTATTTCCATCAGCTTTCAAGACAGCAATCATCATACCTATCTATAAATCTAATGATAATACGGACGTCACTAACTATCGACCTATTTCATTTATAATCAAGTTTAGCTAAAGTTTTTGAGAAATTACTCCTTAATAAAATGATTAATTTTCTTAATAAATTCAAAATTCTAAATTCAAATCAATATGGTTTTATAGCGGGCAAATCTACAACAGATGGGGTATTAAGTATAGTAGATGAAATAACCCAAAATATAGATGGAAAAGTACCATCGATATGCGTATTTGTGGACTTACAAAAAGCGTTTGACACAGTTAACCACAATATACTTTTGGAAATCTTAGAAAGAATAGGTTTTCGTGGAAAGATGTATACTTTAATAGAAAATTATTTATCAAATAGACCGCAATCAGTAAAATTATTAAGCTCGTATAGTAAAGAAATGTTTGTTAAATGTGGTGTTCCACAAGGTACAATTTTGGGTCCTCTGTTATTCAATATTTATTTAAACGATATATTCAAAATTAACAGTACTGGTAAAATAGTCAGTTTTGCAGACGATACTGCTATACTCTATAAAGGTAAGGATTGGAACGACTTAAAAGATATTATCCAAAATGACTTTTGCAAAATTATTCAGTGGTTTAATTACCGAAAATTAACAATTAACTTTACTAAAACTCATTTTTTACCATTTTCATCACTATCTAATCATCTACCAAAATATAACCATCTTCGGTTTAAGGTAAATGAATAAAATATAAAAATCAATAGAGTTAATGATACAAAATATTTAGGAATTTATCTAGATCCCCACTTGAGATGGGATGTACATATTTCTCACATACTAAAGAAAATTAGATTCATAGCATATAAAATAAAATTTCTAACCGCTATATTAACTGAATATTATCTACGAATAATATATCAAGCTTTAGTCGAGCCACACATAACATATGGTATAGTAGTGTGGAGTGCTGCATGCACGACATACTTTAACGATTTAGATGTACTTCAAAGAAGAATTTTAAAATCAATGTTAGGCAAATCAAAATTATACCCAACTAATGACTTATATAATGATGCACAAATATATGATACTAAACAACTTTACTTCTTACATACCATCACTCATTATCACAAAACTATTAGTGAACACGACATAATTAAACATAATCATAAAACCAGATATAAATTACGCGCAAAAAATGTTCCTAAACCAAACAAATCCCTAATGAAACGATGTCACCTGTATATATAGCTCCAAAATTGTACGAACATTTACCAAATAATTTAAAACAATTACGCAATACATTAGGCTTCAAAAACAAATTAAAAAAATTTATTAACACGATTGGGAGAAATCAAATTAATAAAATAATCTCAAATATTACACAATAAATGCTCTACCATTCTTACCAATAATTTCTTTTTTCTCTCTATTTTATTATATTTTGCAATTCAACATACTTATGATCCATGCACAGGCGTTGTCCTCCTATGGATATATTATATTTATTTACTCGTTTCATGTTCCCTGTATTTTAGAGTAAATAAATATTATTATTATTATAATATATTTAACTGTTTTGATGTAATTATAAAAGTTGTTAATGTGTCTTTTTCTTCTAGGTCATGTAAACAGGGCATCTCCTCACTGGACTATGCCCCCACCATCTCAACAGCCAAGGCCTTACTTGCAACAACCCAACCAACAGGTGAACACGACACAAGGCAGTGCATTGATTGCACAACTTACTCAACCACCATCGTCGATATCTGCAACTGGAGTCAATCAATTTGGGCAAAGTAAGAAAAACATTATATGTTTCCTAACAGAAATTGGAAAGCTATATAGTATGGCCACTGAGAAGTACTTCTGGCAGCCCTATATAGTAGGGATGCACCGAGTGCTTGGTTTGTACCCGATATAATCGGTCCATTTTACCGAGTACCCGGTTTCACCGAGTTAATTAGTTGTCCACGTAATTACTCGGTCTGAACGCAAGACACACAACTTGTGTAAATTTCATCTGTGAAGTGCAAAACATGAGCTTTTCCCAAAACCTTTCTTATACGAGTATATACCCCAAGACATTAACGCATCATCAAAGAAATAACCAAGCATACTTTTGCTGAATTAATTACCTGATTTGGATGATTTTTCTGTAAGTATCGAATGTCTTCGCGAGTAAGCTAGTGTATTTACGGTATTTGTATAGCTTAATTTTTACATACAATGTATTGAGACTAGATGTTTTCATTTCGCACGCCTACTGGCGTGAAAATATTGCAATCACGTAAATGTTCGGCAATGAGATATTATGTTTTTGCGATGTTATATGACATGTACATCACGAAAAACCTTCTGTCTGTCTCCCCGCTAATCCTATAACCGCATATAACTTGCGAAGTACCGCTCGGATTTTGATAAAATGTTTACACAAGGTCACTTCTAGGCCAAGGACGAAAAAGGTTTATAGTTTTTGAAAATCGGTACAGTGGCGGCGGAGAAAAAAGCCAATAACGAAACAAAAATTACTAAAAACCGCCAACACATAGTTTCTTGACGTTTCAGAGGATCCTGCTCATTTATGAAAAAAATGTTTAGGTAAAAAATTTGGGGGCGGGGTTGTAGGGGGATGGGCAGGGTATATCTCAATTTTTTTATGATGGTATGTTTATACGCCCCAACCTTGGTAATTCTACCCACCTATTAGACGTATTTCACAAATCATAGATTTCTCCGTACGTTAGCCCGTAAAACTTAGAAAAAATGGTCTCCCGTAACTGGGTATCATATTACTCAAATGTACGTAAAGATAATTTTGGTTTAGTTCTTCCAAAATTACACATCTGGTACTAGTAGTTGTGTTTCTTTTGTGCAGCCTCCTCAGAAAGGCAGCTCAAAAACCGATAGGATTTAAATTTGATGTTGGTGATGGCTATGACATGGTATTGATTCTATTGGGTAGACTTTTGAAAATTGAGTAGCTTAAGAGCATTACCTACCTTCAATAAACATGTAAATTTAAGATGTTGTGTATATCCGATTAATGTTTTGCCCGATGTCGAGAAGCTGTTCGAAGGGATAATATACGAACAAATTATAGAATTCATTGAAGAAACCAAAATTTTGATAAAAAATCAAGCTGGATTTAGAAAAAAATGTTCAGCAATCCAAATAGTGGTGGAAGACTGGAGGAGAAGTATAGATGAGAAAGAATATATTCTAGCAATATTTTTAGACTTCAAAAGGGCATTTGAGACTATAGATAGAGAAAAATTGTGTGAAATTGCGTCACTATGGCTTTAAAGGATCAGTATTACGCATTTTACAAAATTATTTAGTAAATAGTAGTTAAAAAACTAAAGTTGGAAATATTACGTCAACTGCTCAAAATATATCAGTAGGGGTGCCACAGGGGAATAAATTAGGGCCGTTACTATTTATTATTTATATAAATGATATCTCTGACATTTTAGATCACTGCAAAATTCAAATATTTGCGGACGATACACTTATATAACTTATATATATAGCACATAAGCATTTGGACACTGCTTTAGAACTGTTAAATAGTGATATTGAAAAAATTATGAATTGGTTAAATGTCAATAAACTTAAATTAAACACTAATAAAACAAAATGTATGTCAATAGGGAAACATTTAGGTGACAATACAATTAGGCTCCGATTAATGATGAAAAAATTGAAGTAGTCGAGTCATTTAAATATCTTGGTATATATGTGGATAGTAAGCTACTGATTCACGAACATTATGACTACATTATTTGAAAAATATTGAAAAAGATAAATTACTTCTATAGAGTTTCCCATAATATTAGTATGTATTCCAAAAAAATTCTGTATAACACTATAATTCTTCCCCATTTTTTATCTCGTTTACAGCAAATGAAAACATATCTTCAATATTACAAATTCTACAAAATAAAGCTATGAGAATCATTTTAAATGGAAACAAATATGCTAGGATTAAGTCTATGTTAGAAGAACTGAAGTGTTTGGATGTGAAAAATTTCATATATTATTTAGTTCTCGTTTTCATATTCAAATTAAAAAATCATTTATTACCACCACATTTAGAGAACTTCACAAATTCAAGTCATTATCATAACTACAAAACAAGAGGCAGTATAGATTTTCATCTGCAAAATTGTAATAGCAAGTAAATCTATATTTCAAAAGGGAGTATTTGAATTTAATAAACTGAATAATGATATTAAACAGAGTTCGAATTTAAAAATGTTTAAGGTGAAATTAAAAAATTACTTTATGAATATTCAAAATACATAGTGACGTAATTTTGATTTTAATTTTTAAAGACAAGAAGAATGTAAAATTACAGAAAATGGATTGAAGAAAAATATGTAACCGAATCATTATACAAAATTGACATTGTAGCATTAATGCTAAATAAATCTTCAACACCAACAAAATCCCGTGTGAGTGTCTCACAAATGTGCTTGGGGAAGTATATCAAATATAAATGTTGCAAAAATGTAGTCTCAAAATATGACTAAACCCTAATTCAATATTATATCTGCTGAGCCCCACAGAAAAACATTTGAAAGTACCATATACTCTAACCTACGACGTTAGACTTGCCAAGAAATTGTCTAAGTGCACATTTTTTTCGCGTTGTGATGAGTTCACTGAGGATTCAGCCAAGTACCAGGAGTTCGGCATTTTGAAAAAAGTATAACTCGGTGGAACCCTTCTATACAGGGTGTCCCAGAAGTCGACGTCAAGCCGAAACCGGGTGATAGCCAAAGTCATAGCAGCTATCAGAAAAATATTTAAAAAAATTTTATGTATGTGTTTTGAAAATTATAGGTCTTTGAAAAAGATATAGAAATTTCACACCCTACGGCAGTCTGTCAACTCCTGTTACTACAAATATTAACTTTTTTTGGATTTTATTTTTACACTGTAATGATGAATAATGCATCTTCAAACTGGTGTCTCAACCTAACTGCCAACTTTTCTCGTTCAGGAAAAATTGCCACTTATTTCCCAACCAAGTATTCCAAAGTAAAACTTTGCTCAACTTTAACTGGCTGTACTGGAAAAAAATGTACTACGAGAGTTTGGCAAGTAACCTTAAAAGTTGGCGCATTTAATAACGATTCCAAAATGGTATAACACTTAGAAGATTACTCGTTAACTTATGCATAATTTATATTTGAAAAAAAAAACTGATGAAAATTTTTCAAAATTTCCTAATTAAACAGCGATTATGAAAACGCACAAGGACCCTTAAGGATAACTGTTTGCACAACAGTGGGCGTCAAAATGCTGCTGATGATTTACCTTTACAGCAAATGCTCAAACTGTTTTCCTTCAGCCGCAATACACGCTCGACATCTTCTTAAAAAAGATCGGGTTACTAAACGAGCGAATCCACGGTTATTAACAAACTCAGCTGCTTCCAATAGTCTTTGCCGTAGCTCAGCTACATTTTGAATCGGCTTGAAATACACTTTTTCTTTTACAGTTAACCAGTAAAAAAATCTAAAGGATTCAAATCAGGTGATCGGGCTGGCCACGGTATTGTACCTGACCGCCTTATCCATCTGCCTGGAAAGTTTTGATCGAGATACTCTCTCACTGAGAGTGCATAGTGCGCTGGACAGCCATCATGCTGAAACCACATGTCCCTGTAAATACATACTCAGTGGCACGTCCACCAATAAATTTTGTACATGATTTTTCAAAAAATCCAAATAAACTTCAGCAGTCAGTCTCTGGGAACTCAAACGGACCGATTATTTTACCATTTAAAATTCCTGTCCAATGGTTTATCTTGAAGCGATATTGAGATTTATTTTCTCACATCAAATGTGGGTTTGCTACGTGCCACTCGTGTAAGTTATGCAGGTTCATGTACCCATCTTTCTTAAATGTGGTCTCATCCGACCATAAAATTTTTTCAATGAATTGTGGATCTTTCCTGTGTCTTTCTAACATTGTGCGACAAAAAGCAACTCGGGCTCATAATCCCGGGGCAGGAGAGGTTGAACACGCTGTATGTGGTATGGATGAAGCACATCTTACTTGCTATTGCACACTTTGATACCGATCAGTACTCCTTCGTTTACTGCGCATCTTTACATGTTCGTGCTTGTTGATTTCGTACTGTTACTAATTTTGGATTCGTGAACTGGACTGTTGATCGCTTGTGATTTGGATTTGGACTGTTTAATTGCTCTTCAAAACAACATTTGCTTTCCTTAGACTATCTTTGATAGTGTGATTGTGCAGTGCCGCTATGTCCGTGTACACCGTACAAGAATATGCTAACATGCACCTCATTTATGGGGAATGCAGATGCAACGCTAGTGCTGCAGCGAGACTTTACTGTGAGAGGTACCCGAATGCAGCTCGTCATCCAGATCATCGAGTGTTCACAAATGTGCACCGCTTACTGTTCTCAGAGGGCCAACTACCAAACCAATCACACGGTGAGGGAAGATCTTTCCTTCCTTACGAAGACGTGGTGCTAGGAGCTGTCGAAGAAGACCCGAGTACTTCAGTGCGTGCAATAGAACTAAAAACAGGTGTGCCCAAAAGTACAGCCCATAGAATCTTGCAAAAAAACGTGCTCCATCCATACCACGTACAGCGTGTTCAAGCTCTTCTGCTCCGGGATTATGAGCCCCGAGTTGCTTTTTGTCGCACAATGTTAGAAAGACACAGGGAAGATCCACGGTTCTTTGAAAAAATTTTATGGTCAGATGAGACCATATTTAAGAAAGATGGGTACATAAACCTGCATAACTTACACGAGTGGCACGTAGCAAACCCACATTTGATGAGAGAAGATAAATCTCAATATCGCTTCAAGATAAACCATTGGACAGGAATTTTAAATGGTAAAATAATCGGTCCGTTTGAGTTCCCAGAGACTTTGACTGCTGAGGTTTATTTAGGTTTTTTGCAAAATCATTTAGAACATTTATTGGAGGACGTGCCACCGACTATTTACAGGGACATGTGGTTTCAGCATGATGGCTGCCCAGCGCACTATGCACTCTCAGTGAGAGAGTAACTCGATCAAAACTTTCCAGGCAGATGGATAGGGCGGTCTGGTACAATACCGTGGCCAGCCCGGTCACCAGATTTGAATCCGTTAGATTTTTTTTACTGGGGAACTGTAAAAGAAAAAGTGTATTTCAAGCCGATTCAAAATGTAGCTGAGCTACGGCAAAGACTATTGGAAGCAGCTGAGTTTGTTAATAACCGTGGATTCGCTCGTTTAATAACCCGATCTTTTTTAAGAAGATGTCGAGCGTGTATTGCGGCTGAAGGAAAACAGTTTGAGCATTTGCTGTAAAGGTAAATCATCAGCAGCATTTTGACGCCCACTGTTGTGCAAACAGTTATCCTTAAGGGTCCTTGTGCGTTTTCATAATCGCTGTTTAATTAGGAAATTTTGAAAAATTTTCATCAGTTTTTCTTCAAATAAAAATTGTGCATAAGTTAACGAGTAATCTTCTAAGTGTTATACCATTTTGGAATCCTTATTAAATGCTCCAACTTTTAAAGTTACTTGCCAAACTGTCGTAGTACATTTTTTCCAGTACAGCCAGTTAAAGTTGAGCAAAGTTTTACTTTGGAATACTTGGTTGGGAAATAAGTGGCAATTTTTCCTGAACGAGAAAAGTTGGCAGTAAGGTTGAGATACCAGTTTGAAGATGCATTATTCATCATTACATTGTAAAAATAAAATCCAAAAAAAGTTAATATTTGTAGTAACAGGAGTTGACAGACTGCCGTAGGGTGTGAAATTTCTATATTTTTTTCAAAGACCTATGATTTTCAAAACACATACATAAAATTTTTTTAAATATTTTTCCGATAGCTGTTATGACTTTGCCTATCACCCGGTTTCGGCTTGACGTCGACTTCTGGGACACCCTGTATAGCATCGTATTTTTGTCATTTCGTTAATTCATAGTGTTCCTACATAAAAGTGTGATAGGTTTGCTTTGCTCTATGATATCTTGTGTTTTTAGTGACTGGGAATTCGCCCATCAATAAGATGAGTATGGCGCCGCAAGGCAATATGCAACAACCAATGCCCCAAAATCAACCAAATTTACAACAGTCCATGACTCAAGTGTCTCAAGCAAACCAGGTGGCTACGTCACAAGCACAGGTATTTAATTTTGTGTTGGTATTCGTCAATGAAAAAAATCCATTGCTTTATTCTACTTCATAATATGAATTCCAAGTTTCAAGGTTCCATTCACTTTTTCTTTTTTGTAGAATATGCCCCAAGGACAGCAATCGCAAATGGGCCCTGTAAGAGAGAGGCATACTATTTGGCAAGGACTATTGGAGTGGATAGAAAAACCAAAAAACACCACAGATCAACAAAAAATTACCAAACATGTCCCTTGTCAAGTATCGGCAAATTCCAAAGATGGGGAACCTGAATTGTAAGTTCCACTGCTTTGAAGATGTATCTTTGAATTTTATATATCCTCTATTACTTCCTACGCCACTGGTCGAGGAAGTTTTGTAATGAGATATTGTTTTTGGGTCTTATATAACATTTTTATTCTAGATGGTAATCATTGCATGAATAGCGACTATTGCTCGCATTAATTATATTTCTTGTGCTTTGCAGGAAAGCAGATGGCTGGCCTCAAAAGCTCATAATGCAGCTAATGCCCAAACAGCTGATCGGGAATATTGGCGGAATGTATTTGAAAAACTCCAAGTCAGTATTGTTCCATCCCCAGCCCTGTGATGCTTTGGAATCTCTCACTAGGGTCATGAGCTCAGGCTTCGTGAGTAATTTTACAAACTTATTTTTATGTTAAATAGAAAAAGATAAATGTTTTCTCACGTATTATTTGAAAATAGTAAAATATGATAGGGTTCATATGAATGATAAAATAAACAAAATTTTGACATATAGATTGTGACTAAGGCTACATTAGTTTGTATTTTCGCGTCAAATAAGGTTTGAAAATCCCGTTGGTGGTATCAGATCTTCTCAAAGCAGCTGTCTAATTTTTTATTTGAAATGCAGTACTTCTATATGGGACTCCATTGTCTGGTCGAATCTTACGACATATATGTTTAATTTATATTTTTATTGTACGAAGTTTCTGCCACCGCTGTAGCCAAAACGTCGTATAATGAACATACATTTTAACATATACAGGGTGGGTTTTTAGTGTGGACCCGGTCGATAACTCGCTTATTGCGCATTGTATATACAAATTGAATTCTAAAACTGTAGCCAACACTTCTTAAAAAAATTTATTTTTATAGGGCGATTCATAACTACGTGGTGAATCAATTATACATTTTTTGAATGGAAATCCATTCATTCCTTGCAAATTAGAATAGGTCCTTTCAAACGAAGCAATTTGATATAATATAGCATAGGGTTTTATTTTCAGATTTTTGTGATATTGAACAATCTATCAAAAAAAAAACACTCAACTTTGACAACTCCCATCTCCGCAACTGTTATACAGTATTGAATTTTTAGGTAAAAATATTCATATTACCATAATTTGTCCCTTTTCACTTACTTTTTCGTTTTTCTTTGATAGTGATAGATATTGAAGAAGCCAAAATTAAATTGTCTTGGGCCGGAATTCGAACCCGCGCAGCGCACTGCGACTGATTACAAGGCTGTAGCGTCTACCACTATGCCACCGTTCACCGTTGCTGTCTGAAGTTCGGTGTTTTATTCGATATATTGTCAAATACCTCAACAATTTCAAAATAGAACTAGCTAGCATAGTGGTTGGTACGTTTAAAAGGATGTATCCAAATCTCAGAAAAAAATATAATACTTTCCATTTAAAAATAGGCATGTATGGGTCACCACAGAGTTATGAATCACCCGGTAGAGATAAAAATATTTCCAAGTAAGAAGCATACTGCTGGCTACAATTTTTGTATTTAACTTTTTTTAGATCCTAAGCGCGTTATCGACCTAGCTCTCACTAAATACTGACACTGTATGTGGTTTTATTCAGCCATACAATGGAGTCCTATGAACATAAAAACCACAGAATAAGTTTCAGGAGTTGCTTCTATATGTTTTTATAAATTGCGATTCCTTGGCATACCTTTGATATATCTTTTTTTTTTCTAGGCTGGATGTGTTCATTTCACTAGTGTTCCAAACCCTTCATCTTGTGATATCAAAGTGCTTATTCTTCTTTATACCGCTGACAAAAGAGCTTATTTAGGATTTATACCTAATGATCAAGCAGCTTTCGTCGAAAGACTGAGAAAGGTTATTCAGCAACAAAAGGCAAATCAAACAAAACAGGTAAGCACACCATACATACATCTCAAAAATAGCTTATTGGCTTATTATTAAAAAACTGTATTTCAATAATTGTTTTATGACTAACATATTTGACCTGTTGGGAATAGGTTGTATCAACGATTTTACCCTTTTTTCCTTTTCATTCCCGTTAAAATATGCAAATTCGTTAAAAGGGGTCCTTTTTGAATAAGGTTATGCAAAAATATTCCGAATCAAAATATTTTTACCAGCCGTTGCGAAGATACCGGGAGTAATATGACTTTTATAAATTTTTTGTATAAGAAAGGATAACCGATTTGTTGCAGACTGTACTTTTTGCAAAATGTTAATTATTACTCTGCAATCGTTTCATTGATAATTCCAAATGTTGATCAAATATGTCTATTTTCGTTCAAGTTATGAGTCTCTAATGCTTTTTTTCAATAGGGTGTACCACCGGGTGGTCCAATGAACCCAGGTCAAGTTGGTCCCGCCCAACAAATGGGCGGTGCTAATCCCGTCACATCGCACAATTCTCAACAACAGAACATGGTGATTTCGCAGACCAACGCAATGTCGATGGGCGGAGGACAGATCACGCAAAATGTCAGTTCTGCTGGTCAGATGGGCCAGCCTATGGGTGGGATTATTGGACAAAATGTATCACAAGGTAAGTACAAGAAAACCATTTTTAATATCCTGCCTCCAAAAAGTGTTTTCTGATTATTACACTTTAACTTCCAACGCGCACTGGCGAGGAAATATTGGAATCGCAAAAAAAATCGAAAATGAGATATTTTTGTGTTATACGAGTACTACACTCATTTCCGTCTAATCATATCAGCAAATTTCCCCGAAATAATTGTAAAGTCGAGTTTTCTTGATGCAATTTGTTCAAGCGGGTATTTAAAACATGGACGCATTAATTGGACACACCAATGTTTGTGGGAAAACTTTTTATTCGACTACAAAGAATGAGAAAGCGTGTTTTTTAGGATCCAATCGAAAGTGTTGGCAGGAACGAAAAATACTTTTCGAATAAGATTTTCAGGTATTTATGAGACCTATAGAATGAGACCACACGTAAAAAGATCCCACTAATAGTAAAAGAGTTATGGCCGAAAACCGAGGCAAAATCCAGGTTCTGGCACGTGTTGCTAGTGCGACGATAATTTCACGCAGCTACTTGAAATTTTTCAAATCCGAAGGCTTCTTACTTCTAAATAACCACAACAAAATTGGAGTCGATTGAGCAAGTAGTTTTTGAGAATTTCTAGTTGTTTATCCTAAAACACGTTTTCCGGCCATCACTATCAGTTTATTAAGCAATATGCACGGTTCGTTCAAAGGGTATTTTATAGCAAAATACACGAGTTTACCTTGGCGACATGAATCACAGGCCATTCTCAAAGATTATTGTTATTTTTATGCGAAAAACGAAGGGTCGCGTTTTTTTCTTCTAAACAAATTCAAACATTTCGTATTTGTAAGTAATATAATAGATTCGCTACGATACTCGAAAAACCTACATTATTATACATATTTTAAAACAAGCGTCTATTACCTTTTGTTGCGAAGAAAAAATGTTTTTCCAAGATTTTTTCATACTACAGTAGCGACTCGATAATCCGAATTGCTATAATCCGGATGTTCCAATAATTCGGACCTGTCTCGCAGACTCTGTAATCCGGATTGTCATGATTCGCTAGTCCGGATCAGATATTAAGTTCTTAACAAGTTCATTCTTGTTAAATATCACACCATGAACGACGTGACCGGGACGCAAATCAAGCAGAACATATTCCACGGGTCAGTCATTCAACAACAAACGCCATGGTTCCTATACGAAAACGCATAACTTTGTCAATACAAAAGAAGGCTGAAATTTTACATAAACCACAACCAGGTAGTAGTGGTAAAAAGTTAGCTGCAAGGTATGGAGTGGGAACATCCACCATATCAGATAAAAAATGTTTTTATATTCAACGCATTTAATATTTTAGTTTTATGAAGAAATGAATTTCTGGTCCATGTAGCAGAAAAACTTTACGATCTGCTGAACATCTTGAAATGGAAAAGAAACTTTACGAGTGGTTTCTGCAACAGCGTGATCGGCACATACCAGTAACTTACGATATTCTAGCAGAAAAAGCAAAATATTTGTTTTAAAATGTTACAATAAAGATACATGTGAAGCAAGCTGGGGTTGGCTCTTGAAATTCAAGGCACGTCATAGACTCAGGCATCTCCAAGTCAAATCTATAACCCTGATGAGTACGGCTTGTCTTGGAAATTGATGCTGCAACGAATATTAGTCCACTTAAAGGAAACATCAGCTCCAGGCCGAAAAACAAGTAAAGCGAGAATAACTTTTCTGGCGTGTACAAATGGAAATGGTTCGCACAAATTGAAACTTTTGGTAATCGGCAAATCTAGAAATCCAAGGGCTTTTAAAAACAGAGGCACTAGTTTACCGGTCGAGTATACGTCTAGTAAAAATGCATGAATGACTTCTTATTTATCTAAAGAATGGTTTCATAAATCATTTTGCACGCAAGTTTCGGAATTCTTGAAAAAAGAAGACATTCCCGAAAAAGCTTTACATCTCATTGATAACGCACCTAGCCACTGCAGTGAAAAGGAATTGGTTTCTGAAGATGGTAAAATAATCACATTGTTTTAACCAAATTATTTTATAGGAAAAGCTAATTGGCTCACATTTTCTGTACTATGGAGCAAGAAAACAATGACCTTAGTAAATCTTTAAAAAACTTCAACCTAAAAGATGCACTTTGCTCATTACATAACGCATGGACAAAAGTGTCAACTGTTTCAGAACAGTGTTGGAAAAAGTTGTTAGCTAACAACTTAGATTATGACCCGGAAGATTTAATCATTAAGCTTATTGCGCGTACAAATAAAGCAGCAAATGGAGACTATTGAGGACATTTCAACAATGCTAGAAAAAATATCATCTGAACAATTTACAGAAGGGGAAATCTTAGAGTGGGTGGAGGAAACTGAAGAATATGCTCTTCAAGACAAATTTCAGATGACCATTCTGAAAATTCACTAAGTGACGTAGAAACACAAAATGGAAACCAATTTACTGTACCAAAAGTTAAACATGAAGAGGCAATTGCGCATTTTACAGCAGGTATTAAATGGGCAGAAGACAACAATATTGCACTTACCCCAATCCTTGCCCTAAAAGCCTTAAGAGAAGTTGCATTCTGAACATGAAAGGCAAACAATTTTTTTTTGTTATTTGCTTATTTTAGCTATGTAGATTTTTTTTATACTCCAACTATCACGAAGGTCTAATGCCTAAAGACCCATTGGGTACCGTGGGGCTATAGGGGGATACATGGAACGCCACACGGACTCTGGCGAGGGAACACGTGTGCATGCAACATGCACACATTCTGGCTTCGTCTACGAGATCTGCCGGGTGGTACCTCCGCGTTCGACAGTCAGAGACCGTCTACCACCTACGGACAATCACAACATCCATAGCCAAGAGAAAAATTTTCTTGGAACGGGATTCGAACCCGCACAGCGCACGGCGACTGATCAGGAAATCGAAGAGTCTACTACCGCGGCCACCGCTGCTACCTGTATAGATAATCTATGTTTCAGTTTTTATGAAATAATAATGTTTGTAATATCAAGAACTTGTTTTCCTTATGATTCCCACTAATCCGGATTGTTCGTTAGTCCGTATTGCACCTGGTTTTAATTGGTCCGGATTATCGAGTCGCTACTGTATTGTGTGTATATTTCGTGCTGAAATTTTTTAACGGTTACATGATCCTAAAAGTTTATAAAAAAATATTTCATACTGAAATGCGCTGAACTGTTCATAAAATTAGTGCGTAAACTGAAGACACGATTATGTTTCAAACTGTCTTAGACGAGTTAGTATGTAGCATGTGCTAAATGGCTGCATTATTGATGACTTCATGATTTTTTCAAATAAGTAGGTCACGTAATTCAGTTTCTTTACGAAGAAATGTAATTCCCTGGACCTGTTTTCTAAAAGTATTAATATAGTATACGTCTGTTTTCAAAATCTCGTACGATTAAAACGACTGCTAGTTCAAATTGTTCGAAAATAAACTCGAGAAAACGAAAAAACAGTAGACAAATTCAACCAATTGTAGCGAACTGACCATCTGACAAATTAGGCAAAATGTTCGGTATTAGTCCCTAATACATTATTTGAAGTTTCAGCATTGAATCTTGTATAGTTTTCAAGAGTATTCTAATTGTTTATAACAGATTTGATATGCCTCCAACCTTCGCTTGACAGTTGTCAGTGTCAAGTATAGTGGTATAAATACCTATTAAACCAAGAGGCGTCGTCGCGTAATGGGAAGAGTTAACGATTGCAGAACCGCAGGACGGAGGTTCAAATCCACCAAGCTCGTTTTTCTATAATTTTTTTTTTAATTTGGTGAAATAAATACATCATCTTTACACTCACGTACTTGAATTCCGCTCATGACCTCAGCTTGACCTTGCCAACGTTGAGCATTTCTTTAGAATGTCAAAAATCCAAAAAAAATTACTTTGATTTTGTCTATCAGATGTGAAAAACAGGTCAAGAATAAGATCCTCCAACCTTGAAACAAAATTCGAGTCGTAAGTTGCAGAAAACTATTTTCAGGTTTCAGTATTTATATTCCTGAGTTATCTTTCTATTGCAATCAACATCAGTTTTACGTTCCATGGAATCAGTTTAACTCCAATGTAGTGTTTTGGTGTTTTATTTGCCGCAAGTCTGATACTTTATGAGAAATGCAGCCCATACGTCAACGTTCTTTCCGTCATTCAATCATGTCGCCTTTTCCTTCCACGGAAGCACGTCCCGAGAGGAATGAACGGCAGGGGTATTATGTAAAAACCTAAAAAACATCAAAAAAAACCGACGAAATGTCATCTTGCAGACTAGGTAGTTTTTAGTGTGCAAATAGTTCATTCCACGTTTGCTCGCTATGATCGCTGTTCGCTGATGACGTTTAAGCAACACGTAGTTCACAATAAGTGTACAACAGCATGTGCTACGTTAACATCTTGTAGAAAAACCTAACAAATGTCAAAAAAAAAAACAACAAAATGTCACTTTTCAATATACGTAAAACCCGTGCGGCAATCTTTTATTTCATTCACGTGACAGGAAGGAATGGCATAATTGAATAGCAGAAAAAACGCTCGTATATGGGCTGGAAATATCATAAATGCAGAAAATAGGGCGGTCTGGAAGTATTTCAACAACATTTCCAAAAAGGTCTTGACATTGTCGATAGCGCAACTCGTGTCCTATGTAAAAAGAAGAAAGAAGGGTACCTTACAAGCCATGAAGATGTATTTCCATTATTCAAATTTCTGTCCAATTCAATAAGAAGTTGAGACATCAACATTCTAATTTCTATCGGTGAGCCCATATTGGCATATATGCAGCCGTTTTAGTTATCGTCAAATTATTCGCAAGCATATTTTCAAGTTTTGTGGTTAAAAACTAAACACGTGCTACTTCCTATTTAGTGTTCACACTGTTGATTGTGTATAGTTGCTATGTTTGCGCTCGTTGTCTGAGAGACCAAGGCTAGACCATTCTGAAGAGTAATTTTTGTTGCTATACAAACTCTATTATCAATAAAAAATGGCGTCAATCAGGTTGACTCTGCACTTCCTACGAATCTTCGTCATAGTTTCATAAAGGATTAAGCTCAGAGCAATTTGAGAAAACAGTTAGGTACGAACATGTCCAGTACAGAAATTAAATGGACTAAGTCTGTCAAACAAGTCCATACACATTATTTCCCTTCACTACCGGTTGTTACTGTCCATCTGGCAACGTTGTGGCTTTCCACATCTGCGCGGCGTCGCTGCAGCGAGTTATCGTTCATTTCATACGTGGTCCGTGTATGTTTTTTGCGCTGCAGTACGGATAGACTAGTCAGCCGGACTGATTCGCCGGACGGTGAGCTTAGATAGCGGACCTAAAACATTTTTCTATCATACGAAGTTCTAAAGGCAAATATACAAATCTGCAAATCTATGAAGTGTGAAATATGACTAATATTTTCATATACCCTCCCCCCTCACCCTACAAACTCCAACCCCCGAATTTAAACCCTTAATAAATGTTTTTGAAAATGATCAGGACCGTCTGAAACCTCAAAAACGGAGTTTGAAAATTTCATCAAAATCCCGAAGGTATTTCTCAAGTTATCGACGGACGGAAATGAGTGACATGGTTTTTCGTGATACATTTGTTATATAACATCCAAAAACACAGTATCTCATTTTGATTGTGTATAGTTGCTATGTTTGCGTTCGTTGTCCGAGAGGCCAAGCCTAGACCATTCTGATGAGTGCCCAAGAAACAGGAAACAGTTGTCCATAGGTGGCTGTCTTTTTGGACGGCAGACGAAAGCATCATGTTTACTTTATTCAATCTCAAGTAGATCAACAAATCGTCGCAATCTAGTGGTCACGTGGTGTCTCGCCCTCCCAATTTGCGTACTGAATCTATACAGTCTCAACCGGTAGCTACTATTCACTATTCGCAGTAGTTTATTGTAGTGGAAGATGGCGCTTCGCGCTGTCTTATGTCGAAATTTTTGTGTTTATTTCATAAATATCCTGTTATTCTTCTTCAGACGTGCATCCAGGTAGCGCAGGCCCCGGTGGGATGCGCCCCAACATTCGCATGCCGAACCCTGGAGGTCCCAACAGCGCACCGGGAGCCCCTCAAGGTCAACAGAACCCAGGGGGTGGTCAACCCGGAGCAGCGGCGGCGGCAGCAGCAGCAGCGGCCGCGGCAGCCGCAGCAGCTGGCATGATGCCTCCGCAGGGGCAACCAGGACCCCCGGGGGGTCCAGGGGGCAGACCGTTCGAGAACTTGCTCGAGGCCGAGCGTAGGCAGAACCTGGAGAAGATCAATCAGCTGAAGCAAACGTTGGAGGCGGCACAGCAGCAAGAACAGCAGTACAAGAGCCAGCTGGAAAGGATCAGCCACATGAAGACGTCGCAGCTGCAGGAGGCGTTGCAAATTGCACAGCAGACGGAGATGCAGTACAAGTTGTTGGAAAATGTAAGTCGTTTCAAAAGGGGAGGAACAAACTGAATGTGTACTTATATTTTTCTCAAATTGGCATAATTTCGCTTGGGTTCGATTGAATGGCCATGTTTGTTCTGAAAGGTTTGTACAGTCTGTTATCCATCCAGTTATTTCCTTTGTTTAAGTGTTCCTACATTGTTTAAGTAATCATTTAAATATGCGTGTACTATTATTATCCTTGTTGTTACGTTTCCCAACATGTCTACATCTCGTTATGCGACATACATCGGATGTACTGTACTGTCTTTAAACCTCAATCAAAGGGCACAATTAGTCGCGCTCGATTTACATGCAATCTCAGATCAGCTTACCTCACTTCAGTTCACTCAGTTTATTCCACAATTCTTTAACCAAATCTCAGTTCAAATATAATGAGATATCTTTCACGAGTCAGATTTGTCAGTGTCATGTCTACAAAACATACTGTTTTCGTCCGTCCGACCAAATACAACGAGTACTATAAAAGTTTCGCAATACATCTTTATTTATTGACTTCGTTCAAAGTAATTTCCACCACATTCAATACATTTCTCCTTTCGCCAAAACCATTCCTTAAACCAGCTCTGCCAAGTTTCACCTGGGAGTGCGGCACACTCGTTGTCCCAAGCCCTCAGTAGGTCCTCATCGCTAGAAAACTGTTTTCCTTTTAGCTTCATTTTCACACGCGGAAACAGTGCAAAGTCGCAGGGAGCAAGATCTGGACTGTAAAAGCTGCTACACACAGTGCCGGCGGCAATGCCGCCGGGTTTATGCCGAGCGGCTATGCCGCCGGCAATACAAGCCGTCAAGCATCATTCCGGTTGTGACAGTCACATAGAAAGCTAGTGAAGTGCTGCATTTCTGGGATTCCATAATATATCATTTTCATGAAATTTTTCAAGCAGCACAGCTTCGTCGTCCCAATTAAACGACATTTTAATTTGTTTAAACACACAAACCGCACAACACCGCTCGAATGCCAGGAACGAAGTGACGCCCGCAAGCCGTGTAACCCGCCGGCACACCACGGCGGCTCCTTTGCGCGGCAAGGCCGGCGGCTTTGTATGCCGCCGGGTGTACGGGTGCAAAACGAACACAACAATGGTACCATAAGTAATCTGTTTGCATATTTCGTATGACATTGTGAAGTAACCGCCAAAAACAGCGAATGAACTATACAACAATAGTCAGCAAACTGGATTTTTGAATAACGAGAAATGAATAAACAATTTGGCGGTCGTATTCAATTTTCTTAGTATGTAAGAATGCAATTCCAAACTCGATTACAACTTGGAATATTCTGTTCTCATACGTCATATACGTATATTCTATATTGTCATAACATTCATTATTTAAATTTGTTACAGCAACAAAGACAACAACAGATTACAAATCAAGGCAATCCGCAGGGTAATCCAGGTCAAAATCAACCGAGGCTAATGAGACCTATGCCAAATAACCCTGGACTCAGACATCTTTTGCAGCAGGTAACTCAAAAACCAAACAAGTCTAATTCTAAGAATTATGCTTACTTTTGAACGAATAAAATCAGACTTAAAATATTTTGATTCATTGTGATAAAAATTACATATCGTAGGAGAGATGCGGGCAAGATCTAAATTTTAAAGGGCAATAAAACTGAAACCATTGCACTTAAACAATCATATATATTTTTAAATCTTCCTCTGGTAATAATATCTTTAACATTTTTATAGTTTTAGGAACAATCATAGCGTAATTATTATTGTAGAGATATCCGATATATCCTATATCCGTATCACTCTTGTTATCGGATGATTTGCGATTATCTAATGTTTATTTCTTTTTTATGACTCCTGTATTATTTAGTCTTCCTTTTTTAACCTTTAACCAACTTTAATTGTCTAATTTCATTTCTTTCTTGTTTATTCTCTTCCGTGAGCTGCTTTTTTTTAATCGTTTGTTCCAGTTCCTTTCTATACGGTGACTGAGTAATAATGGCTGTCCTTCCTCGTTTACGAGTCACGCATAAGTTTTACGAGTTTCTGGAAGGGGTAATATTTGCTGTGAACTAACAACAGAAAATGTTGACTGTTGTGGAGTAGTTCGTTTTCTGTCTATTTCTATTTCATCAACCCACGTGAAACATCCGGACTGAGGACTCGACGAGGTAGCAGAAGCCACCGTAGGTGTCTCGTGAATACAGGAACATTATGAATGGCTTTGCATCGCCTCTGTTTCAACCCCGATAGATAGAAGTGAGATGTAGTTGCATTAGTAATAGCTTCACTGATATCCAGCACAGGTATTACGTCAACCTGCTGCGTTTCTAACTCGGCAGGTCATGTGACTGCTACATTTGTGGTGGCTGTAGTCAGTGCTTGAGTGAGCGGAATATCAGTCACCAACGACGGAGCAAGGTCGGTTTCAGAGAAGACCGTCGGATCGTAAGGCCAAATTCCGCACTTTTTGAAGCCATTTACATCTGTTGCCATGGTAGATATTTCTATGAACGCTTTTCCGAAAACTTCTGTAATTTGCCGCCTTGTTACAACCATCCCTGGATTGCTGCGAAGCCAGGTCGTAATTTGTCTATCATAATAATTGCTCAACGGTCTCATATAAACAACATCGGCGAGCTAAAGGCGATGAGTTGTATGTGGGGGGAAACAAAATAATTACCCGATTGGCTCGAGCTTCATTTATTAAATCGATGTTTTTTTGTATGGGTGCTATGGCCATCCAATAAAAGCAAAACAGGTCGATCTACTGTGGCCCCACTAAATTTCACAAACTGCTTAAACCATCCCAGAAACAACTCTGTGGACATCCAGCCTGAGTCACTAACAGCTCCCCATGCTCCAGGGGCAGCAGTAAGCATTAACTGTGGGTCCATCTTCTTCCTGGGAAACACCATCTTAGGGGGCATATATTGTCCACTGGCGCTGAAGCACATCTCTACTGTGATTGTAACACCTCTCGCTGCAGAAGTTAATGCCCCTACTTGTTTTCGACCTCGTTTTACTACAATTTTGGATTTAGTCTTTGGTACAACTGAAACACCAATTTCGTCGCAGTTATACATGCGGTCTGGTGTAAGATGATGTTCGTCATAGATATTGGCCAAATAATTAAAAAATTGACCAACAACTTCTCTGTTGAACCCGGCAGCACGCGCAGTAGAGGTGCTTTCGGGTTTTCTTATTGACAACTCTGGGTGTCTGTTCAAAAACCCTTGAAGCCAATCTTTGCCGGCTTCTTGTTTTTGAACGTTAAAAGGATGGACTTTATTATTTTTTACTGCTAAATTGTACGCTAATGCCTTCAAGTCTTTGATTTCAAGTCCGTAAAGTCGAGTCTCCATGTCCAGTATATAGCTACAAAGCTCTCTTCTTCTTCTGTGAAAACAGGTTGATTAGGGCCTCAAGAAACCTTCACCTTAATACTTTTAGATGAAGATGGGGCCGAGTTCTCGTGAGCTCCTTTTACTTTTCTTTCTAGAGTAGTGTAGTAGAGGAACTGAACATGTTTTTGCTGCTAGCATATACCCCATTTTCCCTTCTACATCGTCTTCAACAGCTTTTTCCATGCTCTCTTCCGACCACTCGCCTGTATTGGTCTTTCTCTTGTATTTTTTCACCATGCTAAAACAAAGAAATCCGCCTATGCATTACACAGCCAAGTCACATGCATATAATATACACTCACAAACATACATATAGAGGGATACATTAACATTAATCAACACAGAAACTCAAACCGTAATCAAAAACTTAGGACGGGCAAGATGGGGTACACATACCCCATCTTGCCCTCCTAGGTCTCGATGTATTAAAAAAAATAATCAAAATAAATAATACACAAGACAGAAGTAACCCAGTTTTTACCTGCTAGCGTAATCGTCGGCGGAGGAGGATAAACTCTTATCTAATATATTTGTATAGTAAACACGTACTAAACGAATCGAGAAAATAAGAAGAAAACCTGCCGAAATCACTTTTGTTACGATAACCTAAAAAATACGTGTCGCACGAATCATACACGAGAGTGCACTGAAAGCCGTCATGGCATCACATCGTCTGTGCAAGTTTAAAAATGTTCGCGCGATTAGGTCATAATAGAGCGGCTGCCCCGTCTTGCCCGCGTCTCCCGTGTTATATATAGTCAACGCCAAACAAAGTGGCGTGCACGTCATCAAGGTGGGTGTGTTGAAAAATTTACATTGTTGCCAAACTTTTTGTAAAATAATAAAATTTATTATTTACATATCTAGGTTTATAAGCAATATTAACCTCAAATGAGAACAAAAATAATAGTATAATAAAATTATAGATCTGTACTTGCATAATCATTAAGTATGACAATTATTGATCAGATGACAATATGAAACTACCATATTTAATTGATAGCTTAAAGGTACTGAATAAAAATCCAAATGGGGTCCTCCAAATTTTATGCATGGTATTTATTTTACAGAATTCATACAGAAAAATGCATTCTAAAATTAGGTAAGCTACTGGTGTAAGCTTTTTCTGTACAATAAAGTTAGTCGGAGTTTCTTTCTTCAGCGCTGTCTGAATCTGAATCTTCATCACTCTCAAAGTTGATTATTAAAGGTTCGATGTCTGGTCGATCAAAAATTCGTTCTCTTTCATACCATTTAAAAATTTCTTGCTCAGTATGTCGAACACTATTTTTCCACATGTCTGGGGTATCCGTTTGTAGAGCCTCGTTCCACATATCCAAACAGTCTTTTTCACTGTTACCATCTCTACCAATATGTCTGTTATAGTAACCTTTTGCTATGCCCCAAATTAACTCAATAGGGTTAAATATACAATGGTAAGAAGGCAGACGAAGAACTTTGTGCCCATGTTGTTCCGCCAATTCATCAATCACGTATATTTTAGGTGATTTGTTTCTAAAAAAGCAGTTATTTTAAGAATATGAATAAACAAAAGAAATATAAACTGTCGACCAAAATATATATAATTAAGAAGCATTATGTACCGAGCAACAATACTCAATAGCTCTGTTTTAAACATTGTGTTTAAAAATGGTATGTTTTGATTTGTCAACCAGTCTTGGATATTTTTTTTTGTCCATGCATTGTTGGGCACTTTGTTCAATATCATGCTGTGATAAGGGGCGTTATCCAGTATAATCATAGATGGACTCTCCAATTTTTCTAATAACTGATGTTGAAACCATTTCAAAAAATTGTCCTGGTTCATCTCTCCATGGTAATCGCTCAATTTTGTTTTCGAAGAAAATATCGCTTCACTACCCTCAATAAACCCATTTTCATTTCCAGCATGTAATATAATGTATCTAAAATATATTAGTTTTAAATTTTATAGTGCAAATTGTGTAAAAGTACATACCTTTTACCATCTGTTTTAATAGCTTTCACGCTTTTTTGGTTTCCATTTTGCCAAGAGCGACCTATGGTCCCATTTTGAAATATCCAAGTTTCATCGAGGAAGACAAACTGGTATAAGGCCTCAACCTTGGCTTGATTGTATTGCCTTAGAAATTCCACCCTTTTCAAAGCTATACTTGGTAGTTCCATGAGCCCTCGTCGCGGATTGTCCTTAAGCCACTTAAATCCAAGATCTCTAAGCAACCGCCTTAAAGACGTGGCACTACCATCAAATAATGCCCTATCTCTTAATCGAGACCATAAAGTTTGTATCGTAACTTGTTCTTCTGAAACCATGTGTAATATGACATTATAATTTAGTTAACAAATTAATGCAAATTTCTGATAAGTTATTATAATAAGATCTTACTTTTGTGATACATATTATAGATCACTTCTCGAATGGCACTTGTATCCAATGTCGCTGTGTTGGTTACACGTTTAATATAACTCCGCTTTTTCTTGGGCGATTCTAAATTTGCATCACTTTTCACACCCTCGGAAATACGACTAACTGTCCTTAAACTAATTTTTAAAGCAGCAGCAACACGCTACAAAAAATGAAATAAAATTTCACTATTATTAATATACATTACATATAATTATTAGTAACCTACCTCTTGAACAGCATTTAAAGGCAACAAAGGCCCGTTGTTGTCTCTTTCTTGCTCAAAGTAGTGCATTAACGAGGCCACGAGTTCCTTACACCGACTATTTAACTGTTTGGGCATCTTTATATACCAAAATTGCCTTTATCTACTCGTAAAATGAATAATTTTGTTTTGAAACAAACAGTTGTTGATTTACAGTATGCGGGGCCAAAGGATTTATAAAGATTTGAAATGCCACAAATTGATTCAGTGTCAAAATTAATACAAATGTCAGTTCCCAGTTTAAATAAGTTTCAAGGTGACAATGTGTCAACGCTGCGAAATCGGTTTAGTGCGTTTACATGTCGATAAGTGATTGGAGCGTTTGCAAAACATTTTATTTCGCATAATGCGTCTAAATTTATCAGAAAGCAACTTATGTGATATTTTAATAACAATGTTTATATGACTATTAACCATAATAAGAGAGTAATGACCATTTTACAATTTATATATCACATTAATATGAAACTGCAATAGAGCAATTGTTTGTGATAGAAACCTAGGCATTAGGTCGGTGAATTTTTATCGTGATGACGTGCACGCCACTTTGTTTGGCGTTGACTATATATATTATTTCACTGCTATATTCCTAGATTTCAGAAAGTTTTTAATATCCTGCCTCCAAAAAGTGTAGTCTGAATGTTTCCACTTTTACTTCCCACGCGGAAAATTTATAAAATGAGATAATATTTTTTTGGATGTTATATGACGAAAAATCATGTTACTCATTTCCGTCAGTTTGTCAGTCGCTAATCTTCAACCCGTCTATAACTTGGAAATTATCGCTCGGATTTGGATGAAATTTTGACACAAGGTTGCTACTATGCCAAGGACGAAAAAGCTTTGTAGTTTTTGAAAATCGGTAAAGAGACGGCGGGGAAAAGGCCAAAAACGAAAAAAGATCGATCAAGATTAGTTATTCGAGGCAGTTGTTTATTTTAGTTCCGGTGGTTTTGTTTGGTAATTTTTGAAAATCGATAAAGAGACGGCGTGGAAAAAGGCCAAAAATGAAAAAAGATCGCTCAAGATTCGTTATTTGAGGCAGCTCTTTATTTTAGTTCCAGTGGTTTTGTCGTCCTGAGATTCTATTCTTCTAAACCTATTATTTTTTTACCAAAACCTTTTCGTGAAAAGAAAAATTACAAAGGGCTGAAAATTTGGGGTTAGGTTAAATTGCAACGATTTACTTTAGTGGTAATAAAAACTCTTTTTTTTTCCGATCGATTGTGATCCTTGTCAAGAAAAACGTAATGGACGGCTTAACGTTATTTTTGTTGCTATACAAACTGTATTATCAATAAAAAATGGCGTCAAGCAGGTTGACTCTGCACGAATCGCCGTCATATGTTCATAAAGGATTAAGCTCAGCGCAATTTGAGAAACCTATTAGGTACGCACATGTCCAATACAGAAATTAAATTTATTGAGTCAGTCAAACAAGTCCATACAGTTGGTCCATACACATTATTTCCCTTCATTATGGGTTGTTACTGTCCATCTGGCAACGTTGTCCCTTTCCACATCTGCGCGGCGTCGCTGCAGCGAGATATCGTTCATTTCATATGTGGTCCGTGTAAGTTTTTTGCGCTGCAGTACAGATAGATTAGTCAGCCGGACTGGTTCGCCGGACGGTGAGCTTAGATAGCGGACCTAAAACATTTCTCTATCATACGAAGTTCTAAAGGCAAATATACAAATCTGCAAATCTATGAAGTGTGAAATATGGCTAATATTTTCATATACCCTCCCCCTCACCCTACAAACTCCAACCCCCGAATCTCAACCCTTGATAAATTTGTTTGAAAATGTTTGAAACCGCAAAAAACGAAGTTTGAAAAGTTCATCAAAAGCCGGGCGGCACTTCTTAAGTTATCGATGGGCGGAAATGAGTGTCATGGTTTTTCGTGATGTACATGTCATATATCATCCAAAAACACAGTATCTCATTTTAGAAATTTTTCGCGATTACAATACGACCAGTAACTTGGGAAGTAGTAGATTTATTTTATCTCGTGACATAAAATAAAAATCTGCTTATTTGTAAAATCAGACCAAAGTCTGTTTTGCGTATTGGGGTTAAATCTTTGATATTATTCGATCTTCAAATCTGTGTTTTATTACAAATCAAGTTGACTATAAGTTCAGAATTTGTAATTAATCATTCTGTTTTTCAGCAACCTCAATTCCGTCAAATAATCAATGTCCAGCAGATGGGTGGTAATGGTCCAAGACCTCAGATGGGCCAACAGATGCCAAACCCATCGAACAATCAGCCAAATAGTTTCGAAGACGTGGCCAATTTCGACTTCAACAATATGATGTAACATTTTTCCTTCACCAAGACAGGAGCAGTTGGAAAAGGCTTTGAGCCCGGTCTGTGAGGTTTTTTAAATGTATAAGCCACATATCTTTTGTGATGTGGCAATGTGGAGAAAAAGACATAGCTTTGAGTCGATACTGATACATTATGCATGCCTAATTTTTAGAGAAAAAGGAGACCTATCATTGGTTAAAGCTACATAATTTACTTTTTTATACCCAATCAGGTTCTAAGGTACAATGTAAATATCGAGGTACTGTGGCTGCCATAAATGGGTTGAAGAGAATTTAACACATTGACTACCAATGATGTATTGATTTTTCTTCCTTAATATACCGTATGTATCACCGGTGCGATGATTTCTTGGTTCATTTGCGGACCAAATGTATCACCGGTGATATCGTGCATTAGTATATTTAATGGATTGTTAGAGCTAATGGGATATAGAGGAAGGCAAATAAATTATGACAATGGGTCACAGGTGAACGAAATACATTGTAGAATAAGTGGGTATCACCGGCGACTCACGTTTGTAAAGTTAAGCGAATTGGAATGCGAGGGTACTTAAACTAAACAAGAAATATTTTTACAATTAATAATTCTTAAGAGGGGTTTTCACGATACGAGTACACTCGGTCCGAGTGCGCGGTACGAGCTAAATCGTATAGGAGTCTACTTAGATAGTAGTCTACACGTTCCGAGTTAAAGCAGCCTCCGAGTAGCATTTATTTCAGTTCGTTAATGTTATCATGTCGACTAATTTATTGCTACAAGGCATAGAAGTAGTGGCAGATATGCTTATTTCGGAAATAGAAGGGCAACAAAAACCAAGAAAAAAAAGCAAAAGAAAGATTTGGACCCGCAAGTGGATTTTACGGCGTAATCAACAGGGTGCATCAAATAATTTCCTTTGTGAAGTAAACATAGAAGATCAGGATACCTATAAAAATCATTTACGATTAAACAGCACACAATTTGAATTTCTTCTCAAAAGAGTTGCACCAAAAATACAGAAGGCAGATACTCTTATGAGGGAAGCGCTACCAGCAAGGTTTAAGCTTGAGATAGTTTTGCGTTATCTAGCTACTGGTGACTGCTTTCGCAGTTTGGAGAGTAACTTTCGGGTTCCAAAATCCTCGAAATCCCAGTTTCTACCTGCAGTGTTAGATGCTATTTACGAGGCATTGGAAGAATTTATACAGGTCAGTAAGTACAAATCGTATTAATTATTTATTCAAGTAAATACACATTTCTATTGGGTGAGGAGTGAACTAATTTTTGTGATAGCTACTTCTGATATGTTATTTTCCAGGATCTTCAGGCACAGCATCTTCACTAATAGTCGGTATGTTTCTTATAGCCTCTTCTAATATATTCTCTGCTCGAACGTCATTTTCAGACCCTGTTGCCTGAATGACAGTATTTGGTGGAGTATATGTTTTTAAAACTCGAATGGGAATATTTTGACCAGCATCAAATATATCCACATGGTCTGGTATTTCGATAAAGCATTCAGATTGTGGTGAGTAGCTAGAAGAGCTAGTCTGCTGGAGAATATGCTGCCTTTTCATTCTTAATAAATTTAAAATTTCTGTCTGAGCATCGAGAGCATCGGTTAGTGGTAGTTGTCGTAGTTGGCTAGCAATATTTTTGCCAAAATAATAGAACTCGTCTTCTACTTCTCTATTACACAGAGCTTGATTTTTAATTGACTGGAGTGTCTCGATTGATTTTTCAATATGTTGAGGCAATGGTCTCTTTGCGCGTTTCCTAGCTGGATGCGGGGGTACAGTAAAATGGCTACTATTAGGCGATGGATGGGCACACAAATCTGAGGGAGGGCTGGTAGGTATATCCGGTGAATGTGGTATATCTGGTAAGACTGGCACCTCTTGTGAAGGGATTTCTGATAATGCATCTGGGGAAGGGAAACTTGACTCGTCGAATTGCACCTGAAATAAAATAAAACTAATTTTAGGTTCGTTTGTATGGCTTACAGGTTCCGAAAACATACGTGGAATGGGATGTTATATCAAGAGGGTACAATCATCGTTGGAACTTTCCTGGATGTTGCGGCGCACTGGATGGAAAGCACATAAACATATAAAAACCAGAACACAGTGGAAGTGATTTTTATAACTATAAAGGTTACTGTAGTACTGTTCTCTTAGCACTTGTAGACAGTAACTACTGTTTCACATATATGTATAGATGTGGGAAGCCAAGGCAGAATGAATGACGCTTCAATTTTCAGTAACTCAATACTGAAAAAGAAATTGGAAGATGGCACACTGAATTTTCCTTCTTGGGGTGTTATATTAGGAGACGAAGCATTTCCGTGAGCATGCTATTTGATGAAACCCTATTCTCGTAGGCTGCCTTTGACGGACGAAGAAAAAATTTATAATTACCGACTTTCTCGAGCGAGAAGAATAGTAGAAAATGCCTTCGGAATAATGGTATCAAGATTCCGTATTTATCGTACTCCGATATATGTATGTCCAGATAAAGTAGACAAAATAGTAAAGGCAACTTGCGCAATGCATAATTGGCTAATCAAAACAGCTTCGCGATCATACGCACCTGTCGGCACTATGGACACGGACGATAGATCTGGTGCATGGAGACAAGAGCTTAGGTCTATTTATATTGCAGATATGCAGAATCAAGGCAGTAATAATTATTCCCAGTTAGCAGAACAAAAAAGAAGCAACTATAAAAATTATTTCATTGGACAAGGTGCTCTCTCATGGCAAAATGACAGGATATTTTAGGCAAGCAGTAATACTTGTAAAATAATAAACCAATAATATGAATGTATATCTTGTTGTTTTATTGTACTTATGGTTAACTCATTGATTGGACATAAATGAGAAATACTAGGAAATCATACCATCGAATATAGTAGGTATATGATCAAAAACCAGCTTTTCTTTAAGCAGTTCCACTACTCGTTGTAAAAAGAAGCATAGACCTTGTCAGTCTATTTAAAACCCACTTGATCAAAAAGGACAAACTTGTGCAGGATTAAAATAAATAAAATGGCATCAAAACTACATTTCTCTCTCTAGGATGAAGTTACAAGTAGTACTTACCAGATTTTGAAAGGTTTTTCTCGGCTTAATAATTTCAGACAGAAATCTGTCGGCTATTTCGAACCATGGGACAGATGGTGTATATATATCGTCAGCCCCCGATCCAGTTCCTTGTGACTTTTTAATCTTCATCTTTTCTTGTGAATACGTGCTACGTATGTTATTTATTTTTGTATTGATATCCTGGATGGTGGTGCCTTCTATATTTAAGTTATTTATAATGCGCTGCAGAGCAGCATTTCTTGCGTCTTTATTCTTGTAAGAACTAAGTCTTACGTTCCACAATACCTCTTCTGCTTCATACAGCTCAACAAACTTCAGTGTATCGCGCTCGCTCCACCTTTTTTTCCGAAGCGGTTGCACATTTACATTTGACGCCATTTTGATATAACCGCAATGATCCGAGTCAGCTCGGAAAAGTAGGACTCGGTCCGAGTGCACTCGTATCGTGAAAACCCCGTCTTAGTGGAATATAAGCCTAATACGCTACTAAGAACTATCCATTTTAATTGATGGAAACAAATAAATATCTCCCACTAATGTAATAATAATAATAATAATGCCTTTATTAGCTGTAGTGAGGCGAAGTTTAGCCAGACGGCTACTCTTACACCCAACCCCACAACAGGAAAAAAATACTTAAACACATAAACAAAATAATAACATACAAAAAAAATACAGTTCATAAGAATTGCAACATTGACTGCACGAGACAAATGCAGATAGTATTGTGAGAGTTTTAAATTTGAAACAAAAATAGTAGAAAATAGTCAAACAAAAAAAAACACATGAACACAAGAAAAACTGAACTAAATGGACTCCAGCAGCTGACTTTTCGTTAATTTCTTAAAAGAAGCAACCTGTTTGGATCGATCGCCACTGTTTACTGCATTGTAATGCTTGTTAAAATTAGCATTAAAGGCATTCAGCCCACCCCCCCAAAAAAATTATATCCGCAAGGTGGCAGTACAATGACGAAATTCATGATTAAATCGAACGCCTGGCCCACTGGGCTCTGAAGACGCCTACCCATCGCCGTGTGATTACACAACGTTGCCAGAACGGCACACTGGCCTAGTCATCCTGCCGGCGCCAGGCTATATGGGATTTTGGTAAATTGTCACCCTTTCATAGAACTACCCGTCAACTTTGACAGCCTGTCAGTTCGCCAGTCTTAGAAATGTTATATTCTAGAATAAAGCACTAGTAAGAATGAGGTAGCACCTGACCTCTCAGTCCATTTAAAAAATGTTCCAAAATTATTGCACCCATGAATTTCAGCTAGCTAACATGACCCGTTCAAACAAAAAGTAGAGGGACCATTGAAAAGCACTGTATGTATATAAGCTACTTTGAAAAAATAGACATCATAGGTAGTATAAGTTTATTCACATATATACAGTTTCAGTGGACCCAACAATCCAAATGCATACATATAGACAAATAAACTTCAAAATCAGACTTAAGTATATATACCTGCTAGATACAGATATGAACATCCCTACTAATATTATAAATGTGTGTGTGTTTGTATGTTCCGTTTTCACGCCAAAACGGCTGAACCAATTCCGATGCATTTTGGAACAGATATAGATTAGACCTTGGAGACGAAGGGGTTGAAATGGGGGTAAATGTGACCATGTGCATCAAGAAACTATTAATATTTTAGTTCGTGATATAAATATTGTTTTTTATATATATTTGGTTCATACATATAAATTAAATGAGCACTGACAAAGCAATTTTGGAAATTCCACCCCCAAGCAAGGGTTGAAGCGAGGTAACGCCCTTTGTACTGAGGAACCTAAGCTATTTCAAATAGCCCAGAAGTAGGGGGTATCTTTTGTTTATAATTTTATCTATAAAATAAACTGACATTAACAAAGGCTTCCATAAATGATATCCTCCAGATGGAGAAGGGAGGGGGGTGAATATTTCTTATCAGCTTTTTGATTTCTTGTCACCGTTTTGATAAATTTATCTCGAGAACTAAGACATACATATGTATATAATATATATTTTCAAAGAATTTCAGAATTTTAAAAATTTTTAGAATCTTCAAAATTTAAAAAATTTGTAAGATTCTCAAAATTTTACAAATTTAAAACCTCAAAATTTTAAAAATTTTCATGATTTTCGAAAGTTTAGAAATTTTCAAAATTTATCAAGCTTCAAAATCATCAAAATTCTAGAAATTTTCAAAAATTTTTCGATTTATAAAATGTTCTAAATTATTATGATTTTAAAAATATTGAAAAATTTTAAAACCTTCAAAATCTTGAAAATTTTCTAAATATTCGAAATCTACAAGATTTTCAAATTTTTCAGAATTTATGTTGAATTTTCACACTATGCAATTTTGAACATTTTCGAAATTTTCTAAAAGTTTCAAATTTTCAAAATTTATAAAATCCTGAATATTTTGAAATTTACAGAATTTCTATATTTTTCAATAAATTCATAATCTTCAAAATTCTCGGAATTTCACACAATTAATAAAATATTCACAACTTATAAAATTTTCACAATTGTCAAATTTCACAATTTTTAAAATCTGAATATTCAAAAATTTAAGAATGATTGGAACTTTTTAAATTTTCAAAATATTAGAAATTTATTGATGAAATGTATATTCGATCTGAGCATGAGCTTTGAAATAAAGGTGGACATAACAATGACAATAATAAAATACAAATCAACTATAATGTACTAACTACCGGTTGTTTTGTACCTTTTTATTTATTTGAATCGGTTTGCTTGTACTTTCTCGTACTTGCATACCGCGAGGAATTCTGCCGTCTAAGATTTCGGGCAAAATACACTCTTTATAAAAAGATGTTAATTTGGGAACCATTACCTCACACCATAGTTGTTCGTCCTTATGTATTATCTCTACGTGGAAATCTGAATCGCAATAGAGAATAAAATCGCAAAAGGTGCGTCCCGTAATATTCAGCTGCCCTGGAACCTGGTAATAATAATTATGGCTTCTTTTCAGGGATACATTGCCATTTTCTACCGAGTAGCATGAGGTTCTTTTCACGCCATCGATTAGAGATCCCATAATTGAAGGCAGACACTTTATATCTATGAGGCCTTCCCTGCCGACGAGACCATCCGGTGAAGCTGCTAAAAAAGGATATTCCTGACTCACATAAAGTCCGCACGCTTCAACGGATGATCCCGTTTCCGTTTCATACCTATTCCTGGCTGTAACCTCATGTACCCTGCCATACACATTTGCTGGCGTTTTCAAGCTATCAGTCCTATATAATAAGTTTTTGACTAAGTTGTGGCAGGGAGTAGACGCTCTTCTTTTAATTACACAGCCGAAATTTGATGCAGTCAAATATTCTTTGCGTAGACTCCTCCACAAAGCATTTTCATGCTGACCCCTTGTGGAGGTTTCTATTTCTTTAGTCTGCTCCCTTGACTCTACTCGCTTGGCTAGAGTCTGCAGAAACTTATCTTTCTTCTTTTCCATCTCGTCCTCGCTGATATCCTCGGCAGCTGCATTAGGACCGTAATGCACGTCCGGCCCACTAGAAGCTTGCTTTTTTGGTCTTTTCTTGCAGACTACTCTACTCCTTTCCAGCGCCCTTGCTCTTTTCAGACAGACTTTGGCCATGGTGGCTCCTATGGAGAAGTTCTTCTTCTCGAAAGCCCCCATGTGCCACCCTGGACCTCTGGAATGTGATATAGCTGCTGCGTAGGCTCTAGCTGTGTAGGAATTCCTTTTCGTGAAATTTACTCGCTTACCCCCCGTACATTTAGCAACTAGAGACATATATCTGCAAATTAAAAACACGGTTCATTAGTTTCTAATATATTTAACTCTTTTAAGTCAAGTTCCAGACTCGAACGCAGCAGCAATAAATCAGTGGCAGTGAATATTATGCTACTTTCTTCCAATTTGGCTACTGCACCGTGTTATTTATGAGATTTCTGGCAATTACTATATTTCAGTTTCATTGATTGAGAATTGGTTATTTTGGATAAGTTTCAAAGACCTGAAAATGGCAGTTTTAGATAATATTCAATTCAACTTTTGAGTAGTGCATATCATTGTAAATTAATTCATCAAAAGATGAGCTGATATCAAGAAACGCGTATACCACCTTGTGGTTATCAAGAAGTGATAATTGTGTAGCAAAAAGTATGAGATAAGCGTGATTTTTTTACCTTTCAGCTTGATTTGTTGTTTGATTGTGTGCCAGTCGATCAGCTTTCGTCACGATGGGCTCCAGGATCTTTTTTAATTCAAAATGGAGTTTATCTCCCATAAATTGAACTTGATCGACCTCATTTTTTTTTGTCGCAGAACGTACCACTATAAAGGAATAAAAATGTATTAGATAGGCATTAATACATCAAGCTACGAAATGGATGGCTTTGGGCACGTAACGTATGAGATACAGATTAGTGAAATAAGACATAAGGTGCCAAAGTGACATCATTACATAATGGGGTTAAATATAGTCATGTCTCTATTGACTTTTTTTTTGTTAAAAATGAGCTTAAAACTGTTTTTGTCTCCGCAAACACAATACTTCAATATATAAGCTACATGTTTGCACAATAACTGAATTAAAATAGAAATAGAATATTAGAGAATTACAGTTTGTGAAATTACAGAATTTTCCGAAATATAACTCCTTTCCGACTGCCTTATCAGCAATTTTATTTATATTATTAAATGTCTGCCGTTCCTGTTTGAAGTCATAATTTTTATACAGTACACTACCCCAAAATCTCCGATAGTGTGTTCCAACTATATTTCACTTCTCACGCCACTGGCGAAAAAGTATTGTAATGGAATGTGTGTCCCAGGTCATTGTTGAATATTCTGTATGTCTTAATAAATAATTGTGTATCCTTTTTTCACTCACCAATTTGTGTGACGTCCAAATACGTGATTGGGAATATTAGATATCTCCAACCTCAGAGCATTAGCATTTTTCACATTTCTGATAATGGCCGTTCTCACCCCTTTCACAATCCTCTCGATTCTTGAAACTCCATTTTGCTTATCAGTGAGCTTCTTTCTCATCTCTAATGGAAATGATGTGTTTGCAACTAACTTGTGTAACTTGTCGTTAACACACCTGGTCATGTAGTTGGCACATTCTATTTTTTCCACATGTCTACCATATGGTACTCGTTCTACAATTCGCGCATAGACGCTTGAATCTCCATCACCTATAGAGCAATTTAAAGTCTATTAAAACTATTAAGTCAATTTTAGTCAACCGATCATTGAGCGACCGATAATCATCGATAAATGATGACAACTATTAATTGGGTAGTAATGTAGAAATGGGACAAACACTTGTTGAAGCAAACAAAAATAGTAGAAAATAGTCAAACAAAAAAAAGCACATGAACACAAGAAAAACTGAACTAAATGGACTCCAGCAGCTGACTTTTCATTAATTTCTTAAAAGAAGCCACCTGTTTGGATCGATAGCCACTGTTGACTGCATTGCAATGCTTCACAGCATTATAGGTGTAACTTCTTTCAAAGACCGAGGTATTGTGAGGAGGCATGTTAAAATTAGCATTAAATCTAAGAGCTCTGGTAACAAAACTACCACGGTGAACTAATTTGCTAGCGAGGTAAGCTGGTCTGTTAGATAATAGAACTTTATGCGTGAAGACGGTTAAAAGATATAAAAATAACTTATCAATTCGCAACCAGTTGAGTTCTTTGATTTTATCTGAGACGCGACTAAACTTGCGCAATCTAAAAATAAACCTACAACAGCTGTTCTGAATTTTCTGGAGTTTCCTTTTGTGGACGCAGTCTAAACATGGGTAATAAAGAACAAGAGAGCAAGAAATGAAAGACAACACATGACTTTCAGCAGCAGGTTTTAAAATTCAGGATGAATCGATTAGAATAGAGGAGTTTCAAACGCACATACGTTACTCTAGATAAGAAAGAGACATGCCGATCGAATCTCATATTTAAGTCAAGAGTAACACCGAGATTCTTGGCGTAATCCACAAAATGTCATTTATTAAAAATAAGATATGATTAAAACAAATTCTAAGAGATATTTTAACAGAAAGCCTTACATTTTAATGTTTTTTTTGGAAACATTCCAAACATAACGCAGGCATATTCTGATACTCCGTACTAAAAGTGGAAACCAGTTTGGCCTTTTTTGCTGCTATTTTTGATTCCTTGTGAACGGCATACTCTTTGTCATAGCATCCGACGCATCGTTTTCTTTTGCGATTGTCTTTCGTTCCTTCACTAATCGTAATCAGTAGGTGTGTAACAGTTGCCTTTTATTGCCGATGAATCATATATTTTTTTTTGTTGTTGTTGTTGTTGTTGCCGCACAGGTTTAATTTGAAGTAATGCAGCAAGAACTTGAGAAGGAAGAAACAAAAGCCGATAATCTAATCTAATATTCTCCGTAGCATATTATTTTTATTCATAGCATATTATCAAATCAATTTTATTGACAAAAATGACTAGACCGGCCCATTGGCCAATTCCCTAGATAGGGCTTGTTTTTAACGGTGTATTTAGCTATATTTTTCTCACCTAACTCATAACCAAAATAACTAACACGCAGACATTTACCTATTATCATGTTTATTTGAAATAACAAACATAACACATGAATACCACGGAATAACTATAATTTTTAATTTGCATCCGTTGTTTTTCTTCTGTAGTCGTTTGGCTGCCTGTATATAGTAGTCAGCATCTTCCATGTCACTGAGCAATTTGGGAACTGAAACCAAATATTTCTCAATCAATTAAACATAATCCATCCTGATCTATTTTATAATCCAAAAATATCAATTATTAAATTTAACGTACAGCAATCGCACTCCATTTTGATCATCTTTACAGTTTCTACCACTAAGTTTATAAATGTGTAGTCAATTTTCCATGCATTCAGGTAATTAATTGAAGAATTTACTCACCCTGATATGGACAATTTCTTCTTGTGTTGCCTAGTAATTTCCCTGGTTCACCATGAGTAATAATTTTAGTATTCATCTCCACATATTTTCATAAATAACTCGGTTGCTTCCATCCCATGCTAGATCTTCCACCGTCAAGAAATCAATTCAATCTCGAAATTTTCGCCTCGGGGATTTGTTTACATCCCAACAACAATCCGGTTTGTCACTCCGGAGCTAAAAATAAATAAATAAATAAATGTACATCTATAAATTGATATCACCTTCTGAATTAAAAACTATTTGTGTTGCATAAATATTATTATTCACCTATTGGACTATGTATTTCTTTTATAGTCAGATGAATGTATTATTGTTTTCTGAAATCTCAGAGGCTGATGTCGAGGTACTATTCTGCGTACCGAACTACCTGCACACCTCGCTTGTTCCGCATAGTTGCCAATTTTATTTCAGAATTTCCTTATGTTAATTAATCAATCAAATTTATATGCAGATATGACAGTGTTGCTACATTTATTCACGATATTTCCTTGAATTTATATTAGGAACCTTCTCATTTTGGGATTAGCCGACAACGTTTGGCTCTTAATGGTCAGGCGTACAACTATATTTGGAAATGTCAAGTCGAAAAAATTAAATTTTTCTGTTATACCGGGTGGTCAAAAATCATATTTTGAATATTACTTTTCCAATTACGTTAATTGTTGTTAGAAGAACTCCTAGTCATTGGTAAGCCAGGTAAACCTAGAGCTTTCAATAACATTAACATAACCTGTAACTTGGAAAATTCAATAAGAAAGCTTGGATAACAAGACAAATTATGACAGAGTAGTTGAAATAATTAGAATGAAAAATGGCCAAAGAAAAAAAAACATTTTATTAATTTTAGACAAGACAGGGTCTCATCAAGACATGAGAAAAGAAAATCTTATTTTTGCACCATAATTGTACATCAGCTTATAGAGATGTTTAAAACTTATTACCAAGTCTAATACTGAAACACCTGCTAAAAGAAATTGAAACTGCTGGTACAACTTTTGAGTTAATAAAGAAAATAACATCACTGAATGCAGTTTATTTGGCAAAAAGCACTTGGGACCAAGTGAAGACCACTTAAATGAGGCAGATACACCTGAAATACAAGAACTATCCAAGTAATCTGATGTCAATGAGATTCCAGTATCAGTATTAGAAATTATGGTAAAAAAAGCTCAAAACTTATTTTGAAAATCATGGAGATACAGAGTCTTTAAAGCTTCTTTCTAAATTAGAAATACAATTTCAAGACACCATTTTAAAGAAAAAGAGGAGACATTTACTACATATATGTATGTAAATACATATTATACATTATATGTATGTACATACTTTGAACATATCTAAACAGAACTTTTTTCTTGAGTTTTTTGTTTATTTTATACCTTTTAAATGTCCCAGTTTCTTCAATATATTCTGTTTTCATTAAAAACACGATTTTTGTTGTATTTCTTTTATATGAACACCCCTCTTGAACAGACACTTTCAGTTGGTCCCATTGGTGTCCTTAGAAAGGAGATTTCATGTTGAAAGACAAACGTAAATATTACTTGACTAAATATAAATTTAGCCACAATTACCTTTTTGACGGAAGATCCTTTTTTTCTTTTTCATGAATGTGAGGTGTGTCTGTATTTGTAGAAGAATATTTCATATTTTTGAGAATTTCTGAATCCATCCTCTCAATGTTTATTATCAGCTCCCTTAAGTTGCCCTCAACTTCAGGAGGGGTAACATTTTTGCCATTATCCCCACTATATTGACACACAGAAACTCACACAGCCGGGTACTTTTACTATTAAGGACAGAAGTTCTTGATTTTCGCTCGCATTCTCATCCTCCTTGGGCATTTCACTTTCAAGCATTTTTTTCCATGACCGTTCCAGTGTCTTTGAGGGTATCTCTTCCCATCCTTCGGATAGCCATCTTATAACATCCAGTATGTCGATTTTTTTTAGGGAAGTTATGCAATCGCCGTCGTTGTCAATGGACGATATTAAAAAGCTAAGAAGTCGGCGCCGATATCTTCTCTTCAAAGAGTCAAGGACACCCTGGTCCATAGGTTGACAAATAGACGTCACATTAGGTGGTAAAAACAAAACTCTGATATCTCCATCTCGTAGTTCATCGTTCGGTGGATGCGAAGGAGCATTATCGAGGATAAGAATGGCTTTTCTGGGCAATTTGTTAATGGCAAGATGCTTTTCTACAGCTGGTACAAATTCGTTCTGAAACCAAGCTTTAAAAATTGTCGAGTTCATCCAAGCTTTTGCTTGATGTGTATACCAGAGAGATAGAGAATCTTGATTTTTCAGTTTTTTAAACGCTCTGGGCTTCTTGGATTTTCCTATTAAGGTTAATCTAAGCTTGTGATGGCCGGTTGCATTACTGCAAGCTAGAACAGTAACACGCTCTTTGCTTTTCTTGTAGCCTGGAGCTGCAGCTTCGTTTTTCGATGCCAGAGTTTTAGTTGGCAACATTTTATAATTTAACCCTGTTTCATCGCAGTTATATAATTGCTCACGAGAAATGTCTTCTTTTTCAAGAATGTTGAATAAGTGCGTCTTAAAATCGGAAACGGCATCCGTGTCTGCGGACAATAATTCACCACTGATTGTCAACTGACGAATGCCAAAACGATTTTTCCATCGACTCAGCCAGCGATCGCTCGCCGTAAAGACCGTGTCTTCTCCTTCGATTGCTTTGCTAAAATGCAGTACTTTTTCTTCTAGTAATGGTCCAGTGACTGGCAATCCTTTACCTCGCAAATGTTCATACCACAAAAAAAGTGCCTCTTCAACTTCTAAATGTTTACCCTTCTGCATTGTTTTTCTCACTTTAACTCCACTACCACTAGCTTGGTAACAACACCATTTTTCAATTTCGGAGCGATTCTTCTTCCAATCGCCCACCGTACTTTTACCAACTCCTAAATCGAACGCTATTTTTTTAGCCGATTCTCCAGAGTCCAATCGTTTTATCGCTTCAATTTTCTGATCAATTGTCACGACCACTTTCTTTCTTTGCTCATCATGTGATAAATAATTTATTACATCCGTATAGCGGCGAGCCGGATAGTTGAGAGTTTACTGTACTGGCAAATTTTGTTGATAGTCAAAGCTAATAACATCCATTTTTTCGTCCGTTTTAGCTTGTTCACTGAACCGCTTAAGGTCGTCGTAAAATTTCTGCGCTTTGGCTTGATGTAGAGAGTGTTCTTGATTCAACCGAGATTTTTCTTCTGGATTTTCCGCCGCATCTATTTGATTCTTGAAAATTTGGTGTTAAATATGTATAGATAAAAACCATAGTTGATTTTAAATTTTGTTTTGTTATCAGCCTTCCACTGTTGATATTTCTCCGGTTCGTACTTTTCCACGTATAGCTGATGCATTTTCATCACACTTAAGTCGGGCGAAAGAAACTTTCTTTGACTGCTATTTCTGGTGTAGTGCGAGATGCGAATAGGAAATGAATTTATATGTGATTCAATTTGTCGGATTAGAGCTTCTGGTTTTTTAAGTACCCTGGATCGTTCAGATAAACCCCTTTTGTCGGTCGGAGGAGCCGAGTTACTTTTTTTAGCTTGCCCAATTCGATCAATCCTACCAAACTTTATACCATAAAGCCCCGCTAAAGCTTTTTTGCAAACCATTAGTTCTCGTCCAGCTGCCAATATGATCTACAATACAAAATATTGTTAAATACCTACTATCAGTAAATAAGTATTTGCATAACAACTAACCTTATAATGAAAGGATGAGTTTCGTTTTGATGTTTAAATTAACTCAGCATCAGTTAAAATATCTTCAATCGGATGGCCCTTTCCATAAAGTCGCTTTTTCATAATATCTCGTCGCCTTCTAAATAAATAAAAAAAAAATTACCTATTTGTTTCTTTTGTTACTTATATTCACGTACCTTGCAACAGGCCTCACTGTTATTAATCCAAAAAGATAGGAATCTTGCACATTTTTATCAGCCAAGTTGTTAAATTTATCAAGAATGTTTGTTTTTTCTTCGACTGAGATTTTACTTGTAGGTACATCTATTTTTGCAGTCACATTCATAACCCCGCCTTGCAGGCATATTTTTCCCGGATTTAGATGTGTACGCTAGTCCTTTATTGAGGTTAGATTTCCTTTGAACACTTTTCCAGAGATGTTTATTTTTTTTTCTTTTTCTTGTTTTATTCTCCTCAACTTCATTATTACTATTAGCACTATCACTATAATCTGGGTCTAAATCATCCCTCATTACCTCGGTATCACTGTCACTAGACATCATGAAAATGCTAGCAAATAATAGTAAACCAGTGAAAAACAACAACGCAGTAACAAACACTCTAGAGACTTCACTTAGCCCGGTATTAGACTATAAAAGATCTTTGACAAAGGTATTGTATAAAATATTTTAGTAGGATTTATTTGAAGACATTTTGTTTACAAATTTTGATAACCGTATTATACTACATAAAAGCTTTTACAATATTTTTAGTTTATCATTAGGTACGATGGATGAGAATCGGTTTGTTGCTTGTGCTGCTGCAATAAGTGCAATTATGACGGTGTGTTTATTGTTAAAAAAGAACAAAAAGAAACGACGCCTTTGGGTGAGGCCCTGGATTGCTCGACGTGAACAACAAGGAATTCATCATACCTTGCTTCGAGAACTACAATTTGAAGATTTAAAAAGTTACATCAGCTATTTAAGAATGGATGAAGATAGCTTCAAATTTATAGCGTCGAAGATATCACCATTAATTTCCAAACAAAACACACACTTGAGAAATTGTATTAGCGTAGAGGAACGTCTTATGGTGACACTTCGTTTTCTAGCAACAGGGGAGAGTTATAGAAGTCTACAATATAGCAGCCGTATACCACAATGCACACTGTCAGGCATAATCCCAGAGACATGTGAAGCTATTTACCAAGCGTTAAAGGGAGATTTTCTGAAGGTAAATATAAAGATATATAAAAGAACGTACACATATGGTTTTTATTACAAATATATTTTGTTAGTACTAGAAATAAAAATGAAAATGACAATTCATATTTGCACAAAACTTTTTAAACATTATTAGAAATTATAAAACTCACGGTGAAACAAAAAAGTTTAGTTTAATTGAGAAAAACATGCAGGATCATAATCAGATCTTGTTATATTATCCATATGTATTGCATTTTCAACTACATCCTCTGAAGTATTACCATCTGCTTGCATTTGATTATCTGGATTAATTTGCAGAATATTACAAGCACCTGGTGTCTGGGTTGTTAATATCCATTGATTTGAAGATGATTGGGATGAAACAGGGCTAGGTAGCAGAGTTGGTTGATCAATCATATCCCAGGCCTCCATTAAAACCATCTGAATTTTTCTTTTAGTTTTCCGTACTGTATACTCGTTGCTTACACCTTGAATACCACGTAGCTCAGCCACTACAAACTGACCAAATGTCTCTAAAGAATCTTGTGTTGCTTTAGAAACTGATCTCTCTCTAGCTATTTTTGACATTTCCTCCATTGTATTTGCTGCCTTAGTTAATACAGAATTGTGCGAAAATTTTTGTATTTTTCTGATTTTTGGAGGTAATACTGAGCTTTCTTCATTTAACCTTATACTTAGGTTACTGTTCGTATCTTGATCCTGGAAAAAAAATTAATTATAATTCAACAGTTAAGCCTTATATTTAAAATTTTTATTTTATAGGTACCCAGAATCGAGAAAGAATGGTTAGATATTGCAAAGGACTTTGAAGATAAATGGAATGTGTTCAATACAATCGGGGCGATGGATGGAAAACATGTACGCATTACCTGTCCAGATAAAGGAGGATCCCATCATTTTAATTATAAATCTTATCATAGCATTATTTTGTTCACACTTACGGATGCCAACTATAAATTTATCTACATAGATGTGGGGACAAATGGTCGAATTGGTGATAGTGGCGTGTATAATAAAAGCAAACTTAAAAAATGCCTTGCAGATAACTCTATTTTGAACATACCTGCTGGTAAAAATCTTCCGGGCGCTAATATTGCTACACCTTATGTTGTCTTGGCAGACGACGCCTTTCCACTAAGTTACAATGTTATGAAACCTTACCCATTAAAAAATATAACCAGAGAAGAAAAGATTTATAACTACCGATTGTCTCGCGGAAGAAGAATTGTTGAAAGTAGTTTTGGAATATTGGCAAGCCGGTTCAGGGTATTTTTAACTACAATCAATTTATGCCCTGAAAAAGTCACAAAGATTGTACTTGCAGCCTGTACCATACATAATTTGTTGATTGACCGAAGAAAACATCTGTATACTTGCCATGAGATTATTTCTAGAAGTAGGAAAGGACACACATTTTTAGACGTTTTAAGTCATGAAGAACTTCAAGAATTGCAAACTCTAACCACTCAAACTCGTACTGTAGGGAATCGCCATGGTCGCGAAATAAGGGAAAATTTTAAAATATTTTATAATGGTGCTGGAAAAGTACCATGGCAAGAAGAATATGCTTAATTTTACTATTCTGTATTAACTTACATCATCTGGAGGTGCAATAATATTCGTAGTGGAACTAGTGGATTGAGACTCATTAGGCGATAGTAGCGATTCATCTAAATTAGACTGGGATTGGTCTGGATCTGTAGATTTATCTAAAAATGTCAGCAGAGGAAACCAGTATACTGTTGGTTTGTACAGGTCGTCACTTCTCGCTCCGCTTTTTTTGCTACGCAGGACCTGCAAAAAATATTATGTACAATAATTAGTTGTATTTCCATAAGTATTTGTTTGATGTAAACAAAAAAGAATAAATAAAGATATTTATAATGACTTACCTTCATTTTTTCGGCCAAATATTGACTTCTTAAACCATTTAATTTCTTTTTAACATCTTCTACAGTGCAACCCTCACTGACAGTGTTGTTTCAGCTATTGATCTATAGGCATCCAATCTTTTATTTCTGTTTTTATAATTAATATTTTTACTGTCGTATAACAATTCAAATGCCTCATATTCAGAAATTAATAATTTTGTAGCAGTAATTGACCAGACAAACTTGCCTTCCGCCATCTTTGCTAAATATTTTATAAAATTTACTCACTGTCGTCAATTTTTATAAAAGATATAAAAGAAATATTTTGTTAAAAGATGGTATATTACACCGTAAAATATTTCATAAAACTTGTTTTATAAAACTTCTTTGTCAAAGATCTTTTACAGTCTAATACCGGTCTTAGAATGAAAACTGGGTAAAAACCGGATATACCGAGTTTTCATTCTCAATGACAAAAATGGATATATTATATTTGCGCCATCTACTGGTAAAACTACTAAGCGGATATGTTCAATTCTCACTAATACGTGTATTAAGGTGGCCCTAGACGGTCAATCATTTTGATCAAATGCTCGAGTCAATCGATTGACGCGTGCTTCAAGCAACCCTCAGTCGTTTGTTCAAAACACATTTTGCTGTGGTACTAGGTGCTGTTCGTTTGTATTATTTTTATACCGTGTTTTTCGTGGCTGAAACAATGGTTTCAAATACAGATATTGGCTTTATCGCCTTGACTTTAGCGATCGCACTGAAGCAGCAGAAGAAGAGGAAACGAAGGTGGTCAAAGGAATGGTACAAATTGAGAAACCGCTTTACTCACGAACATTTAATAAACGTTCTACGTGAAACGGAACCAGAAGACTACAGAAACTTTCTCAGAATGAACGAAAAAAATTTCGACCATTTATTGGATTTGGTACGACCAAAAATAGAAAAAAAGGACACTGTTATGCGAGAAGCGATTCCTGCAACTCAGAAGCTAAGTAGGCTAGTGAATTCGCGATCTGGTTGCGAAATTTCATCAACGTTGGAAGAGAGCGAGGGACCCTCCATGGTTGCTGACTGGCGCGTGACTGACGGAAAATTTGATCAAAACCCACATAGACGATCAAGCGCCCTCTTCAAGCACTCCCGTCAATCAAACTTTCTATCAATCACCGTCAATGCATGGCTCAAGCGTCAAACTGGTTCCTAGACGATCAATCTCGCTTGACTCAATCGATTGACTCAAGCATTTGATCAAAATGATTGACCGTCTAGGGCCACCTTTAGGTCTACATGATTCGAATCGCGCAAAAACCAGATTTTCGTAAAAAGTGGTTTTTACCGACTTATCATTCTGGGGTATTCAATTATAATAAGAATAATAATTATAATTATAATAATAATAATATTTATAATAATAATAATAATAGTAATAATAATTATAATAATAATAATTATAATAATAATAATAATAAATAATTATAATAATAGTAATACCATTTACCATACCATACCATTTATTGACCACATATACATGTTTGAGGTCACAAACTAAATAAAGTTTCAAAAGTGATCATTTACTGTTCAACGCACTGTCACAAAGCACTCAAATATTCATCGACAGAGTAGAAACAGTTTTGTAGTAAGAACTTTCTAAGAAAACCTGAGAACCGCCTTGTAGGCATCTTTTCAATATTTGAGGTTTTATGAAACCTGGCAAATATGTTGTAAAGAGACAAATCGGGCTTGTTATTATGTGTCATGAAAATCCGGGATCTCGGTGCGGAGATGCTATAGTCAAAATCACGAAAGATGACTATTACGTCATACCCTGAATTGAACTGAAGTAATCAATGGACGTACGTCGATGATAAAATCACTAGTCAGAAACATAATGACAACAAATTTATATTATGATTTTGCGAAGTTAGGTTACCGGTGAAATGGGGTGAATAGAAACAGTTTCGGACCTTTCCTACTCTGTTGCTAACATGGTAGTCACCTTTTTGACAACAAAAAATAAGGAATCTACAGGTCTCGACTTGTAGATCAAAAAGCGCATAATAGATTTTTTTTTAAATAGGGGGTTTTCCAAATAAAAAATAAAAACGCTCTTTTTCTATTCACCCTTAATGTGGGGTGAATAGAAACACCCATTTAAATTGGTCAAATTTGCTATTCTACCCACACGAAGGCGAATAGAAAAACCTGAAAAAATTTTTAAATTGATAAAAAAATATAAATACACAAAAAAAAACTGACAAAAACACCAATTTTACAAAAAAAACATTTATTTCTATAGAAATGTAACAAGTTTAAACATATTATTTAAATTAAACAACTTTGATGCAAATTAAATTTTAAAATGTCTCTTCTTGACGTAGATGCTTCTATCTCGTCATGAACTGGGAAAACCTCTCCAACAACCTGGCTAAAATGAAAGGTGGAAACATCCGGAACTTCTGGAAATCCATAAATATATCCTGACGAGTGTTTGGTGGGGCGACTTCTTAAGAAAGTGGCTTCAATGTCATTTTCTGTAATATTAATGACTTGTCCGATAAAATATTTATTTCTTTGTCTATTTCGATATTTTGTTGGAAAACACACCAGAAGCCAAGTTCCTTTATCTATTAAATCAAGTGAAATAGGAGAAACACATCGAAACAATTTACCCTCAAAGCAGACTGATGCTGATGAATTATTTGTATCCAACTTATTCTCGGACTTATCGCTGAAACTTGGTAGTGAAGTGTCCATTTCTGAGTCTGCAACTGAAGAATGATCTTGATCTTTTTCCATGTCAGAGTCTTCACTTGAAGAATGATCTTGAGCTTTTGCCATTATTGGCATGAAATTAATAAGGGGCAAATTCATTTCCGGGTCTGAATCTTCATCTAAGGTTTCCATACTTCTTTCCAAATCAGTATCCTCTTGATCGTCTTTATCCAACGTGCTTTCAAAATCTGCACTTGTAACGCTTTTGCCAGCAGGAACTTGAATTTTACGACGTCGACTCTTCACATTTTGACCATCACCATATCTCATTGTTCTTAGAAGGTTTACCAAAGAGTTATTAAGTCCTTCTTCAATGTTCTGATTCTCATCATTTGTCTCGTCAAGATTTTGCTGCGGAAGGCGTCCCAAGACTTGATCCCTATTTAGTGGAAAAATTCCACACTTTCTAAAGCATTAGGCTCAATAGCCTTTGACAAGTCATTTAGCAAGAAAGGGAATCTGTCCTTTGGAACCGTGCAATGCTTTGAACCAGCCCCCATTTTCCATTTTTCAAGGATCTGTCGCCAGGCTGTTTTAAGAGGCCGGAAAAATGCCACGTCCAGAGGCTGGGTCAGATGAGTAGAGTTAGCCGGGAGGAATATAAATGAAATATTATTTTCTTCGCAAAGAGATACCGTACTTGCAGAAAAATGTGAACTCAGATTATCGCCAATTAAGTACTTCTTTCCCGGTAGATTTTTTACTGCAGGTATGACAGTGCTCTCTACCCAATCTGAGAAGGAAACCGCATCAAACCAACCTGATGGACTTCTATTAAATCTGACGTCCTTTGGTCCTCCAACTGTCCAAGATGTATACAAATTTTTAGCTTTGTAAACCACGTATGGTGGGAAAAATTTTCCATCAGCTGAAGCAGCGTACATAATAGAAACGGCTGACTTCGACGTATTGCAAATACGTTCTGGATAGCGACAGCCCCTTTTCGAGATTACTTTCTTTCTACCCGGATCGTCAGTTAAATTTGTTTCGTCGTAATTTACTATGTTTGATGGCGGTACATTTTTCAACTCGGTGGCTAAATTGTCAAAATAAGCATTGATAGTATTGGGAGAAACAGCAGCTCTTGAGCGCTTGATGTTTTGGCAGATTCTAGATCTTAATTCATTTTTGTGACGTTTTAAAAAAGAATAGACAAAGTCTCTGCCAGGGATATTATCTTTAAATCTCGTTATTGTTTTACCTCTACTGTCTAGGTAATTTTTTATCATCATCCTGACGTCCAAATGGTCAAGTGGATACCCCCAATCGGAACAAACTATTAGTTGATGGACTAAAATATCTTCTTCTTGTTTGGTTAGGGCTGTTTGTCCTCCATGAAGCTTCAGATTTCGGTTTTTGTGGTGCCGATAAAGCACAGAATAATGAATGTTGTATGTTTCGTGAGCCACTCTATAACTCATCCCGTTGTCAATTGAAGCAAGGGCTATTTTTAGAGTTTTTTCATCAATTTTCTTATATGTTTTACCTCGAGGGTCTGGTTTATAAACGCGAGGCATTTTCCTGCAAAAGAAAAAACAGTTATGGGGTGGATAGAAACAGCGGGTGAATAGAAACAGCGTGTTTCTATTCACCCCAAAATTACTTAAAAGTGTGGTTATGTATTATATTACATCATAGCAAAAAAAATAAGCAAGACAAGCAATTTCTGAAATAGGCAATGTGAACCAGACACCTTAAAGCTACTTTAACCAAAAATTCAATGTCTTACCTGTTTTTAGCTAACCACCGTGAATAAAGTTTTGCTAGTGATGAAAAAGGCTCATGTGTTCACTCCAACGGGTGGTTGCTACTGCAATCAGGGCTGCCAGCATAAAACATCTTTGGCCTGTTAAAGCAGTTATGGCGACATCTGTTGACCGTTTGAGAACAAATTTGAAGCGTTGGGAGGTTTAATTCCAATGTTGATTTTTTTTAAAAGAAGTTTCCCGTTTTTGTTGCTATTCACCCAGCAGTTTCTATTCACCCCATTTCACGGTATTTCACTGATTATTTTTATTTTCATTTTATTTCATGGTTTTGAGTGATACCTTTGATAATAATTTTAGTGGGGAGTTTTTGTTGTGAAAAAAACAGTTATGAGTAGAATACCTTAAGACAGGAACACCAAAGACCAAAGTATTATCCGAAAACAACAAAACCTGCTTTAACATAACTTAACTATTCATCTTTCAAATATGATCGATCATGCAGCATGAAAACATCATCTATCTTTGTCGGATACATGCAAATGAGCAATACAGTTTGTTTAGACAATAAAATTCTGCTTGTCTCCGTCTAACATATCGGAAACTTCATTAAATACATATATTCACAAATCGCTGTCGTTTGTCTTTACTACATACTAAAATGATGACGTAATCGTCATCTTTCGTGATTTCGACTATATTAGATTGCCGAGTGTTGTAACTATGTGTCTCCGACCTAACAGAGAAGGTGTTAAGGTTGGCATGCACGTATAGATGTGTCTCATAGATGAAGAGGCAAGCTAACGGCAATATCCGCAACTCTTTGAAAAGGTCGCGACATGTGTGATTGTA